CGGAAGTAGTTGACCGCCGCGGCGCCGGCAGTGGGTGACGCGGAGGTCCCCCCGAAGCCTGCCATGTCAGGCAGCTTCTGCTGAGCGGTGGCACCAGAGGAGCTCCCAGCCTTGTCTCCCCTCTCCCTCTCAGACCGAGAGGGCCTACGTACCGCCTCCTCCGGCTGTGAAAGCGCCAAAGCTAATTCCCGCGCGACAGATAGCGTCGCGCCCCCTTGTGCAGCCTGCGCATCCTGCGCCGCTCGCGCGCTCGCTTCTCCAACGCGAGCAGCCTTATTGGCGGCTCAACCGCCGCTCGGGGCTGCTCAACCCCCTTGCGCTTTGGGCCCCTTGGCGCCGCACCCTCCTTCTCTTTCTTCTTCTTCTTCTTCTTGTCGGCGCGTGGCGCGACGTCGTCGACCGACATCATGCTGACGAGACTGGAGAAGTCAACACCTGCAAGCGGTTAATATGACAAGAATGCAAAAGAAAAGAAATACAACTAACCATCGGCGAACAGCTCCTGCAAACAAGCCTCGCGCACTCCCGTGTCGTATAAGTTGATCTTATGATCCATGCACGCCTCATAGTCATCGTCCAGCCCGTCGTAGGCACCGACGTCTGACTCGTACCCGTGCGTACTGCCGTTCTTCCACTCAGTGGGCTCCTCAATAAACTCACTCGCCCACTCTCCAAGAACGGGCTTGACGTAGAAAAAACGATCGAACCAAGTCTTCTTCAGCTTGGGCGACCCGTACACGAAGCCCTCCGGCCTCTTGTCGCGACGCTTAATGGACAGGCAGTCGCTCCGCGTGGTTGGCTCCTTGATCTTATATATCTTCCGGAAGAGGCCGTAAGTCGGCTCGATATTGAGCCGCTTGCACACGAGTCGGAGACAACTCGCGTGCATGATGACGGATGGAGAGAGCCTCCCAATGGAGCATCTGAGGCGCCTATACAGAGCGCACAAGAGCGGGTCGATGGGGAACTTAAACCCCATCACCCAGTACTCCGTGTACACGCCAAACCAACCCGCGGGGCAGTGACCCACCATGCTGCGCGTAGACGGAGCAGCGTACTGCCAGTGGGGGGGCAAGCCTAGCCCGCGCACTATCACCTCCACATCGCCAACATCATATATGGAGGCGTGTTCGGGACCGCGCTTGAGGTTGTCGTGCGGCGCGGGTTGATCGCCCCACATCTCGGCCCACTCGATAACATTGTACACGGCGCCAACACCGCGTAATCCGAGCCGAGCCATAGCCTCGGAGACGCGCACATTATAGTCCGACTCTGACTGCGCGTCAGAGTCTTCGCGCATTTCACCACCAGCTTCCACCGGCCTCCCATCACGGCCGCGGCGGATTATCAGCACCCCACTAGCCCCTTGTCTTGCCTGCCCGCTCCCGGAGGCACCCATACCTTCGTCAGGAGAACCACCAAGATCGTCCTCCGATCCGATGTCGAACGACGGCGTCTCCGGAACCCCATCGCCGCCGTTCCCATCGCCGGAACCGTCGTTTAATTCCAGCGAGTGATCAGTAGAAGTGTGCGAAAGAGTGGAAAGATTACCTTCTTCGCCTTGTACGACCTCAGCCTCGTTGATGTTGATGCCAGCCATGATAATAACTTGATCCAGCAACAAAGAAAGGAGTATCGAGGTTGTAAAAGAAGGAGAGGAATCTCAGAGAATGAAGAACAGAGAAACGATGAGCAGAGAAACGATGAACAGAAGTTGTGAAAACAGATGAGCCAACCCTCCCATAAGAAACCCATATTTATACGCAGACAAAGGAAGACGAAGGGTTAAAGCTGCATAGGGATTCGTAACCGTCAGATCCTACAAAATCTTTTCGAATTCTTTCGAATTTCAAGAAATTCCCTCCCAAAATAGCCCAATCAACCAGGGACACGTGGACACCTACCATCATAGACAATAGTCGGCGACGCCACATGTGCCGCGCACCGCCTGGGGGGCATGGCACACCCGCGAGGAAGAAAAAACAACACCACTTACGGGCGCGCCTCAAAATCGCGCGCACAACAGGGGGGCATGACACATGGCACACCCGCGAGAAAGAAAAAACAACACCACTTGCGGGCGCGCCTCAAAGTCGCGCGCACAACAGGGGGGCATGACAAACCAACTTCGACCGAGCGCACAAACAAAACAAATGGATAACACCCGCGGCGCACGAGACACGCGCGCCATTAAAGACGAAGGTCGCGCGAGGACCAGAAATGCAAAATGAGATGGAATCGCCCAGATCCGAGTCAACCACACGAAGATCAAACAGGTGGCATTCGCGGAATACCACCTGATGGGGGGCAATTGTTGGGCATGTGACTCGGATCCTTCCCCACTGAAGAAACACCAAGGATAATCACGCCAAAGAGGAGCGCGCAAGTACACCGGTGTGAAGCGCGCCAAAGTCAAGCGCGCGGGTCGTGCCGTAACCAAGCACGCTGGTAGAGATCACCCCCGGAGAGGCGCGCGCGAATACTAAATGACGACGCATCACCCGGGCGTGGGCCCTTATCGAGAAGCCGCAGAGGCGGCGCCGCGTCACCCCACGGGTAGTCACCATCACAGTCCTAGGTATAGCCCTGCTTGTGTCAGGAGTAGTCACATCAGTGCCCTAAGTAGTCACATCAGTGTCCCAAAAGCATGGACTAAATCTCTGTCATGTCAGCGGTCATGTCATTGTGTCTACTTGTAACTCAACCACTCACCCACCACCATGTAGCCTATAAATATGGCATTTACTCCGGTGGGTAGGGGGATCGGATTTTTGGGGACTCTATCTCTAAGGTCATCAACTTCTCTCTCTAAAATATTTCTCTCTCACTCCTCCTGATAATCTCCTCTGTTCTTCCGTCGACGATTATTTCCCTTCCCGCTTACTCTCCTTGACCCACTTTCCCGAGTCTCCCTCCTACACCCAGTTAGGCTCAAACAGGTGCTTAATGGAGTTATCATCCGTGGAGAATAGGATCAATAGACTTCATTATCAGTGGATAATAGCCTCGGCCTGATTACGTGATCTGCCTCCTCCAGAATCGAAAGCAACTGGTATTTCGAAAAAATTGCCCAAAATCTGTGATGGTACCCCTTGGAAATCTGCAAAAAATTGACCCTAAATAAATCCGCCCAAATCGGTTCTTAATGGACTTAAACATCGTTGAAAAATAGCCTGAGTCCGAATCCGTGATCTGTAGCCTTCAAATTCCAATGAAAATGGCATTTTGTCGCACAAAAAATTACCAAAATGTCATCAGAAAATAAATTGGCCTAAATCGGTGCTTAATTGATTTATCATCCGTGGGAATATAATCAATAGACTGCATTATCGGTAGAGAATAGCCTCGGCTTCTGTGATCTGTAGCCTCCAGAATCGAAAGAAATTGGCGTTTCTGAAAAATTGCACGAAATCAGTGATGGTACCCCTTTGGAATCAGCCAAAAATTGACCCGGAATAAATCCGACCAAATCGGTGCTTAGTGGACTTAATTATCGCTAAAGAATACCTCAGGTCGAATCACTGATCTATAACCTTCAAAATCCAAAGAAAATGGCCCTTCGTAGCCCAAAAATACCAAAATGTCATCCGAAAATAAATTGGCCCAAATCACTGCTTCATGGACTTATAATCCGTGAAAAATAAGATCAAAAGACTTCATTGTCGGTGGAGAATAGTTTCGACCTGATTCTGTGATATGCAGCCTCTAGAATCGAAAGAAAATGGCATTTCGGAAAAATTGCCTGAAATTTGTGATGGTACCCCCCTTTGGAATCTGCAAAAAATTGACCCGGAATAAATCAGCCCAAATTGGTGCTTAATGGACTTAATAATTGTTGAAGAATAGCCTGAGGCCCAATCCGTAATATGTAGCCTTCAAAATCCAAAAAATGGCCTTTCATCGCCCAAAAAATAACGAAAATGTCAACAGAAAATAAATTGGCCAGAATCGATGCTTAGTGGACTTATCATCCGTGGAGTATAGGATCAATAGAGTTCATTATCGGTGGAGAATAGCCTCGGCCTGATTCCGTGATCTGCAGCCTCCAGAATCTAAAGAAGCTGGCATTTTGAAAAAATAGCCCAAAATCTATGATGATACCCCTTTTGAATCTTCAAAAAATTGACCCGGAATAAATCTGCCCAAATCGGTTCTTAATGGACTTAATCATCGATGAAGAATATCCTCAGGCCGAATCCGTGATCTGTAGCCTTCAAAATCCAAAGAAAATGGATTTTCGTCGCCCAAAAAATTACAAAAATGCCATTCGAAAATAAATTGGCCCAAATCGGTGCTTAATGGACTTATCATCCGTGGAGAATAGGATCAATAGACTACATTATCGGTGGAGAATAGCCTCGGCCAGATTCCGTGATCTGCATCATCCAGAATTGATAGAAAATGGCATTTCGTAAAAATTGCACGAAATCTGTGATGGTACCCCTTTGGAATCTGCCAAAAATTAACCCGGAATAAATCCGCCCAAATCGGTTTTTGGTGGACTTAACCATCGTTGAAGAATAGCCTCACGGCCAATCCGTGATCTGTAGCCTTCAAAATCCACTGAAAATGGCCTTTCGTCGCCCAAAAAATTACCAAAATGCCATCCAAAAATAAATTGGCCCAAATTGGTGCTTAATGGACTTACCATCCGTGGAGAATAGGATCAATAGACTTCATTATCGGTGGAAAATAACTTCGACTGATTCCGTGATCTTCAGCTTTTAGAATCGAAAGAAAATGACATTTTGGAAAAATCGCCCGAAATCTGTGATGTTACCCCTTTGGAATCTGTCAAAAATTGACCCGGAATAAATCAGCCCAAATCGGTGCTTAATGGACTTAATCATCGTTGAGAAATAGCCTGAGGCCGAATCCGTGATCTGTAGCCTTCAAATTCCAAAAAAAATGGTCTTTCGTCGCCCAAAAAATTACCAAAATGTCATCCAAAAATAAATTGGCCCAAATATGTGCTTAATGGACTTATCATCCGTGGAGAATAAGATCAATAGACTTCATTATCGATGGAGAATAGCCTCGGCCAGATCCCTGATCTGTAGCCTCCAAAATCGAAAGAAAATTACATTTCGGAAAAATTGCACTAAATCAGTGATGATACCCCTTTAGAATATGCCAAAAATTGACCCGGAATAAATATGCCCAAATCGGTGCTTAGTGGACTTAATCATCGTTGAAGAATATCCTCATGCCGAATCCGTGATCTATTGTCTTCAAAATCAAAAGAAAATGGCTTTTCGTCGCCCAAAAAATTATCAAAATGCCATCCGAAAATAAATTGGCCCAAATCGGTGCTTCATGGACTTATCATCCGTGGATAATAAGATAAATAGACTTCATTATCGATGGAGAATAGCCTCGACCTGATTCCGTGAAATGCGGCCTCAAGAATCGAAAGAAACTGGTATTTCGGAAAAATCGCACAAAATCTTTGATGGTACCCCTTTGAAATCTGCCAAAAATTGATCCGGAATAAATCCGCCCAAATTGGTGCTTAATGGACTTAATCATCGTTGAAGAATAGCCTCAGGCCGAATTCGTGATCTGTACCCTTCAAAATCCAAAGAAAATGGTCTTTCGTCCCCCAAAAAATTACCAATCTGTGCTTAATGAACTTATCATCCGTGAAGAATAGGATCAATAGACTTCATTATCGGTGGAGAATAGCCTCGGCCAGATTCCGTGATCTGCAGCCTCCAAAATCGAAAGAAAATGGCATTTCGGAAAAATTGTACGAAATCTGTGATGGTACCCCTTTAGAATATGCCAAAAATTGACCCGAAATAAATATGCCCAAATCGGTGCTTAGTGGACTTATCATCGTTGAAGAATAGCCTCAGGGCGAATCCGTGGTCTATAGCCTTCCAAATCCAAAGAAAATGACATTTCGTCACCCAAAAAATGACCAAAATGTCATCCGAAAATAAATTGACCCAAATCGGTGCTTCATGGACTTATCATCCGTGGAGAATAGGATCAATAGGATACATTATTGCTGGAGAATAGCATCAGTCTGATTCCATGATCTGCGGCCTCTAGAATCGAAAGAAAATGAAATTTCGGAAAAATCACTCGAAATCTGTAATAATACCCTTTTGGAATCTGCCAAAAATTGACCCATAATAAATCCCAAATCGGTGTTTAAAATATAAATAATCAAATATGAACATTCTGACCTACGGGTCAGGTTATAAGCTAGTATGGGAAACACCGAAAGAGATAGTTTTGCAGGCCAGTAGGCCACCTTGCTGGTGGTTTAAATAGGCGAGCCTGCTTACTCTACGAAATGCGCGGGCTTTGTTCCAAGTAGCTGGCCCAGGAATAAAAGCCTCCCATCGAAAGGTCTTTGAGCCCAAGCCAACTCTATTCATCATCCAGCTGGGCGGATGACAAAAGGCGCGGCCGCTGGTAGCTGCGGCTCCATGTGGGCTAGGGGAAACCGGCCCAAATAGGTCCAGTTTTGAGTCGGATCTGGGCCTAATTTGTAAACATGTAACGAACAACACCGATTTTATGGTGAATGCAGTAGGAATCCTGGAGATTTCCTGACGTGACTCCATTTGAAACCAGGAATTTATAGTCACAAAAGAAAATTCAAAATTCACTACCAAACAAAGTAAATCAGAAACCAAGACGGACACTAGGAGCTGATTACAAAGAAAGTTAGGACGACTCGGTCTTGTATGGAAAGGGAATCAAGCATAACTGGCAGTTCCTCCGTACAGCAAGTCCAAACCGTTCCGACATATCTAGATCTTCGGGCTTCATCCCAGTTGGGAGTTTCCAGTCGAAATGATAAAGCAAATTAGCTAATCCAAGTTTAACGGTGGCCAATCCGAAAGAAATCCCGGCGCACATTCTCCTCCCCGAACCAAAAGGAATGAACTGGAAATCCCTCCCCTTGTAGTCCTTCGAACAGTTCATCGTGAATCTCTCTGGATAGAACGTCTCGGGATCATCCCAGTACCGCGAATCTCTCCCAATAGCCCATGCATTCACCATGACTTTGGTCCCGGCTGGGACCAGGTATCCACCGACGACCACATCCTGTTGGCCCTCTCTTGGAGCAAGCAGAGGGCCATCGGGATGCAACCTCAGGGACTCGTTGATAACCGCGTTCATGTACTTCAGCTTGTCCAGTCCTTCTTCCTCGACTCTCCCTTTCCCGTGGAACGCTTGTCGGACTTCCTCTTGTGCTTTTTGCATCACTCTTGGATTTCTCATCAGTTCAGACATAGTCCACTCCGTTGTATTCGACGGATTCGCACTACCACCAAGGATCAGTTCCTGCACAAAAAAAAAAAAAGGAGCATACTGTACATATTAATGTTTTGATTGGTATTAACTATTAAGTGGGCAGAAATTAAGTCTCATTGGATATGTACTCACAGTGACGACTGCTTTGATGTTGTCATTGGTCAACGGGGATTCTAAATCGGTGCAATTTGCTTGGAGATCCAGAAGAACATCGACAATGTAAACGGGTGCTGCTTGATCCTTGCCTGCAACAGCTCTTCTTGCCAAATGTTCATTGATTTTCGCGTCCAGCAAAACATCCGCTTCTCGATGCAGGCGGTTAAGTTTTGACCGGAATCCGGTCAACGTCGGGAGGAATTTGACGGAAGGGTACAAATCGGAGACCGTCATGCCCCCGAGCACGTCGGAGATGCTATTCACCATCGCCATGAAAGATTCAGTAGTGTTTTCCTGAATGGTTCCGAAAGCTGACCTGGCAATCACACGATTGGACGCCCAGAACAGAATCTCGCCGAGATTCACGCGAGGATGAGTCGTTGTAGAGGTCATCTTATGAATCCGACGAACCATGTTACCGGACAGCTCGTCCTCTCTTACAGAACGATAAGAGAGGACGCGCTTGTCGCTGAGCAGCTCCATCATGCAGATCTTTCGCATCTGGCGCCAGTACGGCCCGTTAGGGGTGAAGGCTATCGCCTTGCGGCCGTTGAAAATCACGTCGGCGGCCAGGACGTAGGGCCTGGACGCCAGGGCGGTGTCGTGCGTTTTCAGGACGTCCCTGGCGGCCTCCGCCGAGGAGACGACCACGTGGTGCAGCTCCCCGAGCTGGAGCTGCATCACGGGGCCGTACTGTCGAGACAGCTCTTGGAGCCGGCGGTGGGCCGGCTGAGAGCCGACGATCAGCTGGTGGAGGTTGCCTATGATGGGGAGCTTCCATGGGCCCGGCGGTAGGCGGTTCGAAGCCGTTCGGGTTTTGGATGGTTTCTTCGAGATGAACCAGCTGGTTGCTAGGAGGATGACAGTAACTGCGACGAGGAAAGGGAGGGATAACTCCGGCAACCATTCCATACTTGAACTCTGTAACTTTCTACTAGTTTGGTAAGTTGTTTTTTTATCGATAACTTACTAGTTTGCTAAGTTGTTACACTGATCATCAACTTGCTATAAATCTCATTGCCTCCCGGATTATTAATTTAATGATTGAAATTAACTAGAAATTTTTGTGATACCATCCTCCTCCAAAATTCTATAATATAGTTAGTTGTATATTCCTCGTAAATGCAGAAGTAGATTCCACCAAGTGGAGCAGAGAAAAGAGCAGTTTGGATAAATTAAGATTCACGACAAAAGACCAGAGATTTAAGAAAAGACAAATATTGCATGCATGTGTTACGTACTAGGAATCCTGCCGGAGAAGAAGGGAAAGCATCATAAATTTTTTGTATTTAAAGCAACAAGAGCATTAGCCGCCTGACGAGTTGTTCAGTTGTCACAGGCTGCATTATATTAAATCATTTTTTTATTGTATTTTATCAATGCAGCTTGAACCCCGGTTCGAATGAGTTTTTGATCGAGAACGAGTTTTACTCGCTTTTATAATTAGTAGACTGAACGGGTTGTAGATTTTGTTAATACTAGATTCGCTTTCCATTCAACCGGATATTCAAATACACGGACAGCCACCAACCACGTTCTAAAAGAGGGTATCAACTTGTAAATTTATCTTTCTATAAAACATTTGGTTATCTGACAAGTAACAACCTCGAGGAGAATTAAAGAATGGGTTCACAAAATTCAAAACTTAGGACAAGTTTCGGTTACCACATGAGGCTTAGCTTTTAGACAATGGCAGGAAGGACAAGAATACAAGATCCAACCTCGAAGCCATTAAAAAGATGTTTAATAAGATAATTTGTAGTCACCTCAATTTTATATTAATTGTTAGATGCTAATTAACGGATTCGAATTATATAACAGTTAGACCAAGTCCTTATTCGCTCCATAAAATGTTCAAAGTCACATGGTACATAATTAACTGCATATAGATGCATTCGACAATTTTGATGAAACCAAGGATCCATCGATCAATAATCAATGGCTCCAGTACTAGTACTCCTGCAGCAATATTTCTCCAACATCTGCTTCATCACAATCATCCTCGTATCAGTAACATCACTGGTGATCCGACGACGCCGACGTGGCTCCCCGGAGAAATCACCACCCCCACCGCCACCGCCGGGCCCACGGAAGCTGCCGGTGATAGGGAACCTCCACCAGCTGATCTGCCCACAGCCGCACCACCGCCTCCGTGACCTGGCCCAAAAGCACGGCCCGCACCTGATGGGCCTCCAGCTCGGCGAGCTCCCCTACGTCGTGGTCTCAAGCCCAGAAGCAGCCCGAGAGGTGCTGAAGGCCCACGACCTTAACTTCGCCACGCGCCCCTGGCTGCTGCTGTCGGAGATCGTCTTCTACGGCGGCAGGGACATCGGCCTGGCGCCGTACGGCGAGCACTGGCGGCAGATGCGCAAGATCTGCGTCATGGAGCTCCTCAGCGCCAGCAGGGTCGCCTCCTTCCGCCACGTCAGGGAAGCGGAGGCCTCCCGGCTCGTCGCCGCCGTGTCAGCCGGCGACGGCGGCGTTGTCGTCGACGTGGGCAGGATCGTGAGTTCGTCGACGTGCAGGTTTACTTTCCGGGCCGCGTTCGGGATGATGGTGAATAATGAGAAGGAAGCGAAGTTCTCGGAGCTGATCGCCGATATTGTGGATGCCGCCGGCGGTTTCAAAGTCGCCAATATGTTCCCTTCGTTGAAATTCCTTCCGTACTTGACTGGGTATAGATCTCAGCTCACCAGGATGCATCTTGCGGCGGATGCCATGCTTCAAGACATCATCAACGAACACAGATCCCGCCGGCGGGAAAGTAGTAGCAACGGCGGAGCTGCCGAGGATCTGGTGGATATCCTTCTTAAGCTTCAGGAGGATGAAACTCATGACTTAGATATTCCCTTGAGCACCGAATCCATCAAAGCAGTCATTTTGGTAATTAATTACAATCAAGTTTAATTAATTAACCTTTTCTTCCTTTCACCTCAAATAATTTTATACAACAAGTTTGATCACTTTTATGGGGGGTTGGTGTTATATATATATATATAGGACCTGTTCCTTGGTGGTATCGATACAACATCGACGTTGGTGGAATGGGCCATGTCGGAACTGATGAGAAGTCCGGACACGATGTGGAGAGCACAAGAAGAGGCGAGGCAGATTTTTCGAGGTATGAGAAACATCGACGAAGAGTGTCTGGATCGTCTGGCTTATTTGGACTCGGTTATTCAAGAGAGTCTCAGATTGCATCCTCCGGTTCCTTTGCTTCTTCCGAAAGAAGCTCGAGAGAGGGCGGAGGTCCTTGGCTACGAGATTACTTCAGGGACCAAAGTTATCGTCAATGCATGGGCCATCGGACGGGATTCTCGTTATTGGGAAGATGCCGATAAATTCCTGCCGGAACGGTTCCTTGGCCGCTCGGGTTATTACAACAGGAGCGACTTCGAATTCATCCCTTTTGGTCATGGAAGGAGAATGTGCCCTGGAATATCGTTTGGTCTGGCCATCGTGAAACTCACGCTGACGACTCTACTCTATCATTTTGACTGGCAACTTCCCGCTGGGACTACCCCTGAGAATCTTGACATGACCGAGTGTTTTGGTTCTGGGGTCAGAAGAAAACATAGTTTATGCTTGATTCCTATTGCAAATGATATTGCCATGCCTTGAGAAAGGAAGATGAGGAGAAGGAGAAGAAGAAAAAAAGTTTGTTCATGTAAAAGATAGAGACTCAAGTTCATTGCCCTCTATATCTTCATGTCGTATTTGTTATTATCTTTCATTTATGTCATGTCACGCCCTTTGAATTTTATACGCACAAAACGATTTTGACGCGTCAATTACAGAAACGGTCAGTAAGGTTTTGTACAAGTGCTGCAGCAGTTCCATGGTAAATTTTAATTAGGCACAAAACAGAAACTACTGCTACTACTTTGCTAGTTGATTGCCCTTGTAGTGATGAAGTGGTGCAACTACAATGTTTAATTTATATGATAAATTGAGGTGTTAGGTGGAATATATATAAAAGGGAAGCACAAATATTTGCCCCCATTAAAAAAAAGAACAATTTTCTGACCAAATTTTCAATTTTGTCACAATAAACAATGTTTATGTGACGAGAAATTGTAATGGTCATAAAGTAATTTATTTTTGTGACTACAATTAATGGTGACGAATGAGTCGTTTACGTCGTCACAGAATATGCAATTGGTCACACACAAGTATAAAAGCCAACCAATTCATTTCTCTTTTACCGACCAATTGCCAGTGTCAAAAAACCAAACCAACTATTTAATACCACTAAATTTGGTCATAAAACATTCTTCCCAGATGATTTAGTCATCTTTAAATGATAAAAAAAATATCGGGTTGTGAAACATCTTATCGCAACCAATATCTTTAGCACCTCCAGATTTGCGTTGCTAATATGAAAGAAGTCGTCGCTATTGCTAAAGTTGTGCGTTAATTAGACCTAGTCACTAATGTATAATATATATGTTCGCTTTGCCACGATATGGACAGTTCTGCAGCTGGCATCCACATCATAATTTGTAATGCAACAATAACAATAGCCGCCTGGCAAATTATAATGAATATTATTAGAGGATAGATGCGCTTCACAGGCTGCATTTTATTATATCATTTATTGTAGTACCAACACAAGAGTATACGATAGCATCGATGGGCGGGGCACATGTTTGGATTATCCACGACTACTTATAATGGATTCTCAACCCTAGATTACTCTAATGATTCAAAATAAAACACACAAAAAAAAAAAAAAAATTTGATGCAATCCTACAAAATTTTATAATATAATTACATGGGATAAGTTAAGATTAACGACAAAAATACAGAGAAGAAAGTGAGCATCTTTGCAAGTGGGGCATCATAATTTATATAGCAACAATAGCATTAGCCGCCTGACGAAATTATAATGAATTATTAGATGATAGATGCGATTCACAGGCTGCATTATACTTTTTATCATTTATAGCAACCGTCGGCAGCAGTGTAACCAGAATTTTATTCAACTTAAGATCATAATGGTAAATGATAAGCTGAACTTTATCGATTTTTACAATGATCTACTACGTGTTTTCAAATTTTTAGAAATTCCTTAATCGCGTTCATATTTTATCGTCCAATCTAGTTATCACATATGTATCTTTTCAATATATTCACACAAAAATCATCATGAATTGATCAATAATTAAATTTTGAAGTAGGTTCTTCATGTATATACATTATGCAAATATAGGTTCAACACCTGCAAAGGCAAGCAACAACTCAACTTTTACAAGTTAATATTCTAATTAACGGAGATACTCGAGAGTTACGTTCTTTGACACAACTTAGGTGAAGGTTTGGCAATTGCTTTTTGTTAGAGAGGTGAAGTCAAAAGACGATAGGAGTTGGAGAACTGAGAAGGTAACAACTAGATGGTTTATTTGCTGCAGTGGCCAATCCGAAAGAAATTCCGGCACATACCCTCCTGCCCGAGCCAAAAGGAAGGAACTCGAAATTCCTTCCCTTGTAGTCCATCGAACAATTCATCAAGAATCTCTCTGGATAGAACGTCTCTGGATCATCCCAGTACCGCGAATCTCTCCCGATCGCCCACACATTCACCATGACTTTGGTTCTCGCCGGAACCAGGTATCCATCGACGACCACATCTTGCTGGCTCTCTCTTGGAGCGAGCAGAGGACCGTCGGGATGCAACCTCAAGACATCGTTGATGACCGAGCTCATGTACTTCAGCTCGTCGAGTCCTTGTTCCTCGACCCTCCCTTTCCCACAAAACACCTGTCGAACTTCTTCTTGCGCTTTCTGCATCACTCTCGGGTTTCTCATCAGCTCAGACATGGTCCACTCGATTGTAATCGACGAATTCGCACTACCACCGAGGATCAACTCCTGAGTGGGGAAAAAAAAAACACATATGGTACATTAATGTTTGATTTGTTAAGCGTGCAGAAAGTCTCACTGGATATGTACTTACGGTGGCAACTGCTTTGATGTTGTCATTGGTCAACGGGGATTCTAAATCAGTGCAATTTTCTTGGAGATCCAGAAGAACATCGACAATGTAAACGGCTGCTTGTTCCTTGCCTGCAACAGCTCTTCTTGCCAAGTGTTCTTTGATTATCTCGTCCAGCAAAACATCCGCTGCTCGATGCAGGCGGTTGAGTTTAGACCGGAATCCGGTCAACGTCGGGAGAAATTTGATGGAAGGGTACAAATCGGAGACGGTCATGCCCCCGACCGCCATGAAAGATTCGGTGTTCTCTCGAATGGCTCCGAACGCTGACATGGCAATCACGCGATTGGACGCCCAGAACAGAATCTCGCCATGTTACAGGACAGCTCGTCCTCTCTTACGGAGCGGTAAGAGAGGACGCGCCTGTCGCTCAGCAGCTCCATCATGCAGATCTTCCGCATCTGGCGCCAGTAAGGGGTGAATGCGATCCCCTTTTGGCCGTAGAAGATCACGTCCGCGGCCATGAACCAAGGCCCAGGCCCACTTGAAACCTCCGATTGTGGTCCTTACTGATCGTAAATATCTTCTTTCAAAATTTAAATCCATAATTTGTTTTCAGCAGAATGAAACTGTTTAATCGCGATTGAAAAACAAAATACTACTTTTCCAGCACAACTTACCAGTGGCTGGCTGGCTGGCTGCTTCTTTTTCTTTCTAGCTATGTTTTGCTTCTTTGTAATTTTTCCTTTCTCCCCGCTTTCATCTCTGTATTTATTTTTGGATATGTTCTTTTGTTTTGTTTTCTTGCTCTCTTAATTAATGCATTTGTGTCATCATTCTCATAAGTATAGATATACAGATTTAACTTAACTTTTTTTCTATTTTTATGTTCCCCTAACTAGTTTATTGGTTCATATCAGTGTTAGAACTTTTTTTTTTAGGGAAAAAAAAAAGTTCTAACACTGATTCTAAAGATTATTGGGACCATAAAATTACATGTTAGATTCTAAAGATTATTCAATTGGCTTAGTGGACATTATTATTTAGATATCAAAGTTTGTCTAAAGTCATGTACAGTTTCGCTTATTTAAACCATCATTAATTGGACTAATAATAGCCATCATCCACACAAACAAAGGAAAGAAACAAACTGATCAAAAAAAGAAGGAAAAAACTGTCTACAGATCTCGTGATTAATTTGTATTCTCAGTCGGCGGCGGCGGAGTCAAGCACCGGCGACAACACCATGGAGCCGACGATCATCTCTCGTCCACTGGCAAACTTCTCTCCGTCTGTATGGGGTTCCAGATTTGCTTCGCTTTCTTCATCTCCCACGGTAAGATCGCCGGCCGGCCGGCCACATCATCTTCTAAACATTTTGTTACGTTGCTGCATGCATGCATGCATGTATTAATGATGTATGCGTGGGATCGGGGGCCAGGAAATGGAATTCTACCGGCGACAGGTGGAGCGGGCGAAGGCGACGGTGGAGAAGATGCTGGCGGCTTCAGCAGCCGACGGGCCGTTTCGAAACGTGGAGCTCATCAACTTGCTGGAGCGGCTTGGCGTGTCGTACCATTTTGAAGCTCAGATCGAAGACCAACTGAGGCTCATATTCGAGCAATCTCTCTCCGATGTTACGGAGAGAGATGACGGTGACGGCCTCTACTCCGTTTCGCTGGCGTTTCGAGTACTACGCCAGCATGGATACAGAGTTCCTTGTGGTGAGTAACGAAAGTCTTACTTTGCAACTGACTAAGTTTGGTGGCAAAAAATTCGTTGTTACTGGTTGCTAAAGGAAACACATATAGTAACTAAATTATTTGGTTTGCCTGCCCATTTTGTTTATACGGTAACTAAAATGATTATTTATGAAACTGCGTTAACGGAGAGTCATTCATTAACCAACTGATTCTAATAATTTGCATGGAATAAATTTGGCGACAAAAGATCTATATATGCCAATATCTTAAGTTATTGTAACAATTCTATGTATGAATATTAACCACTTCCTTATCATAATAGATGTGTTCCACAAATTCAAGGACGTAAAGACAGGAGAGTTCAAGGAATGTCTGAGGCGCGACGTGAGAGGGATTCTGAGCCTGTACGAGGCCTCCCACTTGAGGCTTCATGGAGAGCCAATTCTAGAGGAAGCCCTTTCCTTCTCTAGGCAGCAGCTGAAAGAGTACTCAGGCACCAATGTTATAGAGCCTCATTTGGCAGCACACATTGAAAACGCACTGATTTGCCCCTTACACAAGAGCGCTCGGAGGATAGATTCATGGAGATTCATCTCTTTCTACGCCGAAGAAGAATCGAGAGACGAAACCCTCCTCAGATTCGCCAAGCTCGACTTCAACTTCGTGCAGCTGATGCACCAAAACGAGCTGGCCTTTGTCTCCAGGTGGTGGAGGGACACAGGCCTTCAAGAGAAGCTTCTTTATGCAAGAGACAGAATCGTGGAGCTGTATTTCTGGGCAACGGGGTCTCATTACGAGCCACACAAGGTGGTCTCGAGGATTGCAGCCACCAAATTTGCCAAAATGGTGTCGCTGGTCGACGATACTTACGATGCCTACGGTACCCCCGACGAGCTCCAGCTCTTTACTAGGGCTTTTGAGAGGTACTATCCAACAATAAAAACCCTTTAATTTTGGTTGGTTTTGTTTGTACATGTCTTGAATACGACAATATATACTATGTGCTTCACAAATGGGGTTATGGGGATTCGAACAAAATACCTCTCGACCACATAAGCCTCTGATATACCCATGCCAATAGCTAGTTGCTCCCAGCTACTCGAATTGTTGAAAGAGCATAATGGACGATCTTATACCATTCACTAACATCAATATTGGGTTTTGCGTCCATGGTTTTTCAGGTGTGACGACGAGAGTGCGGTTAAGCAGCTTTCGGATGACATGCGACTCCTTTTTAGGGCATTCCTCAAACTTTGTGACGAAATGGAACAGGATATGGAGAAGGAGGGGAGATGCTACGGCGCACACCACGCCAAGGATGCTGTAAGATCCATCATTTAAGCTTTTTTACCATGATGTTGTTTTTGGTTTCTGGTTTGGTTAACCTAATTTCCCATCATAATGTAAATATAGTTCAAGGAATTGTCGAGGGCATATGATGTAGAGGCAAAATGGCTGGCGAGTCGCTACACACCAACGGTGAAAGAGTTCATAGCAAACGGCATACCTTCAAGCTCTTACGGCGTGATCTCAGCTGCATACTTCATTGGAATGGGGGAAGCCATGGGGACCAAAGAGTACGAGTGGCTGAAAACCAACCCGACCATTGATACAGCAACAAAGCTCCTCGGCCGTCTTCTCAATGACATCATGAGTCATGAGGTACGTATATAATAACTCGAGTTATCTGGAAAGGTTCAACAGTAAAAATCTTATACCGCGCTGCTGCTGCTGCGATATGAATATGCATGCAGGATGAGCAGAAGAGAGGGCACTGTCCATCTGCTGTAGAATGTTACAAGAAGGAGAACCGGGTGTCGGACGAAGAGGCCGTGGAAGCGATCAAGAAGATGTGCGATGATGCATGGAAGGACTTGAATGAGGAGTGCATGAAACCGACTCCAGTTGGGTTGCCTGTGATTCAGCACTTTCTGGATCTCGTTAGAATCATCACCTTCATTTACATCCGCAACGATTCGTATACGCACTCGGGGTCTCTGAAAGATCACATCACTTCCATCTTACTCAACCCCATTCCTATCTAGCAGCCCGTGAATGAAAGGTTGGACATTGGGTAAGCCAATGTATTCATGCTTTGCTTTGATCTATACGGAATAAAGTGCATTTGTGCCCATGGCTTAAGATTTCGTTTTGGTACCAGAGTTTAAACCAACACACATACTACTCTAGCTCAGGTTTAAACCAAACCTCCCACATGGACATGAAGGAAGATGTTTTTGCTAATGGCATGTGTTGAAGAAAGTTGTTACAAGTGAAGAAGAATGTAAGTGAATAGCGATTTATAATTGTACCAACTAGTTAATCTAGTTAGTCAATTTGAGACCAAAACCATCCGATCTACACATTGTCCGTCCACTCCTAATAGGAGGTATAACTCTTGATTATGCATCTGTCGCATAACCAGATCCGACACCTTACACACTACAAGAAACAACGACTTTGGGACGGTATTCGTCGCAAATAACCCAATAATCCGTCGCGAAATTTTTTGCTACGGAATTGTTTCCGTGACGAAAATATGGCACTCGTCGGTAAAAACAACAGTGCGTCGCAAAACCAACACCTTTTACGCGACGCTAAATTTCCGTTGCTAAAGGCCTATTTATTTTGTAGTGGATTTAGATCTAAATGGTTTGATTAACTTACAGCATTTTTTGTTTTGATCCCAATTTTGAACTTTTTTACATAGATCAAACAAGTGTATGGTAGTGCTTAGAATATTATTTCGGATTCATCATTCGTGAGGCGGCTAAAGCTTAGTTGCTATTAGAATTATTAATTCCCACCGCGGGCAGGAGGATTCCAAGTACATAACACATGCATTTGTCTTTTCTTTCTTATCTGCTCTTTTGTCGCTAATCTTAATTTATCCATACTGCTGTGGTTTCTACTTTCTTTATGGACAAGGAATATAATACAACTAATTATTTGTCATCAGGGTAATTTAATTAGTAGTTTAGCACTGGCGGCTGCTATATATAAATCATATTAAATATAATGCAGCCTGTGAATCGCATCTATCATCTAATAATTCATTATAATTCGACAGGCGGCTAATAATTCATCTAATAATTTATCCTAAAGTACAAAAAATTGTAATAGGGATAGGGGGCAAGGGGGGAAAAAGTATAATATATATGGAAGTACTGGGTACCCTTCCAATTTCCGTGAACTTAAATGGTTCGTCGAATCTCGATGATAATTACGTGAAAGCATATTGGGCTGTGTACTAATTACAATAATTAATTAGCTATGTGTATCCGTATTTGTGGAATCTCGATATAAAAATCTTACAATTCCAGTTTATCTGTTGAAAGGAGAAGTGAGGCTAGAATACCGACAGTTGTTGTTCTTATTTCTGTTGTACCTGGGGATGGCAACAAAACCCGAACCCACGGGTACCCATCCGACCCAACCCGGTCAACACGGGTAAAATTCGTGTTGACGGGTTTTGGGTCGGGTTTGAGTTTAAACCCGTTCACTATTCACCGGGTTGGGTTGGGTTTGGGTTTAGGTAAACCCGACCCATGGGTACCCGCCTACACCCATATAATTAATTTTCTTGGTATATTTAATATTCTAAACAACTAATCTTACTTATGTATGTGGAGACATGTCTATTTTTTTCTTTCTAATTGTGTAGAATGAAGTTGAAGTTATCTAGTGATAGTGAAGAAACTTAATTGAAAGGAAGAAGCTTTCAATTAATTATGTTATTTATGGATAATTTGTGATTTGCTTCAATTTTCTTGAGTTTTCTAGATTAGTGTTGAACAATTTGTATAGTTTATTTGTGATTTGCTTGAATTTTCTAGAATTGTGTTTTAAATATGGATAATTTGTATTGAGAGATTGATATTTGAATTTAATTTTGATAGGAACTTGTTATTGTAAATTTTTTACGACAAAAACCCGTGGGTACCCATAAACCCGCGGATACCCAGCGGGTTGGGTTGGGTTTGAGATTTTCAAACCCAGTGGGTTTTACCCCGGGTTTTTTCACGGATAAACCCATGGGTTTGGGTTTGGGTTTGAATTTAGCAAAACCCGACCCAACCCGACCCATTGCCATCCCTAGTTGTACCTTCAATGAGTCCTAACTGGTTGATATTCTCCATTATGACTATCAATAGGAGATGAGTGTGTAAGACGGTGGAATAGCTCTCGATATATAACAGTAAAAGCAAAGCATGTAGGTGGTCAAACACTTTTAGTTTACTCTTACAACTGTTTTCATCTCAAATTTTGAAGGATCAATCACCTGATCCAACTTAACTGAAAGAAGTGGATAAACATATTCCATAGCTAGTAAGAGAATACAAAGAAACACATCCTCCTTCCTGCCCCAAATGGAAGGAACTCAAAATCCTTCCCCTTATAGTCCACCGCACAATCAAGGAATCTCTCTGGATAAAATGTCTCTGCATCATTCCAAGAACTTGTGTCTCGCCCAATCGCCCAGACGTTAACCATGACTTTAGTTCCGACGGGGACCAGGTACCCGCCAACAACCACATCTTCTTGACTTTCTCTCGGGGCTAGCAAAGGACCGTCGCGGTGCAGTCTCAAAGCCTCCTTGATGACTGCATCCAAGTGCACCAAATCGTCCAAGCCTTCTTCGGTGACCTTCCCATTCCCACGGAACGCGCGACGAACTTCTTCCTGCACTTTTTGTTAATACTCTTGGATTGTTCATGATTTCTGACATGGTCTACTCGAAGCCCATAAAAGGGGGAGCAGTGACGATTCAGAAAATTTTCACAGGGGTGTCCTCTTCAAAAATTAAATTTAATTATATAATAAATTAAATAATTCGTATAAATTTTTTATTAAATAATAAATTAAAATTCATATTTGGAAAAAAAATATAAATAAACTCCGTGTCTGCACTGTTCAAAAAAATCTACATATCCTACTAGACAATACTTCACAAACTTATAACATATTCGATTTCTAACCTTGTTCTTAATGTAGCTCAAAGTAGAAAAGGCTCTTCCAACACTTGCCATGTATCCATAAAATCAATTCAAAATTAAGGGTAGCGTGTACGTAGTTTAATTATTAGGTATTGAAAATAGTTGGGGATAAAGAAATAGCGTTTTACTGTTGCATGATGTTTAAAATAGAATAACAAATGAGTAACAACATAATTAGAATATGTTTGATAATAATAGTGTCCTAGGTTGGAATAACACGGACTACCACTTATATTTTGTTAATCATAAGCAAACTATTATCGAGGGTAGGATAATCATTTTTTCAAATGTTAGGGTGTCCCGAATTACCAATTATATTTTGTATACCCATACGAAACTACTACCGGAGGTTCAATAATCGTTTCCCCAAATTTTAGGGGTGTCCCTAGAGGCCCATGTATCCGCCCCTGAGCGGGAGTCGAGCCGGGACGAGGGTCCAAGTCTCGGCAAGTATACGTAGCAGTCATCTGCCAGACTGTCATTAATAATATCATGATATAACAATGATAAATTTTAAAAAATCTTATTTCAAAGGGTTATTTTTTCTAGTAACGTCCACTCCATATATAGGAAGATTTCCTTTTACTCAGAAAACTATTGTGGGAGCCATCAGCTAATGATTAAGCACAAGCCATGTTCTTTCTCACTTTCCTTCTCTTTCTGCCCCTAGCCTTCCTCATCATCAAACGCCGCCGGTCCACCAACAACGAAAACGGCGATGTCGTATCGAAGCTGAGCCGACGTCGTCTCCCTCCAGACCCATGGAAGCTCCCCATCATCGGCAACCTCCACCAGCTGGCGCTCCACCCTCTCCCCCACGTCCGCCTCAGAGACCTGGCCCTCAAGCACGGCCCCTTGATGCACCTCCAGCTCGGCGAGGCCTCGACCGTCGTCGTTTCGTCCCCGGAGGTCGCCAGGGAGGTGATGAGAACTCACGACCTCAACTTCTCGAACCGCCCCCTCCTCGCCTCCGCCAGGGTCTTCACCTACGACTTCACAAGCCTCTCGTTCTCGCCCCACGGTGATTACTGGAGGCGGCTCAGAAAGATCTTCGCTCTCGAGCTGCTCAGCAACTCGAGGGTCCACTCTTTCTGGTCCATCCGGGAAGAGGAGGCGGCCCAGGCGGTCGCTGGGCTCGCTCGTGCTGCTGCAGCACGGGCGCCGCCCGTTGTCAACCTCAGCAGGTTGGTGTACGAGTGGACGAGCTCAGTCACTGCGAGGGCGGCTTTCGGAGGGAAGACCAGCGAGGATCAGGCTGGGTTTCTGACCATTGCGGATGAGATCCTGCGGGAGGCTGCAGGGTTCAGCCTGGCCGACGTGTTCCCGTCCTGCAGATGGCTGCACAGGATCTGCGGGACGGAGGCCACGTTGGCCGACATTCGTCAACGGCTAGACCGTGTGCTCGGCAACATAATTGCCAACCATAGGTCTAAAAGGACGAGGGGCGGCGACGATGATGATGGTTGTAGTACTGGAACCGCCAAAGATCTAATAGATGTGCTGTTGAAGGTGCAGGAGGATGGGCAGCTTGATTTTCCCTTGGGGGATGACAGTCTTAAGGCCGTTATTATGGTATGGATGCTATCCTAAATTAAAATTTGTGCTATATTTGAACATCTATTATCATACACGGTAGAATGAAAAGGGCATTTGTGACGAAACAATGGTTGCTAAATATTGAATTTTGGTTGAAAAACCTATTTCGTTACTAAAACTTTTGTTAGAATCTTCGGTCACATTTCCCCATTAAGAATACTATTTCTCACCAAATGTCCGATTAGTCACAATAATACCCTTTTGGTCACGAAATGTATTAATAGTCACAAATAATTTTTGTCTACCAATAAAATTTAATTACTCTACGAAAAAAGAATGACGAGATTAATTAACTTCATTAAAAGGAACTTCTGCGTATGAGGTGAGAACGCTTCTATTTTTCTTATTAGATTTTGCGTATAAGCTATATACTTTGTTGAATTTCTTTTATAATTTGTTACCAATCTATTTTGTTATGTGAATCTTAATTAAGGTCGTACTTCTGCAGGACATATTCGTAGGTGGCACTGAAACTTCCTCCACGACAGTTGAATGGGCAATGTCCGAATTGTTAAGAGACAAAAAGACGCTAAAAAAAGCACAATCTGAGGTAAGGCGAGTGTTTGGCTCGACAGGGATCGTAGAAGAAGCTCGTCTCGGCGAATTGAAGTACCTGAAACTGGTACTAAAAGAAGTATTGAGGCTTCGTCCAACTGCACCACTGCTACTTCCTAGGCAGAACTCTGAGAGATGCGAAATTGATGGGTACGATGTTCCTGCTAATACTAGAGTACTCATCAATGTATGGGCCATGGGAAGAGATCCTAAGTACTGGGTGCAACCCGATGAATTTATCCCCGAGCGGTTCTTGGATTCGTCTCTCGATTACAAAGGAACGAATTACGAGTTCATTCCTTTCGGAGCGGGAAGAAGGATGTGTCCGGGTATGGCATTTGGGATGGCGAATGTCGAACTTCAACTGGCTAACTTGTTGTACCATTTCGACTGGGAGCTTCCTGAAAACGAGGGAAGCTTTGAAGATCTAGACATGTCTGAAACTTTTGGTGTGACGGTGAAAAGGAAACACGATCTGTGTTTAATTCCCGTCTCTTACTTACCCTGCCTTGCACCCACATAAACTACGTACCCATAATTTGGTATGAAGCATTTCTTTAGTTCTTGTATCGTTATGTTTGATTTGTACAATAATGATTTCTACTAAAGATTTGGCTTTATGTATCCTTGTGTCTTCTTTTCGGTATAGTTTTTATGATGGTTATAACAGAACGATACATTAATATCATGTCACAAATTCAATTTTTATCTGGAAGTGTAAGTGTTAATGAAGATTATAAAGTTCCCCATAAGATTGAAAATCGGAAATTTCTATCAATCTAACACTGGTGCAAAATCCCTAAACCATATTAGTGCTCTCATATTTTTTTCACTGTTATAATGGTGATGTAAATTTTTTATTTCAAAAGGAAATTACAGCAGATACACAAGTTACAAGTATGCTTGTCTGCAAAATTCGTAGCAGAAATTGACGCTATATATATTTTAACTGAGCCTCTTTCTACCAATTCACATTATCGAGACCAACTAATTTGACTCGTGCTTTGGAGATAAGAAACTAATAAGTCGTCCCGATAAGAGATTTGGTTTTCAAATGAGAATTTAATTAAGTCTCATTTGAAAACGCAAGTAATTTAGACAAGATATTGGAGCCAAATTAGTTGTGACCGGTGACTTTTTACCACGGAATCGTCAAATAACCCCTGGCTGGCATGATCTGAAGAAGAAGAAAACCAAAACGCGATAACTCGATCGATCTATCAAGGGAAAGCTTCAATGAGGGATCTGACGCCAAGAACTGGATGGATTCTGAAGCTGGAGAAGCCAGCAGCTACGAGCAGCTTCTTCCACTGCTTCTCATCTCGCTCTCTCCCGTTGACGAGAGCCATCATCAGCATATCAAGGCAATGCTCGATCTCATCCCCACAGTAAGATCCTGAAAGCTCGTTCTTGTTGTTTATTCCACGAACAATGTCTACGATGATAACCTTACCGCCACCCTTTGACGACGACGAGGCTGCTGCTTCTCTGCAGAGCTTCAGCAGCTTCACGCAGCGCTCGTCGTCCCAGTCATGGATGACCCACTGCATATAATAATTAGAGTATGAGTAATACGAGTAGTATATTTACGCGAGCATTAATGCTTAATGAAAGAGGTTACGTTGAACCCGCGAAATGCGGCGGCCGACCTTGAGAAAGATGGCTTCTGCAGAGGGAATCTTTTCGAACATGTCCCCGGCGATAAACTCAACACCAGTAAGATCCCCCTGAAGCTCCCCGACGACGTGCGGGAGGTCCAAAACGGCGCACTTCATATCCGGAAACGCTTCAGCGAGGGCCGCCGTCACCGTCCCCGTGCCGCCGCCGACGTCCACCAACGACGCAACGCCATGGAACACATGCTTGCACCTCGATAGCAGTGCACCGGCAAGCAGTTTCGAGTCGCTCGCGAGGCTCTCGTGAAACAGGGCCTTCAGCTCCTCACCGCCGGTCCCGCCACCGCCGCCGCCGCCCACGTAATCCCAAAACGACATGCCGTTTGCGATCTCGAAAGGCGTAGCAGCAGCGGCACTGCTGCTCTGACCGGCTCCGACGATGATGTCGTGGTCTCGTCGGAGCCAGGTGCTGAGGACGGACCACTGGTCCTTCATAGCAGGGTGGAGCTGAAGCAGCACCAGCGCCACCTGCTGCTGATGGTGGTCCCTCAGCAGCAGGCGTGACGCTGGAGTCAGCGAGTAGTGGGGCTGCAGGTCGGCCTCCTCTTCTCCTCCTCCTTCCAGCAGCAGCAGTGGCTGGAAGCAGGAGAAGAAGAGGCCGCCGGACTTGGTGCTGAGGATGCGCATGAGGCAGCCGAAAGCGTCCGCTTTCGTCGGAGGGATTTGGAGGATGGAGGTGAGCTGGGAGAGTGAGATGCCGGCGGCCGCGGGCGGTGGCCGGCCGTGTTTGTGGATGGCGTCGGGGATGCCTAGCTCGATGGCGCATTTCCTTGACATGGTCACGATGTGGCTCAACGCCCAACTCCATATCTGCGCCTGAGCTTCGAGTAGCTGATCTTGAGAATCCATGAGTGATCAATCTTTTAAGTATTTGCCTGTAGGAAGAGCAAGAAAACTGTTTGGCGAGTGCTAATGGTTATTATAGATAGATCATATTGTGGAGTGGCTAATTAGAGAGAGCCTAGGTGAGTTAGGAATGGCAATGGCAGGTTGGTAGCGGGTATCTCGAATTATTTTAACTAGTTTTTTTATTACGATATAGTTTTCCGTGACTAAAACCATTAACCACATAACACAACTTTCAAACGGACGATTTTCCATGACTAAATGCCATTTCTCCAGTAGGTAGAGTGATGCTAGTGACGTGAATGATGATGACTGCAATAATTATTCAACAAAATACTAATATCAAAGTTTGAGGATCTGATTAATTTGGTTTACACTCTGTTTTATAGGATAATGACAAAGCCCGTGAACTTGTGCACGCTACCCTATCCATTCCAAGCTAGCCAACGTCGAAACGAGAATCAACTCTGAACTGATTATGATAAACAATTGAAAAATAGGAAATTTGGGGGGGAAATCATATAATTTCAACCATTAAATTGATTAACCCACCCACCTAACAAATGGCAAGTGGTAGTGATTTCACTAGCTTATAGTTAAAGATAATTATTTTAAATTTTGATTGATTCCTTATATTTTTCATGGAATAATTGCTAAAGTACAAGAAGTTGTAATATCATGGGGTCAGGAAACATATTTTTAATTCATAAGTGTCGTACTACTTCGGTTATCATTTAACAAAATAATCTTTATATGGTATGATTGGTAAAATACAAGAAAAAAAAATGTAGATCCACCCTTCAAGGCGACCTGGGTGTGACAAATCCGTCCTAAGATATTTCGGAAAATGAAGATACACAAAAATTTATAATCAAACGTGATATTCGATCAAAATCGAACGACCTTATTTTCTTTTGCAATCTCTTTCGTGCAATCACATCTTTGCTGGGATTAGGATTGCACTGATTCAAACCAGCTGGAGCAAAGAAAATAAATACGAGTTTTACTTTGGTGTTGTAATAATTTACTAATCATATTCAACAAAATCATATAAATTCATCCATTAGATTGATTTAAGGGTTGAGAATGAATTATTGAATTGTATAGTGGTGAATAACACAAACCTGTGACCCACCCACCTACCAAGTTGCAAGTGGTAGTGATTTCTTCACTAGCTTAAATATAGTTAAGATAATTATTTTAATTCTTAATGAATTCCTTATATTTTTCATGGAATGATTGGCAAAGTACAAAAAATTATAGTAGCATGGTATGATTGATGTTTCAATATTTGTCTTTTTCTTTTCATCTTTCGTCCTGCATTTTAATTAATCAAAAAAAGAATTAATTCATAAGTGTCGTACTATTTCTGTTATCATTTAACAAAAGATTTTTTGTATGGTATGATTGGTAAAACACAAAAGTTTCCCGAAATAAAAGTGACAAGGATCAAGGGCATGCCCCTTAATTCGGAGAAAAACGAGCAAGCTAAACTAGAGCCAAAATGAAGAAAGAAACGAAACTGCTAGCCAAAGGATACAAAGAAAGTCACGGAGCAGGAATATCGAATGCAACGGGAACCAAGCACAGTGGACTCTTTCTACGTAATGTCAGTCCAAATCGTTCCGTCATATCCAGATCTTCAGGTTTCATTTTACCGGGAAGTTTCCAGTCAAAATGATAAAGTAAATTTGCTAGCCCGAGTTTAACAATAGCCATCCCGAAAGAAATTCCTGCACATATCCTCCGCCCCCCACCAAACGGGAGGAACTGAAAGTCTCTTCCCTTATAGTCCACCGAACAATCGAGAAATCTTTCGGGATTGAATTTCTCGGCGTCAGCACCCCAGGAGCGCGTGTCCCTCCCGATTGCCCAGACATTAACCATAACTTTGGTTCGAGCTGGAACCAGATATCCAGCGACAACCAGATCCTCTTGACTTTCTCTCGGAGCTAGTAACGGGCCGTCAGGGTGCAACCTCAAAACCTCCTTGATAACTGCATTCATGTACTTCAAGTCGTCGAGCCCTTGCTCATCAACTTTTCCCTTCCCACGGAATGCTCGTCGAACTTCTTCTTGCACTTTCCGCAGTACTCTCGGATTTCTCATGATCTCAGACATGATCCACTCTATTGTTACCGACGCAGTCCCGCTGCCGGCGAGGAATAGTTCCTAGATACACATGACAGAAACCGAACGTAACTAAAATAACCAAAATTAAGCCAAAGAATTGACAAACCATTGTTAATAACAATCTGTAGTACGTACGTATATACTTACTGTAGCTACTGCTTTGATGTTGTCATTCGTCAATGGAGATTCCAAGCTATTACAATCTGCTTCCCGGAGATCCAGAAGAACATCGAGGATATCGTCCACCACTGCTGCTGACCGATCGTCACTGTTACCCCTTCTGGCTCGGTGTTCGTTGATTATCTCCTCGAGTATAAGATCCGCTTCTCGATGCAACGCGGTGAGCTTAGCTCGAAACCCTGTCAGCCACGGAAGAAACCTGATGGAAGGGTAGAGATCACAGATGCTCAAACCGCTGAGTGCGTCGGACATACTGTTGACCACGGCCAGAAAGGACTCGGTGTTCTCACGCAACGCGCCGAAAGCCGACCTGGTGATCACGCGATTCGATGCCCAGTACAGGATCTCTCCGAGATCCACGGTGCTGGTGGTTTCGCGGCTAGCACAGCTGGCGGCAGCGGCGGCGGCCACGCGGCGCACCATGTTGCCGCACAGCTCGTCCTCTCTTACCGCGCGGTAAGAGAGGACGCGCCTGTCGCTGAGCAGCTCCATCACGCAGATCTTGCGGACCCGCCGCCAGTAGTCGCCGTACGGGGTGAATGAGATCCCCGTGCGGCCGTAGAAGAAGATGTCGGCAGCCAGGACGAACGGCCGCGACGCGAGGACCGCGTCGTGGGTTTGCAGGACGTCCCTGGCGGCCTCCGGAGAGGAGATCACCACGTGAGGCAACTCCCCGAGCTGGAGCTGCATCACGGGGCCGTACTTTTCGGCCATGTCGCGGAGGCGGCGGTGCGGCGGGAACGGGGTCAGCGCCAGTTGGTGGAGGTTGCCTACGATCGGGAGCTTCCATGGGCCCGGCGGCGGCAGCGGCATCGGCGGGATTTTGGACTTCCGGAGCAAGCTGGTTGCCAGGAGGATGGCCGTAAATGTGAGGAGGAGCAACGGGATGTCGGTCGACGGAGAAAAGGATAAGTGCTTCTGTAACTGTTCCATGGTGAGGTGAGACAACAATATTATTTGGGTCCATTATTATATAGACAGTGATGAGAATTTTTTTGACTACCCTCTCTATATTGATCCTATTCTCCACTAATGATTAAGTCCATTAGACATAGAATTGGGTTAATTTATTTTGAGATGACATTTTCGTAACTCCTTGTGCGATTTTTTTTCCGAAAGGCCCTATAAATTTTGAATGCTAGAGATCATGGATTTGTCCTAAGATTATTTTTCAATGACGAGTAACTTCATTATGCATGGATTTGGGCGAATTTCTTCCGGATCCATTTTTGGTAGATTCTAAAAAGATACCATCATAGATTTCGGGCGATTTTTCTGAAATGAAATTTTTGGAGGCTACAGATCACGAATTCAGTCCGAGCCTATTCTACACCGATAATGAAGTCTATTGATCATATTATCCACCAATGATTAAGTCCATTAGGCATGGAATCTTGCCAATTTATTTTGGGATGAAATTTACATAATTCTTTGGGCGATTTTTTTTCGAAAGACCATTTTCCATGGACTTTGAAAAATACAGATCACGGATTCGGCCTCATTTTATTCTTCAACGACGAGTAAGTCCATTACGCACGGATTTTGGCGGATTTCTTCCGGGTTCATTTTTGCAGATTCCAAAGGTGTACCATCACAAATTTCGGGCGATTTTTCCAAAATGCTATTTTCTTTCGATTTTGTAGGCTGCAGATCACAGATTCAGCCCGAGGTTATTCTCCACCGATGATGAAGTCTATTGATCCTATTCTCCACCAATGATTAAGTTCATTAGGAATAGAATTAGGCCAATTTATTTTGGGATGACATTTTCGTAATTCTTTGAGTGATTTTTTTTTCGAAATGCCATTTTTCATGGATTTTGAAAGCTACAGATAATGGATTTGGTCTGAGTCTATTTTCAATGACGAGTAAGTCCATTAAACACGGATTCAGGCTGATTTTTTCCGGGTCCATTTTTGGCAGATTCCAAATGGGTACCATCACAGATTTCGGGCGATTTTTCCGAAATGCTATTTTCTTTCAATTTTGGAGGCTACATATCACGAATTCAGCCCGAGACTATTCTCCACCGATAATGAAGTCTATTGATCCTATTCTCCACCAATGATTAAGTTCATTAAGCATAGAGTTGGGCAAATTTATTTTGGGATGACATTTTCGTACTTCTTAGGGCATTTTTTTCGAAAGGCCATTTTCCATGGATTTTGAAGGCTACATATGACAGATTCTGCCTTAGGCTATTCTTTAACGACGAGTAAGTCCATTAAGCACGGATTTGGGCGTATTTCTTCAGGGTCCATTTTTAACATATTTCGGACGATTTTTCCGAAATGCTATTTCTTTCGATTTTGCAGGCTACAGATCCACCGATAATGAAGTCTATCGATCCTATTCTCCACCAATGATTAAGTCCATTAGGCATATAATTGGGCCAACTTATTTTGGGATGGTATTTTTGCTATTCTTTGGCGATTTTTTTTCGAAACGTCATTTTCCATGGATTTTGAAAGCTACAGATCTCTGATTCGGCTTGAGGTTATTCTTCAACGACGAGTAAGTCCATTAAGCACGAATTTGGGCAGATTTCTACTGTGTCCATTTTTGGCAGATTCCAAAGGGTTCCATCACAGATTTAAGATGATTTTTCCGAAATGCTATTTTTTCGATTTTGGAGGCTACAGATCACGGATTCAGCCCGAGGCTATTCTCCTCCGATAATGAAGTCTACTGATCCTATTCTCTACCAATGATTACCTCCATTAGGAATAAAATTGGGCCAATTTATTTTGGGATGGCATTTTCGTAATTCTTTGTACGATTTTTATTCGAAAGGCCATTTTCCATGGATTTTGAAGGCTACATATGACAGATTCTGCCTTAGGCTATTCTTTAACGACGAGTAAGTCCATTAAGCACGGATTTGGGCGTATTTCATCAGGGTCCATTTTTAACATATTTCGGACGATTTTTCCGAAATGCTATTTTCTTTCGATTTTGCAGGCTACAGATCCACCGATAATGAAGTCTATCGATCCTATTCTCCACCAATGATTAAGTCCATTAGGCATATAATTGGGCCAACTTATTTTGGGATGGTATTTTTGCTATTCTTTGGCGATTTTTTTTCGAAACGTCATTTTCCATGGATTTTGAAAGCTACAGATCTCTGATTCGGCCTGAGGTTATTCTTCAACGACGAGTAAGTCCATTAAGCACGAATTTGGGCAGATTTCTACTGTGTCCATTTTTGGCAGATTCCAAAGGGTTCCATCACAGATTTAAGATGATTTTTCCGAAATGCTATTTTTTCGATTTTGGAGGCTACAGATCATGGATTCAGCCCGAGGCTATTCTCCTCCGATAATGAAGTCTACTGATCCTATTCTCTACCAATGATTACCTCCATTAGGAATAAAATTGGGCCAATTTATTTTGGGATGGCATTTTCGTAATTCTTTATATGATTTTTATTCGAAAGGCCATTTTCCATGAATTTTGAAGGCTACAGATCACGGATTCGGACTAAGGCTATTCTTCAACGACGTGTAAGTCAATTAAGCACGGATTTGGGCAGATTTTTTCTCGGTCAATTTTTGGCAGATTTCAATGGGGTACCATCAAATATTTCGTAATTCTTTTTCAAAAATGCTATTTCCGTTTGATGTTGGAGGCTATAGATCACGGATTTAGCCCGAGACTATTCTCCACCGCTAATTAAGTATATTGATCATATTCTCCACCAATGATTAATCCATTAGGCATAGAATTGGGCCAATTTATTTTGGGATGGCATATTCGTAATTCATTGGCGATTTTTTTTATAAAGGCCATTTTCCATGGATTTTGATGGCTACAAATCACGGATTCGGCCTGAGGCTATTCTTCAACGATGAGTAAGTCCATTAAGTATGGATTTTGGCGGATTTCTGCCGGGTCCATTTTTGGCAGATTCCAAAGGGGTACGTACCATCACAGATTTTGGGCGATTTTTCGTAAATGCTATTTTCGTTCGATTTTGGATGCTACAGATTACCGATTCAGCCCGAGGCTATTCTCCACCGATAATAAAGTCTATTGATCCTATTCTCCACCAATGATTAAGTCCATTAGGCATAGAATCTGACCAATTTATTTTTGGATTACATTTTCGTAATTCATTGGGCGATTTTTTTTTAAAATGCCATTTTCAATGGATTTTGTTGGCTACAGATCTCGGATTCGGCCTGAAGCTATTCTTCAACGAAGATTAAGTCCATTAACCATGGATTTTGGCGGATTTCTTCCGGGTCCATTTTTGGCAGATTCCAAAGGGGTACCATCACAGATTTCGGGCGATTTTTCAAAAATGCTATTTTCTTTCGATTTTAGAGGGTACAGATCACCGTTCAGCCCGAGGCTATTCTCCACCGATAATGAAGTCTATTGATCATATTCTCCACCAATGATTAATCTATTAGGCATAGAATTGGGCCAATTTATTTTGGGATGACATATTCGTAGTACTTTGGGCGATTTTTTTTATAAAGTCCATTTTCCATGGATTTTGATGGCTTCAAATCACGGAATCGGCCTGAGGCTATTCTTCAACAACGAGCAAGTCCATTAAGCATGGATTTTCGCGGATTTCTTCCGGGTCCATTTTTAGCAGATTCTAATGGGGTACCATCACAGATTTTGGGCGATTTTCGTAAATGTTATTTTCTTTCGATTTTGGAGGCTACAGATCACCGATTAAGCCCGAGGCTATTCTCCACCCATAATGAAGTCTATTGGTCCAATTCTCCCCAATAATTAAGTCCATTAGGCATAGAATTTGACCAATTTATTTTGGGATGGCATTTTCGTAATTCCTTTGGTGATTTTTTTTAGTAAGGCCATTTTCCATGGATTTTGTTGGCTACAGATCACGGATACAGCATGAGGTTATTCTTTAACGACGAGTAAGTCCATTAGGCAAGAATTTTGTGGGATTTCTTAAAGGTCCATTTTTGGCAGATTCCAAAGGGGTAACATCACAGATTTCGGGCGATTTTTCGTAAATGATATTTTGTATCTATTTTGGAGGCTACAGATCAGCGATTCAGCCATAGGCTATTCTCCACCGATAATGAAGTCTATTGATCCTATTCTCCACCAATGATTAAGTCTATTAGGCATAGAATCTGACCAGATTATTTTGGGATGACATTTTCGTAATTCTTTGGGCGATATTTTTTCGAAAAGCCATTTTCCATGGATTTTGAATGCTAAATATCACGGATTCGACCTGAGGGTATTCTTCAATGACGTGTAAGTCCATTAAGCACGGATTTGGACGGAGTTCTTCTTGGTCAAACTTTGGTAGATTCAAAAGGGGTGCCTTTACATATTTTGGGCGATTTTTCCGAAATGCTATTTTTTCGATTTTGGAGGCTACAAATCATGGATTAAGTCCGAGGCTATTATCCACAGATAATTAATTATATTGATCATATTCTCCACCAATGATTAAGTCCATTAGGCATAGAATTGGGCCAATTTGTTTTGAGATGACATTTTCGTAATTCTTTGGGCGATTTTTGTAGAAAAGCCATTTTCCATAGATTTTGAAGGCAACAGATCACGGATTTGGCCTGAGACTATTCTTCAACGACGAGTAAGTCCATTAAGCATGGATTTGGGCGGATTTCTTCCGGGTCCATTTTTGGCAGATTCCAAAGGGGTACCAATACATATTTCTAGCGATTTTTCGAAAATGCTATTTTCTTTCGATTTTGGAGGTTACACATCACGGATTCAACCCGAGGATATTCTACACCGACAATGAAGTTTATTGATCCTATTCTCCACTAATGATTAAGTCCATTAGGCATAGAATCTAACCAATTTATTTAGGAATGGCATTTTCGTAATTTCTTGTTTGATTTTTTTCGAAAGGCCATTTGTCATTGATTTTGAAGGCTACAGATCACGGATTCGGCCTGAGGCTATTCTTCAACGACGAGTAAGTCCATTAAGCTCGGATTTGGGCAGATTTCTTCCGGATCCATTTTTGACAGATTCTAAAGGGGGTACCATTACATATTTCGGCCGATTTCTCCGAAATGCTATTTTGTTTGGATTTTGGAGGCTACAGATCACAGATTCGGCCCAAGGCTATTCTCACTAATAATGAAGTTTATTGATCCTATTCTCCACCAATGATTAAGTCCATTAGGCATAGAATCAGACCAATTTATTTTGGGATGACATTTCGTAATTCTTTTGACGATATTTTTTCAAAAGGCAATTTTCCATGGATTTCGAAGGCTACAGATCACGGATTAGGCATGAGGTTATTCTTCAACGACGTGTAAGTCCATTAAGCACGGATTTGGATGGATTTCTTCTTGGTCAAACTTTGGCAGATTCCAAAGGGGTACCTTTACATATTTCGGGCAATTTTTCCGAAATGCTATTTTCTTTCGATTTTGGAGGCTACAAATCATGTATTAAGCCCGAGGCTATTCTCCATCGATAATTAAGTATATCGATCATATTCTCCACCAATGATTAAGTCCATTAGGCATAGAATTGGGCCAATTTGTTTTGGGATGATATTTTCGTAATTCTTTGGGCGATTTTTTTCCGAAATGCCATTTTCCATGGATTTTGAAGGCTACAAATCACAGATTTGGCCAGAGGCTATTCTTCGACGACGAGTATGTCCATTAAGCACGGATTTAGGCGAATTTCTTCAGGGTCCATTTTTCGCAGATTCCAAAGGGGTACCATTACATATTTCGGGCTATTTCCGAAATGCTATTTTCTTTCGATTTTGGAGGCTACACATCACGGATTCAGCTCGGGGCTATTCTCCAACGATAATTAAGTCTATTGATCTTATTCTCCACCAATGATTAAGTCCATTAGGCATAGAATCTTACCAATTTATTTTGGGATGATATTTTCGTAATTCTTTGGGTGATTTTTTTCCGAAAGGCCATTTCCATGGATTTTGAAGGCTACAGATTACAGATTTGGCCGGAGGCTATTCTTCAACGACGAGTAAGTCCATTAAGCACGGATTTGAGAAGATTTCGTCCGGGTCCATTTTTGGCAGATTCTAAAGGGGTATCATTACATATTTCGAGCGATTTCTCCGAAATGCTTTTTTCTTTCGATTTTGGAGGCTACAGATCACAGATTCAGCCCAAGGCTATTCTCCACCAATAATGAAGTCTATTGATCCTATTCTCCACCAATGATTAAGTCCATTAGGCATAGAATCTGACCAATTTATTTTGGGATGACATTTTATTAATTCTTTGGGCGATTTTTTTTTTCGAAAAGTCATTTTCCATGGATTTTAAAGGCTACAGATCACAAATTCGTCCTGAGACTATTCTTCAACGACGAGTAAGTCCATTAAGCACGGATTTGGGCGGATTTCTTCCCGATCCATTTTTGGTAGATTCCAAAGGGGTACCATTACATATTTCGGACGATTTCTCCGAAATGCTATTTTCTTTTAATTTTGAAGGCTACAGATCACGGATTCAGTCCGAGGCTATTCTCCACCAATAATGAAGTCTATTGATCCTATTCTCCACCAATGATTAAGTCCATTAAGCATAGAATCTGACCAATTTATTTTGGGATGTCATTTTCATAATTCTTCTCGCGATTTTTTTTCGAAAAGGCCATTTTCCATGGATTTTGAAGGCTATTGATCACGGATTCGGCTTGAGGCTATTCTCGAACAACGAGTAAGTCCATTAAGCACGAATTTGGGAGGATTTCTTCCGGGTCCATTATTTGCAAATTCCAAGGGGGTACCATCACAGATTTCGTGCGATTTTTCCGAAATTCTATTTTCTTTCGATTTTGGAGTTTACTGATCACGGATTCAACCCGACGCTATTCTCCATTGATAATGAAGTCTATTGATCCTATTCTCCACCAATGATTAAGTCCATTCAACATAGAATCTGACCAATTTATTTTGGGATGGCATTTTCGTAATTCTTCTCGCGATTTTTTTATTTAGAAAATGCCATTTTCCATGGATTTTGAAGGCTATTGATCACGGATTCGGCTTGAGGCTATTTTCGAACAACGAGTAAGTCCATTATGCACGGATTTGGGAGGATTTCTTTCGGGGTCCATTTTTTGCAAATTCGAAAGGGGTATCATCACAGATTTCGGGCGATTTTACCGAATTGCTATTTTCTTTTGATTTTGGAGGCTACAGATCACGAATTCAGTCCGAAGCTATACTCCAACGATAATGAAGTTTATTGATCTTAATCTCCACCAATGATTCCGTCCATTAATAATAGAATTGGGCCAATTTATTTTGAGATAACATTTTCGTAATTCTTTGGGCATTTATTTTCGAAATGCTATTTTCCATGGTTTTTGAAGGCTACATATGACACATTCTGCATAAGGCTATTATTCAACGACGAGTAAGTCCATAAAGCATGGATTTGGACGGATTTCTTCCAGGTCCATTTTTGGCATATTCCAAATGGGTACCATCACTGATTTCGGACGATTTCTCTAAAATGCTATTTTCTTTCGATTTTTTGGCTACAGATCACGGATTTAGCCCGAGGCTATTCTCCACCAATAATGAAGTCTATTGATCATATTATCCACCGATGATTAAGTTCATTAGGCATAGAATTGGTTCAATTTATTTTGGGATTGCATTTTCGTAATTATTTGGGTGATATTTTTTCGAAATGCCATTTTCCATGGATTTTGAAGGCTATAGATAACGGATTTAGCCTGAGGCTATTTTTCAAAGACGAGTAAGTCCATTAAACACGGATTCGGGCGGATTTTTTCCTGGTCCATTTTTGGCAGATTCCAAAGGGGTACCATCACAGATTTCGTGCTATTTTCCCCAATTGCTATTTTCTTTCGATTTTGGAGGCTACATATCACGAATTCAGCCCGAGGCTATTCTCCAACGATAATGAAGTTTATTGATCCTATTCTCCACCAATGATTTCGTCCATTAAGAATAGAATTGGGCCAATTTATTTTGGGATGACATTTTCGTAATTCTTTGGGCATTTATTTTCGAAATGCTATTTTCCATGGATTTTGAAGGCTACATATGACAGATTCTGTCTAAGGCTATTCTTCAACGACGAGTAAGTCCATAAAGCACGGATTTGGGCGGATTTCTTCCGGATCCATTTTTGGCATATTCCAAATGGGTACCATCACAGATTTCGGACGATTTTTCCGAAATGTTATTTTATTTCGATTTTGGAGGCTACAGATCACGGATTCAGCTCGAGGCTATTCTCCACCGATAATAAAGTCTATTGATACTATTCTCTACCAATGATTAAGTCCATTAGGCATAGAATTTGGCCAATTTATTTTTGGATGACATTTTCGTAATTCTTTGTGCAATTTTTTTCAAAAGGCCATTTTCCTTGGATTTTGAAGGCTACGGATCACGATTTCTGCATGAGGCTATTCTTCAACGATGAGTAAATCCATTAAGCACGTATTTGGGCGGATTTCTCCGGTCCATTTTTGGCAGAGTCCAAAGGGGTACCATCACAGATTTCGGACGATTTTTTCGAAATTATATTTTCTTTCGATTTTGGAGGCTGCAAAACACGGATTCAGCCCGAGGCTATTCTCCACTGATAATGAAGTTTGTTGATCCTATTCTCCACCAATGATTAAGCGCATTATACCTAAAATTGGGTCAAGTTATTTTGGGATGACAAATAACACCACAAATAGGTCTCTTTTGTAGACTAACTACAAATAGCACCAATAGCACCAAATAAGAATATAACTAACCACATATTACACTAAACTATAGAAATATTTGGCCCAACCGAGTAAGCAATGCTTCATGTCGATGTGCCCAACCATCACTAGCTCTCCTTTCCATCTTTGAGGTCGACGACCTTTCCACCAAATTCATTTTTTTAGATTTTTGTTTCCATCGTCTTTGGCTACCACGGTTGATCACAACTAATGACAAATCACATATTGCAAATAAGTGATTAACCGCAAACCATTTGTTGTGCGATCACAGAGTTAGTGATTTTGTCGAGCATTATTCGATACGAGTAACCATAACCACACTGTGGAAGGCATTGTACAGACTCAGAATCCCTCTCACGTCGTCCCTCAAGACATTCCTTGTACTCTCCTGTATTTTTGTCCTTGAATTTGCCAAACACATCTGGCACATATAATTCAAGTCAGCTGTTTTTGCAACCAGAATTGTTTTGGTCACCGAAAATGCTGTTATCTGTCACCAATTGTAGTTCGGGACATAAAGTGCCCCGAAATCGTGACCAATCTAAGGAATCGTTGAGACAAAAATAAGTTAAGGTTTTTGGTTACCATATTAGTTCGTCACTATATATGAGCACTTCTACTATGCTATATAGTATTGGTGCTTTAATGTACAAGAAGCACCCCGCTGCTTGGTGCGTCTCCATGTGGGCTAGGGGTAAACCGGCCCAAACTGGTTCAGTTTTGAGTCCGATCTGGGCCTTAAATGCAAACTGACACTCTATTCCATAGATCAAAGCAAAGCATGAATAATAAGTACAAGGTTTTTGTGCCAGCAAAACTCGACAACAAATTCACAATCATGATCCTCCATCCCTGTAAATCAGCTACAATTATTGGACTCTACAATTCCAGCAACCGCTAACTAACACAGACAGGACTCAAACAACGTAACACATGCACTAAACAAACTTGAGCGCAGCGACCAAATGCAAAATAAACCAGCACCACTTTCAAACCTTCTTCTTCTGGCACACCGATATTCTTCATCAACTCCTCCAGCAGCATGACCTACATTATATTTACGGGGTTGCCTTGCTAGATAGGAATCGGGTTGAGTAGGATGGAAGTGATGTGATCTTTCATAGACCCCGAGTGCGTATACGAATCGTTACGAATGTATATGAAAGTGATGATTCGGACGAGGTCCAGGAAGTGCTGAATCACAGGCATCCCAACTGGAGTCGGCCGCATGCACTCCTCATTCAAGTCCTTCCATGCATCATCGCACATCTTCCTGATCGCTTCCACTGCCTCTTCGTCCGACACCACATGCTCCTTCTTGTAACATTCCACCGCAGATGGACAGTGCCCTCTCTTCTGCTCATCCTACCCACGCATCGATCGCCGCGCAGCAACAACAGTATAATTAATAAGATTTACTATTGCAAAACCTCTCCAAACAACTCGAGTTATTAATTGGTTATACGCGCGCACCTCATGACTCATGATGTCATTGAGTAGCCGCCCCAGGAGCTTTGCTGCCGTATCGATGGTGGGGTTGGTTTTCAGCCACTCGTACTCTTTGGCACCCATGGCTTCCCCCATTCCAATGAAGTATGCAGCTGAGATCACGCCGTAAGAGCTTGAAGGTATGCCGTTTGCAATGAACTCTTTCACCGTCGGTGTGTAGCGACTCGCCAGCCATTTTGCCTCCACATCATATGCCCTCGCCAACTCCTTGAACTATACACACAAATGATCAAACCAGAAAGATATGCTTAAAGTTGCCGGGGAGTACGATTAACCTTCGGATTTGAAATATAGTCAGGTAAGACGCGGTACGGAAAACAAACTCGAATTATTATTGAAACTAGTTAGTTTATCGGATCGATCTTACAGCATCCTTGGCGTGGTGTGCTCCGTAGCTTCTCCCCTCTTTCTCTATGTCTTGTTCCATATCATCACAAAGTTTGAGAAATGCCCTAAAAAGGAGTCGCATGTCATCCGAAAGCTGCTCAACCGCACTCTCGTCGTCACACCTGGAAAAAAAGTTACCATGCATGCAAAACCCATATTGAATATGCATGCATATGACGAACAAGAGCTTGGTCTAATAACAACATCACCAGTTTCGAATATGCATGACGTGGATGGTAACCACCTCTCAAAAGCGTCAGCAAAGAGTTGGAGCTCCTCAGGGGTACCGTAGGCATCGAAAGTGTCGTCGACCAACGACACCATTTTGGCAAATTTGGTGGCTGCAATCCTCGACACCACCTTGTGTGGCTCGTAATGAGATCCCGTCGCCCAAAAATACAGCTCCACGATTCTGTCTCTTGCATAGAGAAGCCTCTCTTGAAGACCAGTGTCCCTCCACCACCTGGAAACGAAGGCCAGCTCGTTTTGGTGCATCAGCTGCACGAAGTTGAAGTCGAGCTTGGCAAATTTGAGAAGGGTTTCGTCTCTCGATTCTTCCTCGGCGTAGAAAGAGATGAATCTCCATGAATCTATCCTTCGAGCGCTCTTGTGGAAGGGACAAATCAGTGCATTTTCTATGTGTGCTGCCAAATGAGGCTTTATAACATTGGTGGCCGAGTAATCTTCCAGCTGCAAAGTGGACCTTGAGAAGGCTAGGGCTTGTCATCTTACCCCATCCCTCACATACACTCAAATATATTAAAAGAAAAAGTCTTTATTATTTGATCAAAGTTGTTATATGTATGACTAGGATGGGAGATTGATTTGTGTAACTAAATCGAATCGAAAATAAAAACCGAAAAATTTGAACAAGTAATATCCTTAAAAATGAACTATTAAGAGGCTTAAACGGTTCAATTTGATTTCAAGAAAATGAAACCTGAATGATTTTAATAATGAGGAAAATTCATATGCTAATATATGCTCACTGTGCACATCTTACTTTCTTTTTCCGATTTACAACATAGTCTTATTGGTGGTTGTTGGTCATGAAACTTAGTACTTTATATTGCTTTGGATTTGGTCAATTTGTTTCTCTGTTCAATTGTTAAGTTTTGCTACATAAATAAGTGATTGCTACAATTCTATCATTCTGCTTCCATCTTTACTTGATCGGATTTGTGTACCCAATGAGTTAACTGGTTGATAGAACTTGGATCCAACAAATTATATTACGAATGTTCTTTATTTTTTCTTAATAAATTGGACTTGCAAGAGACAACGAATATTGGTGTCTTAACTTATATGGACAATGAGAAAAATATTATTTTGTTTTGTTAGTGAATTAGAGGTGAGGTGTTGTACATGTTCGGGTTATGAATAATAATCATATGTATGCGTTCACTTTTAGTGTTGAATTCGCTTATCATATGAATATGCAATAGCTCTATGTAGTAGTTAATTCATTGTATATTTCATGATCCAAGTCAAAGTTGTGCTCGATCGATAACCTTCTAACTCTCTTCCTCACTCACAACAAGTTGAATGTTATTATTCAATGATTTTTTAAAATGTTACATGTTTTCTCCAAGAGTTTTTATTATATGAGTCATGATTAGGCGTAGTTTTCCTATTTATGCATTCTTCACTCAATATATGTTCATTCCCCCATTTTACCGATGAATGGTAACTATTCTATTCCTTCATTTTATTGTTCTCGATTAACTATTAATCGTAAAATTCGAATCAGACTTCGGTTAGCTTGCATGACCATAACCAAATTTTCTGCCCTATAACCAAATACTCCCTGCGGCGTAGCCACGGGTATTGATTCTAGTATCATTGATTTGGATCAACCACTTCTCGATACTGTCATTGTCATTTGCTTTCCTTTAGAGGTACATGAATTTCAATCGTAATCTTGGTGTTTCTGCAGGACGTTTTTGTAGGTGGCACCGAAACTTCCTCCACGACGGTTGAATGGGCAATGTGCGAATTGCTCAGAGACGCAAAATCGATGAAAAAAGCACAATCTGAGGTAAGACAAGCGTTTGGCTCGACTGGAATCGTAGAAGAAGCTCGTCTCGGCGAATTGAAGTACATGAAAATGGTGCTGAAAGAAGCGTTGAGGCTTCGTCCGACCGCACCGCTGCTGCTTCCCAGGCAGAACTCCGAGGGATGTGAAATTGATGGGTACTATGTTCCTGCGAATACTAGAGTGCTCTTCAACGTATGGGCCATGGGAAGGGATCCCAAGTATTGGGTGCGGCCCGACGAGTTCGATCCCGACAGGTTCGTCGATTCGTCGGTCGATTATAAAGGGGCGAATTACGAGTTCATTCCTTTCGGAGCGGGAAGAAGGATGTGTCCTGGTATGGCGTTCGGGATGGCGAATGTCGAGTTTCAGCTGGCTAATTTGTTGTACCATTTCGACTGGGAGATGCCTGGAGAAAACGGGGGGGAGCTTTGAAGATCTGGACATGTCTGAAAAATTTGGTGTGAATGTGAAAAGGAAACATGATCTGTGTTTAATCCCTGTTCCTTACTTACCCTGCCTTGTAACTGCATAAACTACCCATTGATTTGATATGAAGCATTCATCTAATTCGTGTTGTATCGTTTTGTTTGATTCGTACAATAAAAAAAATCTAATATATATTTGGCTTTCTATATGTATTCTTGTCTATAATAAGAGGATACATTAATTAGCATGGTATGCATACTAAAATTAGCATAAGATTATATAAATTATCGGAACAAATTCAAAAATGAAACCAATCCTAATTGTAAGAGTTTGTTAGTCAAAAATCAAAGTATAGTGGCTAACTTGTCAGAGTCTTAAAATAAAGGGACCGGATTGGATAATCCTAATTCCTAATTGTACCATTCCAACCGAGTCAAACGCACAAACGACTTTTTCCCCGCGAGACTCCCGCTCCAATTTCAATCTCCTCCGCCGGTCGACGCACCGCCGTCCTTCAGATTTTGCACATAGGTTAGTTTCAGAGTGCTTTCGAGTATCAAATACTGGCTTGTTATCTGTCTAATTTCGTACCTGCCCTTTGCAATCCGTGTTTCTTGTTTGTTTTCTCTTCTCCGCTCGAGCTTGAACTGTTTTGGAGTTTCGGCCGGCGGGTCTGCATTTACAGTCGCGTATTGTTATGAAAGATTCTAACTTTTAAGTGTATTAGCTGCGGTTGTGTTTGGGTTTCCCCTGTCTTCGCATTATCTCTCTCTCCCCACCTCCTTCTCTTTGTGGAATGAACAGTATCCAGAAACCCTTATTTGATAGAGTGTGATGAACAGTTATCGATAAATTGGTCAGGGAAGGAGGTGGGATAGGGATGTTCTGCTTGCGGTAGACATTTGTTAAGTCTGTTATTCTGGGTGGAGTTTCCCCCAATTTTGCTCTTCTAGTGCATGGACTCATTGGGTTGTTGTTTCTGGTTTGATTCATGTTTTCACAGGGAGTCTCGTTAGGCTAAACAATCTTGCCTGAAGATGAAGCCACTGCCATCAACCTCCTCCAAGACGCCTGTCAAATTTAGAATGTAAGGGGCACAAAACTCACTGCTCCCCCTGGCTTCTATTACCTTTTCATGCCAGCAAACAGTAAATTGTTCCTCTTTGCAGGCCGACGTCTGAGAACTTGGTACCCATTCGTTTGGATATTGAAGTCGGCGGGCAGCGCTTCAAAGATGCATTCACCTGGAATATATCTGGTATATCCTTGAACTGCTATGGGCATTCACCTGGTTTCGCAGCATTGAGAAAGCCTCTCGGTTAATGGGATCCTGTGGAAGTTCATTGAACACTGTAAAATGACAATGCAGATCCAGATTCTGAAGTAAGTGTTTTCGCTAAACGAACACAGAAAGATTTGAAGCTTCCACTTGCGTTTGCTACGCAGATTGCCCAGTCTATTCAGGTTTGCATGCTTGGATAATTTCCCTTAGATTTGGCATACTTTGGCAAATGGCAATACCACTCAGTTCTTTCTTCCTTTGGCCATTGTAAAATTTCATTTGCTTTGTTGTTTCTCCCCATCATTCACATTTTTCAAATCCCCCCCTTTTCTGAGGTTTCCAGACGTTTGGCAGTTCCCTCTTTGGCTTGATTCTGCTATAATCAAACTGGTTCATACTCGGTTTACTGTTGGTCCTGTCTTACAGGCGCAACTGACAGAGTTTCGATCATATCAAGGCCAAGAATGCTCGCTGGGGAGAAAATGGTCCCAATCAAGGTTTGTATAATGCGTATTTATTCTGCTCCATATCAGATGGTTTCAGCTGTTATTGTTAACAGCTTCTTGCTTCGTGGCAGCTGTTATTTTGCAATGATTTGGGCATTGAAGACCCTGAAGTGGGGGTATGCAAAGTTCTTTAAACAACTTCATATGGCTTTTTAATTCCCTTGTAAATATGTAAAATCCACATTTTATTCAGTATGTTTGACACCCATTCATGTTTTCCAGCCTGCACCGCCTTTGCAATCAGAGAACAACTTTATGAGGTTAATCTATAATCTTCGTTGAAACTATGTGCACAGCTTAGCCTACTTGAATACTCTTTTATAGTTTGGACTCTGCAGGCATATGTTTTCTTTTTCTTCTTTAATCCTTTCTTGCTGTTTCGCCTGCTAGATTGCTATTCAAAGTGTAGCAACAGCAAGGGAAAGTCGAAATGCCAAAAAGGGTCGCCGTGGCGAATATTCTTCCATTTCCAGGTTAGTCTTCGTTACTCTATTCTGATATGTTCCTAAACCTCGTTTCAGGGTTTATGCAAAACAGGTTTATAGTAGAATTTAAATGGTATGGAACTTTGAATGACTTGTACTGCTAATGCAATAGTGCTCATATAGTAGGTCAGCTGGTGCTGCACTGGACTTGATGAAGTTATTCAGCAACAGATATAGCGTTGTCCTGTTAGTTTTCTAGACTTCATGTGTTTGACGTTAATTTTTTAAGCATCAAAGAATGTGTATGCTAGGAAGTTTTCTGTGTTCTGGTAATTATGCTTCAGGAAAATTAAAGATTTTACAAACTCAACCTGTTCCAGTATGACTGAAGGATTCATTCATATTTTAGAGAAGAGGGGAATGTTAATTGTCTCTTAATTTCTATTGTTGAACCGAATGCTTGTACACTCATAAGGCTGATACACATGACTGAACTATGAGAAAGAGTTACTGCTTATGTTTGGAGTTCATAAGATTGGGAACAGCGGACTTTAGATGAGTAAAATTTTGAATTTGATAGTCCATGGATTGTGTAAATATTGTGGGTTGGTTAAGACGGGCTGGTTGAATAGAGAAGATAAGTTTTATCAGGGGTCTTGCCACTCCCAATAATTCAACATGTGTTGGTTATTACGCAAAGGCGGTCACTGTTGATGTTATCAGTCACCAGAATTGAAAAAAGAAGAAGAATAAAAGCGGATGGAAGTTTCAATTGGCATCCTATTTTATGGGTTATCGTAGATAGTTTACTTTATGCTATTATCATGTTGTTGATCAATCGGTGAGCAAGAACGCTTCAGTTATGTATGGAACCATCAAATTCTGCTTCATGAATACCTGACTTCGGAAAAGTGCATTTGTGTCTTGTGTAGCTAGTCTCTCCGTCGATTATTAGGTGCTTTCAAGGAGTACATGAATGAATTGTCGTTGAATTCGGGGATACTTATCCTTCATGCTTTCTCATTTTGGCTTGTGTAGGCATGTCTAATGCTTTATCAAGTATCCCCGGTGCATTTTTCACTTGTAGAAATTTACTACATCGCTGAATTTTGGTTCGCGCTGCTCATGCTTGACGTATGCTAGATCTTAACTGTCTGTGAACGTTAGCAAACTCATTTGACGGTTTTTCTATGTGCAATTGTCTTGAAATCAGGAAGAGGAAGGAATGGGACGTGTTCGAGCCAATGGTGGATATGCTATCAAATGAGGAAGTAGCTGCCCTTGAATCAATGGAAGAGAGGAAACCCCGTTGAATCGGTTATGGTTGCAGATTGCATGCCTTGGGCTTGATGGAATCTAGTATATGTCCTACTACAGTGCAAGTCCATGCAGTGATGCCTAGCTAGAGAGGATATATTTGTCAAATGACTTGGCTTTGGAGGTTCATGGTTCTTTAGTTGGGTTAAAAACTTAGAATGGGTGTCGGCTCTTTGGTAGTAGTTGGGATTTGATGCAAGTGGTCAATATTTGATGCAGGTGGGAGCTTTTTTCGTCATTTGCTAGGTTTAAGGCTGCTGGGTAAAGTGAAGGTTTTCAGGTACTAGATCATATCATGCCAATGGTGGATTAGTCTGTTAATACTGTAAAGAGGGGTACGGCAATGTACTGTTATCCGGATTATTAAACCTTTCCAACAACTCGAGTTATTGACATGGTATCGTTCCGAGTTATTGAAACTAATTGGTTCCTGACAGAGACTGATCATATTGCAGGTCGAGAAATGGCGGGACCTCGAAGAAGCTTGAACCCCCTAGCTACATGCTTAGCTCCTCGACCGATCCATCCAATGTCTGGCGATCAAACTGGGAAGGGTGTGACGAAGAGAGCCATAAGCATGTCCTTGGTGCTGGTGTCGGAATTCGTGTAACCGTCGAACTCCTTGTAAAGAGTCTCCATCACATTGGCAAGGCCGACAAGTATCTGCAGAACGTCATGGTTAGGTACTACTGCAGCGGCAGCAGCAACATCATCACGACCTGTTGGCGGATTGAGCAGTCGCAGTATCTCTCCGTTCATGATCTTCCAGTCATCCTCTGCAATTCCCCTTACAGCAGTCATCGCCTCTTCTTTCCCCACGCCGTGTTCCTTCATGTAACACTGTATCGACGATGCAGCATGCCCCCTTTTCTGCTCGAACTGAGTTACAAACATATATATAAAAAAAACTAACACTAACCAATAAAAAACTAACCGAATTTCGGGCGCACTGCATATGCTGCATGGCGTAGCGATTACCTCGTGGGAGACCATGTCGTCTCGGAGACGACAGTGGTCCGACGAAACTACCAACATTTTGGGCAAGCTGAACAGCCAATCGAAGGCTTCCTTTGGCGCAGACTGCCGGCCGAGACCGCACATGGTGGCGTACGCTATCCACTGGTAGATGGTGCTGAGTGAAGAAACCTGCCTGTATTCCTCTAAGCTCGGCACATGATCTTGGTAGAACCATCGTGCTTCTTCCATGTACATCCTTGTCACAAACTTCAGCTGCATACGTACGCACAGTCACATACATCAATAAGGGCTCGTTTAATTTGGCATGCATAAAAATGGAACTTGGGAACTTGGTCATAGATAGATTTATATTTACCGCCTGTTTTCCAAACTCCAAACAGTAGGGCATTCCATCCCTTGATGTCACCGTGTCGATTTCCTCGTACACCCCGATGATAGCATCAAATAGGGTTTTCATGCAGTTGTTCAGATCTTTCACGTTTGGATCCCACCTGTTCGATCTCGAAATTAAAAGAAAGAAGAAGAAAAAAAACTCGTTTTAACACGCATAGTTAATTATGTGTCGTGCAGATTACTACGAGTTAATCGTACTTTTCAGTGGCGGTCGTGAACAGTTCGAGTTCTTCCACGTAGCCGTAGGCATCGTACGTGTCGTCGTACATCGACCCGATCGAGATGACCTTGGTGTAGAAGTACCTAGCTAGGGCGAATTTGGGTTCCCACGCGCTTGCCATAGCCCAAAAGAATATCTCGACCAGCTTGTCCCGAGCATAAGGCAGCTTCCTCGGCAAATCCAACCCGACCCACCACCTGATGACAAAAACACAAACATCGTAGTAAGTTCCAGTTTCTCGCTCAACAACTCGAGTTATATATACTCGTAAGTACGCTATGCACTTACTCGGTGAGGACTTTGAGCTCCTTTTGGTACAAGTCTTGCACCACATTGAAGCTCAGCTTGGCCAGCTCGAGGAGAGCTACGTCGTGGCCGTGGAATTTCTCGTACATGGGTATGAAGAACAGGTGTTCGACCCTTTTGACGCCTTTCCTCAGCGGCATTTCCAGAGAATGCGCCACTAGTTCAGCCATAGGGGATTCCAATTCGGCGGCGTTCATGAGGTGAAGTTTTGTGAACTCGATTGCTTCGTCTAATATAGCATCCTCTTCCGTTCTCAAGTATGCAGCTTCATACAAATTCAACATGCCTTTGATATCACTCGCTATTATTTCCTTCTTAAACTCTCCTCTTCCTCCATCCTTCTTGAATTGCTTGAATACATCTGTTATATCAGGAAACTCAAATCAAATAGTTAGCACGATGTTATATATATGTCATAAACCAGCTGGTCCCAATAACTCGAGTTATTGAGAGAAGGTTCCGCTGAATCTTATAAATACCACTCACTAACAATTTACATACCACTCGAAACAGCATAATTATGTTGTCTGAGCAGTCTGAAACGGAGCGCAACGGTGTTGAGATCGTCGTTGCGACGATAATATTGGTCGTAGATTTCTCCAAAGACTCCTTCGATTTCTCCCTCGAAGTGGTACCCGATTCCCAGCCGCTCGATCGTGTCGATTCGACTCAGCCTTTCCGACAGCGCCGTCCCCGGGGCTAACAACGTGCTCCTCACGTTGGACTTCAACACTTCGATCCGTTCGTTCCAGGCCGTAATCACCTACAAATTTTCGTGTAAGAAAGTGGTTAAAGTATCATACATGGATCTCTTCACAAAAAAAAAAAAAAAAAAACTCGAGTCGTTAGTTGGTTTATGACATGGTATCATCAATTGGGCTTTCGTTTGGCGCGAGTCGCCACATGGTATTTATATATGATGGGTCTCTGTGCCAACTTAAACCTCCGCCATGAGTTGACTTTCGTTTGGCAGGGAGTGAAATGAAGTGATTAATTACTGTACTGCATGGCTTCTGTTTCTACCTCATGATCAGGTTTGTAAGTGCATACCTCATCAGGTTGGGGGACATGGGTGATGAAGAAATCTCTCCATACGCTGGGATGGAAATCCGCTGTCCGCCGGGAGGGTTGGCTCGCAGCTGCTCCGGCGCCGGCGCCGGCCATGTTGTGGGAGAGGGGGCTAGCTGTCTGAATTTTATTGCTAGCTAGCTCGTCTGCATATAAATAGACGGCTTAGATAGCGCATGATTTGCTTGATCTCAGCTTGATCATATATATTAGCTCTCATCATCATAATATAATTAAATAAAAGAGAGGTTTTTGTGGTCTTTATATCGCGTTCTTTGTTGAATATTCGATAATTCGGACGATTAGATGTGACAATTTGTAATCCAATCCACCTATTTAATGGTGTACATCTGATTATTTTGATGAATAATGATAAGCAATTTTATTACCCAAGATTAGAGATTGTCAACCGAGTAACTTTGTGCTCTTTATTTATCGGCATCATCTCTTGAAAATTAAAAATTAAGGACGGCTAGCTGGCTCCTTGTGCGCTACATGTAGACATATCAATACCTGATTACTAAGAAAATTTTACATGTACAAAGCCATCGCACTACACAATTGTTTTTTTTTTAAATACTTATAGCTAAGTAGCTAGGGATGGCAATTTTGCCCATACCCATGGGTTTCTTATTATCCAACCCAATTGGGTTGGGTATGAAATCCAAATAGATGGATATGGGTAGAGTTTGATGAGTTTGTACCCATACCCATTTACTTTGGGTTGAGTTGGGTTTATATCAAATGGATTTGGGTTTGTACTCATACCCAAATACAAATTACAGTTTGGTACCCAAACTTAATAGACATGCATATTTAGTACCGAAATTTAATTTTTTTGCATATAAGTCCTCAAAATATCGATGGAAAATTATGTTTTGGTACCTAAATTTTTTTGGTCTTACATTTTGGTACCTAAACTTTTCAAGTTTTGCAAATAGGTCCAATTTTTGCATGTGTAGTTAAAACACCCTCAAGTAAATGGATATCCATATCCAACCCATACCCATTTAGATTATGGAAGCCCCAAACCCAAACCCATCTATAAACTCCCAAATCCATATGCACTTCACCCATACCCAACCCATTATCAATGGGTCTAATTGGGTTTGGGTATAATTACCCATGGGTGGGTAATTTGCCATCCCTATAAGTAGCACTACGAAGGTTTTCTTATTCCAAACTTTCACAATTAAATACGGTACAATTCAAGTATCACATCGTAAAAATGAAAGAGAACATTAGTTTAGCTTCATTATACGATATTATTTTAGGAAAACAAATTCAAAATATCCCCCTTTGCCACCTTACACAATTATATAATCAATTTTGAGTGAAGTTCTAAACTAGTTCACGAATCTGTTCCGTGATGAACTTGGAAAAAGATTGAGAGGTATGAAAATTTTTCAAGAATCCGTTCATGTCAATAACTCGAGTTGTTGTGAGATGTTTAATTATGGATCATATACCGTTTACTAATACATCCCCTCCCCTCCCCTCTCCTCAAACTCAAGCCACTCAGATAGGCTTGGAGTTTGCACAAACACAGGTCCGGATACCATGTGCTTAACAGAAACAGATGGGGATAAAATCGAAAATCGAACAAAAGACTTCATGATCACAGCAGGCTCGGATACCATGTCAAGAAACAATTGATCTCAATAATTCGAGTTGTTGAAAGAAGTTCTAAACTGGTAATCGGATAACATCACTATAATAAACTATTCAATCGATCCAACCGATAGATTGACACAAGCCGTAGAACTTGGATGACACATATATATGATTTTGACACTACCTTAAAAAGTTCGCATGCTATAATATTGAAGCTTTAGAAAAATAAACATTACTTAAAGTATACTCAGATTAATTAATTGGACATTAGTTGGATCCAACCTGTCATCCTTATCAGGCCTCTGGTTTTGCATATTCTTTATTGACAATGATAGCAATGATCCAAGAGATCGATGGAATACCGACTGGACTATTCTTGGCATTACTATGATCATATACTTTGTGCCATAATAATATAATCATCCATATATAAAAATCATTATAACATTATCTGTGTTATAAACGCTCTGCTACGGATCGGGAAATCGCAGGAATCGACAAAGCAAGAATCGAAAAACACGACACACGATTTACGTGGTTCACTAACACGATGTGTGTTAGCTACGTCCACGGGCAAGAGAGAGCCAGTTTCACTATATCAAGGAGATTACAGATTACAGAGGAGTATGAGAAGTATTTATAGTACTTCTCCAAGTGGGTCTAAACCTAATCCAATCTGACAAAGGAAACGGTTACAGACCAGGCCCAGAACCCCCACCGGGGCGTTGCCCCTGGACCCCACTCGGTGACCGGGCAGCGAGACCCCCGACTACCAGTCGTAGCGGCTGATAGTCTGATTCAAGTCATATCAACAATCTGAAATAATTAAAATAGTAAATAAAATGACTCGAATCAACAGAATAGGTGATGAGAAGTTGAGAACTTAATTCAGGGTCGTCCCATGATATTTGGAGGCCCTGTTTGAAAATTTAAAATGTGGCCCTAATTTTTTTCCCATAAATTTATCAAAATAAAAAATTAGTAAATAATTGTAAAAAAATACTTAAGTTCAGAAAAAGATTACATCAGGAATAAACGATCTCGTTTCTAGTTTGACCAAGAAACCAAGACCGAATTCCCAGCCCTAGTAGGGAGGAAAGTAAATCTGGAAGGAAGAGAAAATGGATATAGCGCAAAAATTGAATGTAGAAATGAAAATAGTCTAAATTGATCGAGAGGTGGGTGCAGGGTTGTCTAGTAGATCGTGGAGGCCCTATTTCAAAATCTAGACGTGGTCCAAATCGACCTTTAACTATAATAAAACTAAAATGATTATAATAACATTATTCAAAATGTAATATCTTTCTATATTGTTTAAATTAAAATTATCTATTATTTTTCAGATTTTCGTATTCTCCATGAGATCATTTTCAATTGTTATTATAGCTAAAATTATCTATTAAACACATCATCATACTCATATCAATCAATCTTACACTAAAAATACAACCTACAATATACGATCGGTAACTAACGAATCTAAGTAGAGGCCTCTAATATTCTGAGGCCCTGTGCCGGAGGGCGGGCCAGCACACCCTCTTGGCCGGCCCTGACTTAATTGAATCAAGAATACGGAAAAATTAAAGAACATGAAAAATAATAGAAAAGAAAGGATATTAAATAGAACAAAATGATACAAAAAAATGTATAGCCTAAAGTTAAGTATGTTACAGACTATTTATCATTGCTTTACTTCTTATTTTCTTTTACTGTTGATGGATTATATTGTACCTTATTGTAGTTGACGTTAAGATAAACAATCTCACTTCTCTTATTCTTACTGGAAAAACATATGACAAAACATCTACTCCTTTATATGATTTTGGGAAAAAAAAGTCTAATAAAAAAGTAAATCTTCCTTCTTCCATTCGTTCTTTTAGAGTTTGAAAATATATTTTTTAATCATATTAGAGATATAATTAAAGCCCAATACATAAATTTTCTATGTTCCAAATTTATAACTGAAACTCAATACTACATAAATATAATTATAATTACACATAATGTGAGACCCCAATAACTTGGAGGCCCTGTGCAAGATGTGCTATAACTAATAATGGATAAATAAAATTTATTCTTAATCGTGATGTTCGTTTGGTTGTCGTCTTTGATTCTAGCTATTTAAGATTTTTTTAAAATAAAGATAACATATGTCTGTTTTTATTAATTATAAGGCATTATTAACATATTCGAATATCGGACTTTTTAAATTCAAAACGAGTGATAATACCATTAAATCAAATATTACGTTCAAATCTTAGACCTATATATGTGTATGGATCTACATGTTGTTCTTGATCATTAACAAAACAAAAAAAAGGATTGCATGTTGATCGATAATGGGGGTACTAATGGATGGTAAGTTAGAAGCTACCCTTCTTCTTCTTCTTCTAACTAGTACAGTAGTCATCATCATATTGGCAACGAGGAGGAGAAGGTCGAAGTCGGGAGTATCACGGCTGCCGCCGGGGCCATGGAAGCTGCCGGTGATTGGAAATCTGCACCAAATGCTGGCCGGCGGCGCCGATCGTCACCTGCCCCACCGCCGGCTGGCCCACCTGGCCACCAGATACGGCCCACTGATGCAGATCCAGCTGGGCGAGATCCCCAGCGTCGTCGTGTCCTCCCCGGAGTGGGCCCGGGCCATCATGCAGGCCCACGACCTCAACTTCGCCACCAGGCCCGTCCTGCCCTCCGTCGCCATCATCTTCTACGGCTGCCGCGACATCGCCTTCGCGGCCTACGGCGAGTACTGGCGGGAGATGAGGAAGGTGTGCGCGGTGGAGCTGCTGGGCCCGCGACGGGCCCAGCAGCTTCGCCCGATCATGGAGGTAGAGATGATCCAGATGGTGAGGAGAATATCTTCCTCGTCGTCATCATCATCCTCATCCTTGTTATGTGACAATTCAAGTACCACATCGATAACACAAGGGTGCGTCAACCTGACGCAGATGCTGTTATCACTGGGGAACGCCATCACGTCACGGGCCGCCTTTGGGAAGGCCCAGAGACAGGAAGACGTCTTCCTGCCTTTCATCGAACAGATGGTGAACACGCTGGGAGGTTTCACTTTCGGCGACCTCTTCCCCTCGTGGAAGCTCTTGCGCCGCGTCGTCGGGACGGAGAAGAAACTCAAGGAGCTTCACGGGGCAGCAGATGTCGTCCTCGAAGGTATCATTAGCGACCACTTGGCCAAACGATCGGTTGTTGCAGCGGACGATATTGATGACGACCAAGACCTTGTTGATGTGCTTTTGAATCTCAAGGAGGACAAACACCTCGGATATACTTTCTCCAACGCCGAGATTAAAGCCGTCATCCTCGTAAGCACATTTCTTTTCATTCCAAAAAGAATAATATAAAAAAAAGTACGCTAGTCTTTGCTATATATATGTATATGTGCGCGCGTTACAGGACTTGTTTCTAGCTGGAACTGAAACATGGACTGTCACGGTGGAATGGGCGATGTCACAACTGATGAAGAACCCGAGAATCATGGAGAAAGCACAGAGAGAAGTCAGACAGGTGGTGGCTGGAGGAAATAGTAGGAAAATAGATGCAGCGACGGTGGAGGAACTGGGCTATCTCCAGCTGGTTGTGAAAGAGACCTTAAGGCTGCATCCTCCAGGGCCACTGACGATACCGAGGGAGTGTCGAGAGACGATAGTGATTGACGGGTATCGGATACCGGCCAAGACAAGGGTCATCGTCAATGCATGGGCTATCGGCAGAGATCCGCGCCATTGGGTCGAACCGGAGAAATTCCATCCGGAAAGGTTCCTCGACCTCGAGATCGACTACAAGGGACTCGATTTCGAATTCATACCGTTTGGATCCGGACGAAGAGTTTGCCCAGGGATGCAGTATGCGGTCTCCAGCATCAACCTTGCGCTCGCCAATCTGCTCTATCATTTCGACTGGAAGCTGCCCAATGGGATACAGCCTCAAGATTTCGATATGTCCGAGGGATTTGGGATTGAAGTGAAAAGAAAAAATGAACTCTTCCTAATTCCCATTCCATACCACGCCTCAAATACTAGCGCCTAGCTAGCCCTGTATTCTGTTATGTTATGTCTTTGCTGGTGTTGTTTCCTCTCTAGATCTCGTTTCCTCTTTATATTCACCATTCCAATCCCATTGCGAATTTACTTTTTATGTAATTAGGTTCAGTCAATAATAAAATTTATATAATTATTATTACGGGACAATCCAAGTACCACATCGGTTATACAAGAGAAAGGAACCCTTGTCTATTAGTGTCCATCTAGCCTAATTAGTACGAGACTTTTTGGGGAGTACACCCAAGAGTAAAATCGTGCGGGCCTGGCCCAAAGCAGACAATATCATACTAATGGAGCAGCCCGAGTATGAAAGTGGTATCAGAGCCTGATTCGGTTCGGGGCGGGTTCGGCGTCTCTCGTGGATCCACCAAACAGACGTGAATCACCTTTGAGATCTGCGTTTGTCTGGCGGGTCAAACTTTGATACTCGGGCTGCTCCATTAGTACGATCTTGTCCGCTTTGGGCCAAGCACGCACGGTTTTACTTTTGGGTGTCCTCCCCAAAAGACCTCGTACTAATTAGACTAGGTGGACACTAATATACAAGGGTTCCTTCCCTTGTATAACCTATGTGGTACTTGGACTGTCCCGTAACAATCCTCCCTTCAAGACAAGGACCACGAACTTCGTGTCCTCACCTCATCGATTATCTTGTCCGGCAGATACCTTGTATCGATGGGCTTCTCGGTACAAGGATTTTTCCATATGCAGAACTCTCTTCGATCTGCCAAATCAAACGCGGATCGCCTTGATCCGCCAAACCAGATGTAGCTCAACCGTGGATCTCATGGATCCACCAAACCAGATGCAGATCGCAAATCCTGAGGTCACCGAATGACGGTCCACTCTAACGTCCACCGCCCCGAACCGAATCAAGCTCTAATACCACTTGTCGAAATCGGGCTGCTCAATTAGAACGATATTGTCCGCTTTGGGCCAAGCCCGCACGGATTTACTTTTGGGTGTCCTCCCCCAAAGGCCTCGTACTAATTGGGCTTGGTGGACACTAATATATAAGGGTTCATTCTCTTGTATTACCGATGTGGTACTTTGATTGTCACATAACAATCCTCCCCTCAAGTCAAGGACCACGAACATCGTGTCCTCACCTCAACGATTATTTTGATCCGCGAGATACTTTGTATTGATGGACTTCTCGGTACAAGAATTTTCCCAAACGCGGAACTCTCTTTGATCTGTCAAACAAACGTGGATCTCTCCTAGATCCACCAAACAGCCCAAACGCAGAGCTCTCTTTGATCTGCAAACAGACGCGAATTACAAATCCCGAGACCACCGAATGAGGGTCCACCAAACTGACGTCCACCGCCCCGAACCAAATCAGGGTCTGATACCACTTTCAAAACAGAAGCGTGCAATCGATAATCCAAACCACCACGAACGAACACAAATTTAATGTGGTTCACTAACACAATGTGTGCTAACTAATCCACGTGCAGGGGAGAACAAAATTCACTAATTTGAGGAGAGCACAAGTTACAAACCAAATTCTGAAACGGACAAACCAAACAAACTAACCCGACTGACTTTACTACAAACTAGAATGATGAAGAGTATTTATAGAACGCTTCTTCTAATCCCAAACAGAAAACCAAACACATTTTCCCAATCTAAAAAAAAGATCAAAACACAAACCTAAACAAAATAGGCGCAAAACACAAAAGAAAGTTCAAATCAAATACAAGTCATATTCTAACAATTATGTTGTTTCACATTTCTTACCAGAAATCATTCGTATGCGTAAATCTGATCAAATTTTCTGTTGCCGGCTCCGCCCCTGCTAGTTCTTGTCTATAATAAAACGGTACATTAATTAGCATGATTTGCATATTGAAATTAGCATAAGAATATTATTGGAGAAAAAATTAATAAATGAATCCGATTATGCATCTTCTTGCGCCAACACGATATCTGGTCGTTAAACACTACTACATATTGCAACCAGTCCTAATTGTAGGAATTTATTAGTCAAAATCAAAGTATAGTGGCTAACTTATCATAAGTCTTAAAATAAAGGGACCTATTTGATATTTCCTAATTGCATCATTCCAACCTCTTCGAGGAATCAGACGCACAAACGACTTTTCCCCCGCGAGGCTCCTTTCGTGCTCCGATTTCAATCTCCTCCGCCGGTCGACGTACCGCCCTCCTCCAGATTTTGCACGGAGGTTAGTTTCAGAGTGCTTTCGAGTACCAAATACTGGCTTTTAATCTTTTCTAATTTCGTACCTGCCCTTTGCAATCGTTTCTTGTTTGTTTTCTCTTCTCCGCTCGAGCTTGAACTATTATGGAGTTTTGGCCGGCGGGTCTGCATTTACAGTCGCGTATTGTTATGAAAGATTCTAACTTTTTAGTGTACTAGCTGCGGTTGTGTTTGGGTTTCCCCCCCACTTCGCGATATCTTTCTCTCCCCCCTCCTCTTTGTGGGATGAACAGTATCCAAAAACCCTTATTTGATAGATTAGGATGAACAATTATCGATAAATTGGCAGGGAAGCAACTGGGATAGGGCTGTTCTGCTTGCGGTAGACATTTGTTAGTCTGTTCTTCTGTGTAGATTGCCCCCCCAATTGGCTCTGCTAGTGCGTGGACTCATTGGGTTCTTGTTTCTGGTTTGATTCATGTTTTTACAGTAGACCAAAAGATCTCGCCTGAAGATGAAACCATTGCCATCAACTTCCTCCAAGACGCCTGTCAAATTTAGAATGTAAGGGGCACAAAACTCACAGCTCCCCTGGCTTCTATTACCTTTCATGCCAGCAAACAGTAAATTGTTCCTCTTTGCAGGCCGACGTCTGAGAACTTGGTACCCATTCGTTTGGATATTGAAGTTGACGGGCAGCGCTTCAAGGATGCATTCACCTGGAATCTATCTGGTATATACTTGAACTGCTATTGGCATTCACCTGATTTCGCAGCTTATAGAAAGCCTCTTGGTTAATGGGGTCCTATGGAAGTTCATTGAACACTGTAAAATGACAATGCAGATCCAGATTCTGAAGTAAGTGTTTTCGCTAAGCGAACACAGAAAGACTTGAAGCTTCCTCTTGCTTTTGCTACGCAGATTGCCCAGTCTATTCAGGTTTGCATGCCTGGATAATTTCCCTTAGATGTGGCATACTTTGGCAAATGGCAATACCGCTCAGTTCTTTATTCCTTTAGCTATTGCAAATTTCATTTGCTTTGTTGTTTCCGTCTTCCAATTTCTTTCTATTCATCTATGAACATGACCTCCCATCAGTTTGCTGACTATTCATGAGTCTAAAACAAGGTGCCAGACAGCTATAAAGTTGTGAAAATTCTTAAATCTTGTCTGCAAATCACAATGAAATTTCCCTTCTCACCTGTGAAAATTCAATTTTTTTCACCCTTATCCACCAAAGTAAAAATTTCCTCCCAAATCACAGCTAGACCAGGTCTAATCTGGTCATTCCATCATCCATAATTTTCAAATTCCCCTCTTTTCTGAGGTTTCCAGACATTTAGTAGTTCCCGCTTTGGCCTGATTCAGTTATAATCAAACTGGTTCATACTCGGTTTACTGTTGATCCTGTCTTGTAGACGCAACTGACAGAGTTTCGATCATATCAAGGCCAAGAAATGCTCACTGGGGAGAAAATTGTCCCAATCAAGGTTTGTATAATGCTTATTCATTCTGCTCCATATCTGATGGTTTCAGCTGGTACTGTTAATAGCTTCTTGCTTTGTGACAGCTGGATCTTCGAGTGAATCACACACTTATCAAGGATCAATTTTTGTGGGTAAGATTGGCTTCACCTGGTATCCGATATGGGAGAAAAACTATCTTCTTATAGTTTCAATTTTATATGATCCAGGACTTTAACAACTTTGATAGTGACCCTGAAGAATTCGCTAAGACCTTTTGCAATGATTTGGGCATTGAAGACCCTGAAGTGGGGGTAAGCAAAGTTCTTTAAACAACTTCATATGGCTTCGTATGTTCCCTTGTAAAAATGTTAAATCGGCATGTCAATCAGTATGTTTGACACCCATTCATGTTTTCCAGCCTGCGGTCGCCTTTGCAATCAGAGAACAACTTTATGAGGTAATCTATAATCTTCGTAGAAACGATGTAACAGCTTAGCCTAATTGGATACTCTTTTATAGTTTGGCACTCTGCAGGCATGTTTTCCTTTTCTTCTTTAATCCTTTCATGCTATTTCGCCTGCTAGATTGCTATTCAAAGTGTAGCAACAGCAAGGGAAAGTCGAAATGCCAAAAAGGGTCGTCGTGGCGAATATTCTTCCATTTCAAGGTTTGCTTTCATTACTCTATTCTGATATGTTCCTAAACCTCATTTCAGGGTTTATGCAAAAGAGGTATGTATTAGAATTTAAATGGTAAGCAACTTTGTATGACTTGTACTGCTAACTCAATAGTGCTCATATAGTAGGTCAACTGGTGCTGCACTGGACTTGATGAAGTTATTCAGCAACAGATATAGTGTTGTCCGGTTAGTTTTCTAGACCCCATGTGTTTGACGTTAATTTTTTAAGCATCAAAGAATGTGTGTATGCTGGCATGCTTTCTCTATTCTGGTAATTATGCTTGAAGATAATTAAAGCTTTTACAAACTCGACCTATTCCAGTATGACTGAAGGATTAATTCATATTTGAGAGAAGAAGGGAATGTTAAGTGTCTCTTAATGGCTATTGTTGAACAGAATGCTTGTACACTCGTAAAGCTGATACACATGACTGAACTATGAGAAAGAGAAGCTGCTTATGTTTGGAGTTCTTAAGATTTGGAACATGGGACTTTAGACGAGTAAAATTTTGAATTTGATAGTCCAGGGATTGTGTTTAATATCATGGGTTGGTTGAAGAAGAAGATAAGTTTTGTCAGGGGCTTGCCACCCCCAATAGTGGAACAGGGTTTTGGTCATATTGCACAAAGGAGGTCTCTGTTGATGTTACCAGTCACCAGAAATGAAAAAAGAAAATAGAAGTTTCAAGTGGCATCCTAAATTTTATGGAACACTATAGATAGTTTGACTTGATGCTACTATTATCTTGTTCATGATCAATCGGTCAGCAGGAACACTTCAGTTATGTACGTAACCATCAAATTCTGCTTCATGAATACCCGACTTCGGAAAACTGCAGTTATGTCGTGTACATCGCTGAATTTCGGTTCATGCTGGATGTATTGCTAGAATCTTGAATGATTGTTAAACCTTATCAAAGCTCGTTTTGATGGTTTTTGTTTGTGCAATTGTCAGGAAGAGGAAGGAATGGGATGTGTACGAGCCAATGGTGGATATCCTATCAAACGAGGAAGTAAATGCCCTTGAATCAATGGAAGAGAGGAAACCCCGTTGAACAGGGTAAGTTTGCAGATAGGATGCCTGGATGGAATCTAATATATATATGTCCTACTACAATGCAAGTCCATGCTGTGATTCCTAGCTAGATTAGGATAGATTTGGCAAATGACTTGGCTTTGGAGGTTCATGGTTCTTAGTCGGGTTGTTTGAGATATGTATAACAATCCATCCGGCACATTATTAACAACGCTTTTTTCTTCTTCTATTATATATCACTAGTCTTTGCTTTCCATGACCGTTGCACCTCCAACGGCAATATACTATCACCGACGAGCTAAATACATATAAATACAGCAGCGGTGCCGTGGCCCCACCGGAACCTTAACAACAATTTCCTCCGGCCAACATTAATAGAACCACGCATATAGAGAGAGCTATGGCTAATTATGACCTAGAGAGCTAGCTAGCTAGCATCTCAACATGGCCCCATTGTGGATGAACAATGTGGATCAAAAGCTGAAACTCATCATGGCAAGCTTTCCAAGTTCAGCACTAACACTCCTCTTCGCTCTCTCCCTCCTCGCCCTCGCCGGCGTCGTAATCGCCATCCTAATCCTCCTCGCCAGGCGATCAAAGTCTTCGTCGTCGTCCTACGGCCGAAGCCGCAGTGGAGGCGGCAGCAGTACAGCCAGAGCAATGCTGATGGAGGCAGAGCATGGAAGGGCGACCGACGACGATGATGAAAATGATGACGATCTCGAGGTGGCCGCGGCGGGTGGATCGAGTTGGGTGACGATAAGGAAGGTGCTGATGAGCTCGATGCGGTGGAGCGAAGGCAGCAGGGTGGCGGAGGAGGAAATCATGATGATCAGCAGCAGCAGCGTGAGTAGTTGTAGTAGCAGTAGCCAGAGGAGCTGCAACTACAGGGTCGATGACGAGGAGATCATTAGCAGAGTCGTCATCAACTGCCCGGAAAGGACGACGAGGGGTGTTGCACCGGTGCCTGAAGAATCGCCGGTACCGGAAAGGACGACGAGGGGTGTTGTACCGGCGGCGGCGGCAGTGTGGCAGAGGCCGATACTGATGGGGGAGAAATGCGAGCTGCCCAAGTTCAGTGGGCTAATTTTGTACGACGAGAGAGGGCGACCGTTGTATGATCAGTATCATCATCACCATTGTTCTCTCGACTCCTCGGATCATCATCACCATCAACATCTTCATCAGGTGAGTCATAATTCGTAACTCTCTAGCTAGCTATGACGATATATTTGATCAATTTGAATTGGTTTTGGATTTTTGGTTCCAAAATTGTTTGTACATTATCGATTTCGGTTTAAACCAGAAAACTTCAAACCCTTGTGAGAGTGGCCCTCGTTTGAGGGGAGGCGTGTTAGTGTATGGTATAAAATGCCTGCATTATGGAACATCTCCCAACAACTCTAATTATTGGTTTCAGTTGGTTCTTGACAGTTAAATCATGCATACCGACCGATGCCAAACGAGTTTTTTTTTTAATTTTATATTGTGAAGCGTTTAATAATTTTTTTTCTATAACGTATATATTTTCTGATCGCTATCCTTATGAACGATTTGATCTGGGAAGTGATTTCAAATTCCATAATTTTTTTAGTATGGTCCAATCTATAGCAATTGACGCCATGTATTTGTGTATTTTCTAGAAAGAAGGAGCTCCAACAAGGAGGACAACACTGAAGGACTTGATGTAGTTAAATTCTAATACTGAGGAGAAAAAGGAACTTCTGAGTGACATGCCACTTGAAGCTAAGGAGAAGAAGAAGGAAGGAGTGCCTTTTGAACTTCCACCATTGCTAGATTTCACCTTTCTTCTTTCAAGAAAACCATTCATATTTCACTCATATACATATATGGTTTAACTTACCTTCTTTCCCCCTTTTCCTTTCTAGAATACTATGGGTCTTGCACCATGAAAACCATGGTAACTCCTCTCACATAAGCTTTCTAGTTCTTTGGTAGGTGTTGGTAGATTCTCCTTCTTATGGCTGAATCACAAGTTCTCATGGATAGCAATTAGAAGTGGCAAATGGATTGATCCATGGATTGGTGGATTGGATTGGTGGATCCATGGATTGGATCAAGTGGATTGGTGGATTATCCATGAATCCAAATGACATCCTCAACCAAGGACCATTATGTAAATGTGAAAAATTTAGGTACTAAAATGTCATAATGAAAATTTTAGGTACCAAAACGTAATTTTTCAATGATATTTTTCATATAAAAAATCAAATTTTAGGTATCAAAATGTAAAATATAAAAAATATAGGTATCAAACCGTAATTTGCCATTTGGATCCATGGATCAATCCATGAATCCACCAATCCAATGGATTTGATTTAAATGGATTTGATTAGGTGGATATTTTTAATGGATTGGTGGATTGGATTGGATTGAGAATAGCCACTTCTAATAGCAATACATCAAATTGTTTGGTTTGGTTTGGTTTCGATTTTAACAGGATTTTGAAGTTTTATGTGTGGTTTGCTCTATTTGTCTGCTTATTCTCGATAACATGAGTGATCTTTTAGGCCAAAACTAGTGATTACTTATCGATACGTGTTTCGGAGCTACCTAACACCACTCACATACCATATCGTCTCAAGTGTTTGGTGAATTGTGTGGTCGAAATCTATACATATATATAGATCTGGTTGGCCTTAAATTTTGGTCCCTTTCCATATAAATATATTCACCAACGGCTACTAAACCCGAACCATTTAATATTCCACCGCCGGCCGGCCAAGTTCCGGTATGGTGGTGTTGCTCTCAGTTAATGCAATATGTCCCACTTGCTGTCCGAATCAACTTGGGCCGAGCCCATAACGGTGACGACTGAAGATGTCACCCAAATGGAAAACCTATTGGGACAAATGGAGATCGAGTTTTGAAGGGGTTAATTTGCCACTTCATTTGCTTGAGAAGCTACATTGATGTTCCTCTAGTTATAATTTCATTATCGAATCGAAATTCATTGTCACGCGCTAAATTCAACTTCTCATTCGTGGCTAATGAAATTGTAGCCTCGAAGTTCAATGGTCGTCTAGACTCCTAAATTCCTAATCACAAATAACAGAGTTTTGAAAGCATAACGTCTCTAGGAGAAGTACGGTTTTCGAAAACCAGTGATTTCCCCCCTACAAAATGGTTATTTTCTAAACTTATTATGCTCAAAATAAAAAAATAAAGAAAGTAATTAATATCCATACATAGATCTCAAGTGCAACAACTCGAGTTCTTGGTACCATTTTATTTATGATAAGCGTAACTCGCACACCTCGCCGACTCTAACCATGTTAATGTTGGGTTAACTTTTGCCGTCTATCAAACTGGTTGGTGGCGCAAGAAATGGAGTGGAGACTGGAGAGTACGAATTTGCGTTTTCGTAGGTTGCTGGTCGAGATCGTATTTGCAAGGGTTTTTAATAATTGTCCTGTATTGTTAATCGCATTATTATAAGGACCATAGAGAGACGAAAACAATTATAGGTGATGGGACATATTCAATTGAAATTGTCATACACTAAAATAAGTGAATCCATAGAATCAAAAAGTGATCAAAATACTTACCACATTTGGCTCACTTTTTGCACGAATCGTTGTGTTTTGTATTCCGTTTCAGAATCAAATCCAGTTGAGAAGTGAGACAGAGCCCTTACGACGCTACCCATTATGACATTTTTTATGTATGATATCATGTTCATAATGTCCATTTAATCCTTAGTATCGATGAGTTGTTTGAATTCCCTTTATAATTAGATTCCGCCCCTTGGTTAAAACTTAAAATCCATGATATTGGGATTCAGATTACTTGATTACGAAATTAATTAATGGAGATCATGTATGTCATCTATATGACACCTGCCCAAAGATAACACGAGATTAAATATTTTTTAGATCTGTTCACTGTTTAATTAATGTAAATCTAAATCTCCCCCAATTATGATTCCACGATTTTGCTCTGAAGGAAAAAATATAATGCTCGCCATGCAAAATGCCTTTGGAATGACAGAAACGGGTTAACCCTTCACTTCACTGCGAAGCAAGATTGTGAACCCGCGGTTGACCCACTTTGACCCTGACCCGGTGAAAAAAACGGGCCACACACATTCGCCGGATCGACCGGCATAAGGTACCGGGTTGAAGGTTAAATTGTGTCATTTTTGTTTTATTTTGCGAAATGCGCCTATTTTTCGATTTTTCTTTTCGCCTAACTCTATATTTGGAATCCTAAGTTGAACATTTGAATATTAATGTTATATAAGGGTGTGTGAATTTTCACTATATGTTGAATCTAAGTACGAAATGTTATTTTGGTGAAATATTATATGTTATAACTTATATGTTAGATGAGATTTGATATAATTTATCAGGATAAGTACAATATAATGACGCTTTCCATATTTCCGGGCTAAACCAGGTTAAAACGGGTGACCCATTAACCTTGACCCACTAGCTCAACCGGGTCCGAGTCAACCCACGGGTTGACAACCTTGCTGCGAAGTACTGATAAAGAAAGGGAGGGGGTAATATAGTCATTGCACAAAGCACAATGGAAGACGCGGCCTCTTCTGCTGTTCCCAGCTCAACTCAGCCTGGTAAATAATATGAATATATTAATATTAGTCCAGATTTTCTTTACACGTTTTCAAAAGTGATAAATTCTATGTATATTAATTACTAATCAGTTGGATAAGGAAAAGAATCACAGGGGTTAATTACATTTATAATTCTACTCCACAATGAATGGAATATTACTAATATATCCATTTTATCCTCAAGATATTTAAAGTTGCCAAGAAAGATCGATTTGATGATTGAACTTTCTCATAGTGATTGTCCGGTACATAAACTTTTAAATTTAGTTATTGCAGGACGGTAGCACATGATACTATTCAAAATAAAAAGCCAAACGAATGTAAATCATCGCCCTAATTTGTCAAATAGTTAGTCTACCCCCCAAAATTTAGAATTGAAAATGAATTCTTTTAAATACTAAACAAAAAAATATTTCATTTCAAAATGAATTCCACAAAACTTATGGAATTCATTTATACCAAACGGTATGCTAGCAAAATATGCAATTGTTGCCCCGTTGGGTGCAAAAGCTTACAAATGCATAGTTATATGGACTAAACCGTAATTCGCCATCCCCTTAAGTAATGATGGGAGAGGATACTTAATTTTGATTTTGATTTAATTGTAGTTTTAGGAGCGCAATGATATTGCACATTCATTCATTCATTCACGAAATCGACACGAAAAAGGGAGAGAGGCAGAGAGCAAGCTCTCACTATAAATGCGGGACTCTCTTCCGAACTTCCCTCTCCATTATTACCTCTTTTCTTTTCTCTCGCAAATCTCTGTGTTTTCTTCTTCATCCCTCCCCTTGGCTTCTTGGGATTATCTGGGTACCTCCGTCTTGACCTGTATTGAATTCGTAAGTCAATTCCTTTTCCCTCTGTCCTGTTTTGCTTTCTCACCTTTGCACGATCACGGGCTTCTTAAGTTTTTTGGTATTGAGTTGATTCTGCGATCTGGGTACTGCTCAATTTGTTTCGTTGTAGATCTGATCGTGAATCTTGAGTTGATTTGCTTTCTGGGTTCTTTTCTTTTAGCGTAGTTGGCATGGAATCTTTGCATGTTACTCGAGCTGTAGACAATTTAGGTGCTCTGCAAATGTAGGAAGTTTCCATCATGGGAATTTGCTTCTCCTCCTTTTGGATCCAATTCCCGCATCTCGCTTCAATTGGTCTTTGGCATTGGATCTGCTATCGTAAGAATAGATCTTGATGCAATTGGGGACTCTGTTGCTGTATGGTGCTCTTTCGAAAGTTATGTGTTTGATTGCTTAGGATATTGAACTCGGATCAAGATACTGGGTGATTGTACGAGATACTTTAGCTGTTTTTCTGTTCTTATGATCGTGATTCCCAGCAAACTGGAACGATTTTTTGAATCTGGGGAAAGGATCAAGGTGTCCTGAAAATTATGCGATTTCCTTGTGTAAACTTTTCAGATCTAACATGATATATTCAATTTTCGTTGGTCTCGGTGGGCATTCATGTTGAATCTATGCACATTATATGTAGTTTTATGTTGTGCCCTGTAATTGTTTACGTCGAACTTATAATCTGTACGCTCTGATGGTTGCAGCAGGTCATATAGCCATGTCTACATATACTCCAAAGAACATCTTAATTACTGGTGCAGCTGGGTTCATCGCATCCCATGTATGCAATCGGCTGATCCGCAACTACCCAGATTACAAAATTGTTGTCTTGGACAAGCTCGATTATTGCTCGAACCTGAAGAACCTCCTTCCTTCAAAATCATCTGCCAACTTCAAGTTTGTCAAGGGGGACATTGGCAGTGCAGACCTTGTCAACTTCCTTCTCATTACCGAATCTATCGACACAATTATGCACTTTGCTGCCCAAACTCATGTCGACAACTCATTTGGCAACAGCTTTGAGTTCACCAAGAACAACATCTATGGCACCCATGTTCTCTTGGAGGCCTGCAAAGTCACCGGTCAGATCAGGAGGTTCATCCACGTGAGCACTGATGAAGTCTATGGGGAGACTGATGAAGATGCCGTTGTAGGAAACCACGAGGCTTCACAGCTTCTTCCGACGAATCCTTATTCTGCAACAAAAGCTGGTGCTGAGATGCTTGTGATGGCTTATGGGAGGTCCTATGGGTTACCTGTGATCACGACTCGTGGGAACAATGTGTATGGACCTAATCAGTTTCCTGAGAAGCTGATTCCTAAGTTCATCCTCTTGGCTATGAGAGGGATGCCTCTTCCGATCCACGGGGATGGTTCAAATGTGAGGAGCTACTTGTACTGTGAGGATGTAGCGGAGGCTTTTGAGTGCATCCTTCACAAGGGAGAGGTTGGCCATGTGTACAACATTGGGACAAAGAGAGAAAGGAGAGTCATTGATGTTGCCAAAGATATATGCAAGCTTTTCTCTATGAATCCCGAGTCGAGCATCAAGTACGTGGAGAACAGACCATTTAACGACCAGAGGTACTTCCTTGATGATGAGAAGCTGAAAATTTTGGGCTGGTCAGAAAGAACTATTTGGGAGGAAGGGTTGAAGAAGACTATTGAGTGGTACACTCAAAATCCTGATTGGTGGGGTGATGTCTCGGGTGCCTTGCTTCCTCACCCAAGAATGCTGATGATGCCTGGTGGAAGACACTTTGATGGTTCTGAAGATGGAAAATCGGGTTCTTCTGCCCCAGACTCTTCTTCTAGTCAGCCCAAGATGGTGGTTCCAGTTCCTAAAACTGGAACCACTACTCCAGCAGCTTCTTCTAACAAGGCTCCTCTTAAGTTTTTGATCTATGGTAGGACAGGGTGGATTGGCGGTCTCCTTGGGAAGTTATGTGAGAAGCAAGGGATTTCATATGAATATGGAAAGGGTCGTTTGGAAGATCGTTCATCGCTTTTGGCAGATATTGTCAATGTCAAACCCACTCATGTATTTAATGCTGCTGGTGTTACTGGTAGACCAAATGTCGATTGGTGTGAATCGCACAAAACAGAGACCATTCGGGCTAATGTTGCTGGTACGTTAACATTAGCTGATGTTTGCAGAGAGCAGAACCTCATCGTGATAAACTACGCTACAGGCTGTATATTTGAATACGATACTGCTCACAAGCAAGGCTCTGGGATTGGGTTTAAGGAGGAAGATAAACCAAACTTTACTGGTTCTTTCTACTCAAAAACTAAGGCCATGGTACGTGGGTTTTTTTTTCTCCCTAAATTTCCTTTAATGTTTCATTAATAGTCAAAGGAAAGTTCTTATTAAGTTTTTGCTTACGAAGCGGAATTATTTTCAGCTAGGTATTAGTTTTGGTTCTGTGATTATAGAATTTTAGGGTGTTTTGATTAGACCAAAAACATAATAGTCATCGGTGGAATTTACTAGGTAATAGTTGAATAAGTCAAAATTCACTACACTTATTGCTGAAATTTAGTATAGTTAATGATGTGGAACTTTATACTCAAACTTCTGCAATTGCTTTTACGTTTTCTGGGTTTGTTTTCTTGAGCTTTTGGATTTCAAGCAATCTCTTTTATTTGAATCAAATGTTGATGCATTTTCTTTGAAACTCCTTCCCAGGTTGAGGAGCTGTTGAAAGAGTACGAGAACGTGTGCACACTCAGGGTGAGAATGCCGATATCTTCAGACCTAAACAACCCACGAAACTTCATCACAAAGATCTCTCGATATAGCAAAGTGGTCAACATCCCAAACAGCATGACCATTCTGGACGAGCTTCTACCCATCTCCATCGAGATGGCGAAAAGGAACTTGAGGGGGATCTGGAACTTCACAAACCCGGGTGCGGTCAGCCACAATGAGATCCTAGAGATGTACAAGAAGTACATCGACCCTAAGTTCACATGGACCAATTTCACCTTAGAGGAGCAAGCCAAGGTCATAGTTGCACCGAGAAGCAACAACGAGATGGATGCCTCCAAGTTGAAGAAGGAGTTCCCAGAGTTGCTGGGGATCAAGGAGTCCTTGATCAAGTATGTGTTCGAGCCCAACAAGAGAACATAGGGACCTCCATCGAAGAAGAAGAATCTGGTTTGAAGACATCTTAGTTTGGTGCAAATAATGGTTCGTGTTGGTGGGTGGCTCAGGGGGGTAAATGAGTGTTTAGCATACTAGGGTTATATCTTTTGCTTACACATTATTCATTTCCTCTGGAGCTTCAGTTTCATTATTTTTATTCTTCAGCAGCCATATTCTGAGAACTCTGATGGTAATGTGTTTCTAGTAGGGGTAAGAGGCATATGCTAGAGTGATGATTTATTTGTGTTGTATTCTTTAGCTTTAGCATAGTGAGTGAGGCAGAGTCAGTTCAGCCAGTTGACTCCTACTGTCATTTGGTTGCTTCTGCAAACTAATATGCAGTTTGTTAGTTGAGTGACTTCTCTTTCAACACATTTATGTTCCACAGTTGTTTGTTTCCCATGAATTGGTCTTTAGACTTCTGATTCTTTAGCAGTTGATGAATGAGCAGGAGTTGCTAGTTGGTGTGAATTCTCCGGTTTTCCAAGTTTAGTTTACAAATATTGCATTACATAACAGACCTGATATATATATATAGCTTCATTTTCTGTCTGATAATGATATACATTGTATATATAAAGATATATACATATATAGGTACAAAGCTCCAAATATAGATTACAAATTTGGCTTTTGGAGGGTGTGGAATGTTTATATCTTAAAAACCACTTCTCCAACACTAGAATCTCATCTGTATATATAAAATCAACTTTTTACCAACACTTAGCCTCTACAAAAAAAGACATCATCTTAATGGTACTCCAGGACTCTCGGGATAAATTGGTCTCTTCATTTTTATTCTACCAGAAGACTAGTTTATGAAGATGCATCGGCCAGTTTCTTCAGAAAGGAAACGACCTCATCTGATGATCCAAGCGTATACCGAGCATTTGTTCTTGTTCTCCCAACTGCACAAGAGAAGTAGTTGTCTCCCTTCAGATCGAGCACATTCCGCGAGATTGTCTCAGACGATGATGCCCTACTACTACAACTACTACTAGTAGTAGTACTACTGCTACGCCCGCTACTGCTGCAGATGTAACTTGCAGCCCACTTTTTCTCTGAAGACAAGACAGCAGCCTGCTGCTGGGTTTTGTTGCTTTGATGAGATGATGATTTTGATGCTCCTCCTTTGCTTGCTGGAAGCTGCTTTGAAGGGCGTCTTTCCCCGGGTGCCGATGACTTTGTACTATCGGTTTGCTTGGTCCTCATCACACCCAGGCCATCGGAGGGAAGCTCTGGCTCGAAGAATGTGTATACATCTTCATCCTGCAAGCAAACGATGATGAACAAAGGCAGCGATAGACTCAACAAATAATAAACCTACACATATGGGTATCTCTCTATGACATCTGAGAAGCTCTTCAGAATTACCTTCCCCAGAAAATGGCCAACACACAAGACGTAGTCGATGGGAGTTGTCATTTGCTTGCTATGAACAATTTCGCCCAAGATACGATCGATTGCAGAACCCTGAATAAAATATGGGGGGGGGGGGGGGGGGGGGGGGGGGGGGGGGGGGTAAACATTGAATCAAAATCAAGTTCAATGCTCTCTGTAAAACACGTTTCACTTACAGTTAAAGTTGTTGCTTTACCTTTGTTACACCGACAGCTCAAACCTCGACTGATCGACTACCTTGTACGACGTCAACCGATGCATTTGAAAATGGGCCCGTCCAGAGGTGCTGCAGCATGTCCCTTGCTTGAAGTCGCCCAAATTCTACGTCTGTTACATAAAGATCAGAATCACCATATACAGTAGCAGTAATATAGTTGAAGACATAGTCCCTTGGAGGACAAGTTACCTGCATATTTGTAGTTCCACACGAGTGATGTATCGCGTAGTTCATAATGTGATCTGGGCGTTCGCTCCATGAAGTACTCAAACACTTGCTGGAAACAATTTAATGGTAACACTTCTTTAAAATCGGCATTCCAAAATGGACAAAGAAGCAAAACTTAATTCACCTTTACACTGTCGACCCACTCCATGTTTAGGTGCTCCGGCATGGTTGTCATCCACTCCCCCTTTGTATGACATAAGAACATCCCATGTTCTGCCGCAAGCCACATATCATAGTCCCTGAAATTCTGTACAAATGAGGAACACCATTCGTTGCGATTAGATAATGACCAATTGTTTGTGACACCCATTAATGTGATTAACCCAGTAAAGAGAAGGGTAGGCATTCTCACCTCATCTAATAACCTTCTGTCGCTGCCACTTAAGAGGACAATTGTCGTCTTTGGATCACTGCATAGGGTCGTCAGAGGTCCCTTCAAATCTGGGTGCAGTTTAAGCTCCATCTCTTTTATTTGGTCACCTCTTCCTCCTGGAGTATCTACTTGCTCTGTTAATGTAGCATTGAATCCCTGTGAAATTAATTGACAGGAACATGACTGAGCCAATCACAAACATTACATAGTTCTATTCTAGACTTGGTTTACTACTCAAGGAGTGTTCCAATTATGAGTATATAACATGCTAAACAGGTCATCAGGTTAGGTGTATTACGAAGAGATATACTATCAATAGACTTGAACAAATATATCATTTTTCGTTGACACTTTTGATTTGTTTGAGTGTATTAGGCACTGTAATCTCAAATGAATTAGAATGATGCAACTCAAATACACGAGGGTAGTTTTCATTAAAAAAAATACACGAGGGTTGTAAGCATTTGAAAATGCACTCCAGAGAAGTCGGTCCCACGAAAGAAAAATGGTGCATTCTTCAATCTAGGATATGTTCAGTTCTATAAGTATTTTAGAAACAATTCTAGTCCTTTTCTCGAGGCGATGTTTTTGAAATGGACAAACTGGGGCACAAAGACAAAGGCTTAAGGGTTGAAAGCATACCAGTATGAGCAATCGATTGTGGGAGTTGAGATAACATTCAATCGCATCTCCCTGTGGAAGCCCGGGTGGGACTTGCCTCGTCCTTAGTTGTGCCTCAACCACTGTATCATTGAGCTCACTGTCCAGAAAAAAATACAGCAATTTAAGATGGTCAGAGTCAGAATCTCACGTATGCGATTATCGATACAGTAATTCCATGTCAAAGGAGGAACACATACTTTCTGAAGTATGAACTTCGGTCAAAATAGAATTCGTGAACTCATCATAGAGAATCCACGCATTCTAAAATATAATTTGAGTTCTATGAGAATGTATGATAATGAGGTACCTCACAAACATTTCTGCCCATTCTTGAGTTGTGTGGGTTGTAACATGGTCAAAATTATGATGGTGTCGTTTCTCTCTTCCTCAGCAGACATGGTCAAAGCTTGACGAATTGAATCGGCAACTTCGGTAATGTTCCAAGGGTTCACAAGGATTGCCCCGGCACCTAGAGATTGTGCTGCACCTGCATACTGCAAATAGATTAGATTAGATTAGCTAGAAGGTAATGTGCCACAAGGCAACAGTAGCAGACGAAAGGTTGAATGCACACACGTAGAAAATGAATTGAAATCGGCTGACTAATATCTAAGCACCTCGCTGAGAATAAGAACACCTCTCTTTGAATCTTGGCATGCTACAAACTCATAACTAACGAGATTCATTCCATCTCGCAATGAGGTTACAATCGCTACGTCTGCAAGATGGGAATAGAGATCATGACATAAGCACACAAAGTCGAAATCCTACTAAGGATACTTGTCTAGATCAAGGAACATAAAATTAAACTAGCATAAGTTCCACGTCTATGATTTTAAACAACCATGCAAGAAACAGGGTCGACAATTTCAATTGAACTCCGAAAAAGTTGCAGTTAAATTACACATCAAAAGAACACTGTACCAGTAACAGCATATAATGCACATAGGCCAAGAAAATCCAAGGACCGATCCTGCATTAACAGAAGTCTATTTCAGGATACAATCACCAGCCGTCTGGTGACCAAATTTATGTAAAAGAACTAATCACGATATTACATGGAAAGACCGGGAACAGCTTCCATTGTTTCCACTAACAGCTTACAAAACATATGGAAAGAAGATGAGTTAAGTTGACAGTAACAAACCAGGTGATGTATTGGAACAGCAGTCAGTGTCCCAAATCGGCCATTAATGCGCCCAACGATTTCATGAACCTGACTTGTAAGTTTCTGATCTGTACACATGTGACAAATATAATTTATTAGTACTTCAAATGAATACTCCAAACAAGAATAAGACATGTTTTCTTTTTGCTATATGAATCAAGATAACTAGGAAGCTTACATTCAGGAACATCAGTTCTTGTTGGCACAGCAATTTGCAGCAGAACAACTTTATCACGCCATAGAGGGTTCTCCTCAAGAAACTTCTCAAATGCAAGTATCTTATGTGGTATTCCCTTAATCATATCGAGACGATCAACCCCTAGCATCACCTATTAAAGAGTAGGACGTTTACATTCAAGAATGAAGAAACTAAGCCAGTGACTTTAATCAGTAGGTTGCTTTCTCTTAAGCAAGTAAAACAGCATATGGAGGTTAAATTCAGATTAAACCTTACGGCCACGAAACCTTTCCGTCAGTTCTTTTATGTGCTCCTGCACCTTAGGGAGCTTAAGCGCTGATATAAACCTTTCTGAATCTATCCCTATTGGAAACTGAACATACAAAGAAGACAAACAAATCGTCAGTGTGCTAACAAGGACTAAAAGACAACCGAGACAAGATAAGGACAGTCAAGCAAACATACAGCTGCCACCCTAGTTAGCTTGCCTTGATCCTCAACTCCTTCAGGTGTCCCTTCAAGTCCAAGAATACGGGTACAAGCACTAACAAAGTGCCTTGCATAGTCATATGTATGAAATCTGGAAAAAGAAATTGAAATTGGTATTTTGTGTGTAGACAAGATATATGATACAAGGACAAGAAATGAAAATGATATTGCCCGGCAAAAACATCAGCAATTTAGGAGGTTACAGGAGAGTGCTACAAGACTTGGTCTAGTAAGGGCTTACCCTACTAAATCTGCCGCGAGAACTGAACGGAGTAGCTCTGATCTAGAAGGCAGTGTCCTGTGGATTTCGGAGGAAGGAAAATGCGTGTGGAGAAACCAGCCAACTTTCATGTTACTGTTATATTCCTTGAGGCATTTTGGAAGGAACATAAGATGGTAATCATGGCACCAAACAACATCCCCATCCTCGTAGTGCTTATTCACTACATCAGCAAACATCTGATTGGCCTTCTTATATGCAGCAAATTGTGACTGGAAGCTCCTTGTTGTCGCGAGGCGATCTTCTTGTGGAAGGCCAAGATAGTGAAACAGAGGCCACAGTATATTGTTGCAGTAACCATTGTAATATTGATGGACAATCTCTTCGTCAGGGAATACAGGTATGCACCTCTAATGCAGTCAAAACAAAGAAAAATTAGAGTTGGAAGACAAGCTCAATGCATAATCAGAAAAGGAAAACCAACCAATATTTCATCGCACATAATGCTTACTTTTTCAGCCAAAGCTTTTGTAAGTGCCTTCTGTCCTACCTCATCAGGCACATTAACACCAGCCCAGCCTATCCATCTTGCCTCAAAATCATTCACACCTTCATAACATGATCCAAAATGCATCACATTCTAGACCTTTTCCCATATGGATGCTATATTCTAAAGGAAAATTGGTAGGAATTAGAAATTACTCATAAGGAGTATAAATGTTTTTGACAGCATACCGAGAAGAGCAGTAACAAGACCTCCTGCACTGATTTCCAAAGACCAAGCATCTTCACCTCTTCTAACAGCAGAAACCGGCAGCCGATTAGCCACCACCAGCAACCTCTGCCTTAAAGGCCTGACATCATGCCTTGTGGCAGCAGCAGCTTCTTCCAGGTACTGTTCAATGTAGGAACTCTTCTGAGGGTCACTATTCTGTCTGAAGCGGAAGTCTAGTAATTCACTTGATTCACCACCCCTGTGACTATGATTACCCTTCGCCTCAGCCCTATTGCTTCTCCTCAGCTCTCTCAGCTCCCTTTCCCTTAGAAGCCGCTCCACACGACCTGGGTACGGGGTTGAGTTACCGTGGTACTGGTTTGCAGGCATACGCTCAAGCCTTTAGAACCAGACCCTTTCTTTCACAAATGCACCAACTTATTACCAGCACCAAGATGATCCTCAAAGCAACGGTATGACCTACATTCACAAATCTTCACACATTAACAACATTTCACTTAAACAGAAAGCCAGATAACAATACTGCCATCCATCAGCAGCTATAAGCCACACAATCATGTTTTAATTGTCACCATCTAAAGGACCAAGAAAACACAGATAAACAAAAAGAGAATGGGATCCACAAGAATTGCACGAGACAAACACTTAATGGGGTCTCTTCAAATAAGGAGCTCGAGACAAATATATGAACAACTAAAGCTATTTTCAACCATAATTCTCATTTGACAACAGTGCAAAGTCTCGAGCTTTGAATTCAACCCACATAAGATACAACACTAACAAGTCGCCAACTTTAGCAAAGACCCTTATCGTATCATCAAAACCCATGACAGATTGGAGCAAAAATAAACTAACCACTACAGAAAGAGCAGCACAAGGAACTTTACGCATGGAGGGGGGGCAACAAAAATTTACACAGCACAAGATACACATAAGAAGAAAGGAAATACCTTCAATGAGCAGACTGAGCGATCGCGTAGTGAGGCAGAGCAGAATGTGGGAAGAGAAAGTATTTAGTGGGAAGAGAGAGTTTTTGAGAGAGATGATAAAAAGGAGAGGTAAAGGGAAAGCAGGTAAAAGGAGCAGCAGATTCCTCGTGAGAGGTTCACAGGGTAAACAGTAACGCAGAAAAGAGGCGTCCCCCCGCCCTTCTGTTTGCTTTACTCCTTCCTTCTTCTCCCTCCTCAACGCAGAGCTAACATCCAACCAATCCTCCTTGTCTGTAAATTCTTCCATTATTCCTCTCTTCGGGTTCGCTTTTTCTTCTTCTTCTTCTTCTTCTTCTTCTTCTCTTCCTCCCTGTATTAACTCCACTTGCCTTATCAGCTTTGTTTTGGTTTGGTTAATTCTTTAATTGGATTATGTTCTATGTTAAGAATTTGTTGATACGTCTTGCCCTGTCAGTGGAGCTTTTCAAAATTGGTCTTCATACTACAGTGGACTGAAGACTTGCTAAGAAAATTGGATTACCAAAGAATTTGTTGAACTTCCCCTGAAAAGCTAATTTGATTGGGCTAATGTATAGATAAGTTATACATGTTCCCTCTTTCAAAAGAATTACACTTTTTTTATGGTAGTAAATGAACTGATCATCGATTAAATGAAAAAGTTAGTAACTTGTTTTATGGTACGTGTACAACGACAAGCTTCAGAAACTAGGGAAAATATCAGTGCACAATTTCCCCTGTATTCTCTCTCCCCAACAAGAACCAGCTCAGTCAAGAAGTTTCTTTTAATTTCTCCCTTTCATCCCCTCTAGACTAGAGGCTAACTAAAACCATAAATCCGAGTTACCAACCAGATCCTCTCTCTCTCTACCAAACAGTTTGCAGCTCCTGTGGCTTCATCTGATCCTCTTCTTTTTATCTTTTTTTTATTCCTTTTTATTTGCCACCAAAATGAAAAAGATCCCCTCAGTCTTTCCATCCCATTCCAGACAAGTTGCCAATTTGGGGGTTTTCTTTCTTCCACTTAGAGAAAAAATATCCACAAAGTTTCCAGCTTTACTGCAGAAGAATTTGGGGAGGGAGATGAAGATACAGTGCAACGTGTGCGAGGCGGCGGAGGCGAACGTGCTGTGCTGCGCAGACGAGGCAGCATTGTGTTGGGCCTGCGATGAGAAGGTGCACGCCGCCAACAAGCTGGCAAGCAAGCATCAGAGGATCCCGCTTACCAGCTCTTCCCCTCAATTGCCCAAATGCGATATTTGTCAGGTGAGTTCTAATCATCCTGGTCTGTGGTGATCCTCTTTCCAATTTTTTTGCTTATTTGGGTTGATTTTTGTGATTCGTGTAAAACCCCTGCATAATGGGGTTGTTCCTTCTGTTATTTTCTTTGCTGTATTTTGGGTTTGGTTTTGTTTGAGTTGTGGTGGATGGATCATCCTTAGGTGCACTTGCTGCTTCTGCTACTAACTGGTGTTTGTCCTGGTGTATATGAATTTCCTAGGGATGTTCTTTTTCATAAGTTAGGCTGGGAAGAATATGTTTTCGACATGATGAGATTAGAGTGGCAAAAAGACTCTGTCTTTGAACTTAAGTAGCCCGAATTGTAAACCTGGTTCTAGTAGAATGATAAGGCATGCTTTCGTTTGAGGAGGCGAGTAAGGAAAAAGTATGGGGTCTAATCGACCTATTGATACGATATAATTCTCGAGGAATTTCTTGAACAACAACAATTCTGATTTTTGGTGATAAACTAACTGGGGCTCTTCTAGTACTTCACCCAACCCGATGGTTTCATACCATTGTCTTAATTCATCTCTACTAGCTCTAACATATGATCCAAGGTTACTGTCCAGTATAATGGCAGACCCTATTCATGATTGATCTGTACTGAGGTTTTCTTATCTCTGAGTATATGCGACTTAAAGTTATGGCCAAAGCTCCCGCCATGCTGCATTGGGTAGGATTTCGGGAAACTTGTGGAGGATTACCACTTCTAGCAATTTAGGCCAGGCCTATGTTGAAGCCGGCTATGGACCTAGGGAAAACGGCCATGAGCCTGCATTCTAGAAAGGAAGAATGCCAAAATCATTAAGCACAACTTTGATGTAGAAAGATGTGCATAGTGGTTCTTGATCCTGCATAACACAATGAACATTGGTCTGGCGTAATAATGAGACCTCTTCTTCAAATGTTCATGTGAATCCGCAAATCTCTGAGATCACTCTATCTGAGAACACATCCTCCACCTCTCTTTATAGGGATATTGCTGAGCGGAAGTGAAGGTGCTACTAATGACCTTAGGAAGTGTTCTTATTTTCAATTGTTGTTATCTTAGTTTCATTTTCACAATGACTGTCTATAATGGAACCTTCTTTATCCTGTTGTCTTGTTGAACTGATGATAAGGTATGATGATATTGCATCCGTTGATGGTGAGAGTAAAGGTCAATGTCTTTGTTCATTGCAGGAAATGGCAGGTTTTTTCTTCTGCCTAGAAGACAGAGCTTTGCTCTGCAGGAAATGTGACTTGGCCATTCACACAGCAAATGAATATGTGTCTGCTCATCAGAGATTTTTACTTACAGGAGTGAAGGTAGGTCTTGAGCCTACTGATCCTGGTGGATCTTCGTCCTCAGGGAAGTCGCCTTCCGGAGAAAAGCCATCGGCGATAAAATCTCAATCTATCTCTGAAAGAGTCACACCAGCAATTCCTTTTGCTAGTTCCTCGAATGAGACTCCATCTGTGAATGGTGGTGGATTAAGGATCTCTGAGCCTTCTGCAAAGGTGCCTTTTTCTGAGGGTTATCAGGCTGGAGGCATCCAACAGTGGCCACATCTAGACGACTTTATGAGTCTAACTGAGTTGAACCAAAGTTACAGTTACATGGGTAATGGTTCATCAAAGGTATGCATTTCTCTGTTTCCATTGCAACCCTTGATTTCGATGCATCTTCAGATCTGTTTCTTTCCTGAACTTGGTATGGCTTCTCTTTTCACAATATTATAATTGTGCTAAAAGCTGGTCCTTACCACTGTGTGAACTATGATGGACATTCCAGTTAATTTGGAGAAAGAACTATGCTAAACATATCCCCTGCAAGTTGCATGCTACCAAAAGCCCATTATGATATGGATGTAAGGAAATGATAAAAGATTTGATATGGGACTCTAATTATCGGAATGAACCGATCTTTTATAGAGTATTACTGTATTAGAGCGCTTGATGGTCGAAAATTCGTGTGTTTGGACACTGGTTACCCTTAATGTTAATGCTTATATTTAACCAGAATACATGCTGGGCCTACTGCTGCTTTTACTTGTTTCAACAAAACAGCCTTTTGGTGTTTGTATCAGGCTGACAGTGGGAGGCATGGAGACTCCGACAACTCCTCTGCAATGATGAGGTCGGGCGATGACGAAGTGGATAACGACGACGAGTGTCTCGGTCGAGCTCCGGACAGCTTTTGGGCAGTGCCGGAGATGCCATCACCACCGACTGCCTCGGGGCTCTGCTGGCCAAGATCCACCAGGGAACAAAACTGGGATCATGAGGTGGTATCTGTACCAGATATAAGCTGCTCAGGTGCTCACACCGACTGTGATGGTAAGAAGCAACATGTTAGAGCCCGAAAGAGGCGGAGGCAACAACAGCAGCGTTGGATTACTCCCTTTTGATGGCCGCTCTGCACCCTTTCGTTAGTCTTCAATAGAGGTTGATTTGCATTCTTCCATGATTTCTGTTGCGATCCTGCTCTTGCTTTTGCTTAGTATCGCGAAGAGCAAAATGGCTGATGCTTTCAAAGTGGGCATTTTGAGTCGAGGGTGATGTTTTCAGAAGAATAATGTGATGAAAACTGATTGTGTACTGTGGTAGACGACCTGCTGTGAAGGAGAGTTCTTAATTTGCAGCTGTTAGTAAGTAATGTAAAGTGTGATTGATTTATGGAGTTTGCTCTTACTACTAATGAGTAATGACACGACATGATAACCAAGTAACCAACTCCTATTCATATAACAGAATCAAAAGCAAGCGCGAACAGCCGTAAAGTTCAGACCTTTCACCACATGAGACCTTGAGATGGACCTCCGGTGACTAACCCACCGGAGAAGTCGTCGGTGGAAGAAGGGGAAAAAAAAACAAGTGGGCGGCAGAGGTTGCTTGGCTTCCTGGACTGGAGTTCGAATCCCGACGATGAAATCCGAGCTGGTTTCACGTTCTCCACGGACTTCACCATCACTTCCATCAACTTTCCGGCTGATCGCCGAGCAGAATGAGTCGTTGCGCGCGGATTAACTTAACTCTCACACAATGCTAATTATGGCATTTGTTTAGTTGGCGGCACTGTGACTCAGTTTCCCGCCAAAAGTGTCATCCCCTTGGCAGCTATTTACCGCCAAAACGGCTCCCCGTCCACGCCCATCGGCATCATACCGCATTCTCACTCTCCGCTTCTTCAGCATCTCTACGAGTTCCTCCTTCGACTCCGACGCATTTCCTCCCCGGTGAATGATGAAGCCTCTCGACCTGACTGCCGACAAAGGTGAGTTCTTTCACCCTAACTCCGCTCTCCGTCGAACATTCAACGTTTCCCCCCCTCTTTTTGTTGATTTCTTCTTTTTTGCTTAGTCTCTCACTGCAATTCTGCTCAGATTTCGCCAAGGAGTTCCTGAGAGAGTTCGTCGATGCCAATGGTGAAGCTAAGTACATGAACATCCTCGTGAGTCTCCTTTCTTGGCTCTTCGAGATTTGCACCCCGTTCAAAACTCTAGTATTGAAAAATGAAAACCCTAGATCTCCCTGCTACGCATTTGAAAAGAAAATGCGGAATCGAAGGACGAATCAATGTTATTGAGCTTGTCTGCTTGTCCGTCCTAACATTTTATTGTATCTGCTACAGCAAGATGTTGCAAACCACAAGGTTCGCGCGGTTCACATTGATCTTGACGACCTGTTCAATGTAAGTCTCTCTATTTATTTGGGTGTGCTATTGCTTTCTGTTTTTGACATTGGGAGACTGGGATATGGAAACTCTAATTTTTGCCAAGTGACTGCTGGCTGCAGTGGACGGGCTCGGATGAAGATTTCCCTAAACGGGTTACTGAGAATACCAGACGATACCTGGGGACCTTTGCCTCTGCAATTGATGAGCTATTGCCTGAACCAACTGAGACGGTTCCCGATGATGACCACGACATACTAATGACGCAGAGGGCCGAGGACCCAACGGAGAGTGCGGATGGTTCTGATCAGCAGCAGAAAATGCCTCCTGAAATCAAGCGTTTCTAGTAAGCTTCTTCACTGAACTAACACTTCCTTATGTTCGTTTACGTAGTGCAGTTGGAAAGAATCGATTTTCCTAAGATATTGGGCTTGCCATTCGCATGTTCTGTGATTCTGTTTATCCTATGAATAGCTATGTTTCCATTTTCACATTGGGTTGTATTATATGCTGAAATGGTGGGTGTTGTTTTGCTTTTGTAAGCCCCTTTCATTTTATTTTTATTTGAAAATGTGGTTCTAAAAAATTGTTGCTGGAACAGCCTGCTTACATGACAACTGCACCCCAATAAATAAAAGTATGTCATCATGATATGGCTGCGTAAAATTTGTTCCAGTGTTGATATGGCTGTGACTTATTTCTGTATACAGTGAAGTTTACATTAAAGCAGCTTCGAAGGACAAAAAATTGATCATCAGATCAGTCAAAGCTTCAAATATTGGTCACCTTGTAAGAGTTTCTGGTATTGTGACACGGTGTTCAGATGTCAAGCCATTGATGCAGGTTGCTGTGTATACATGTGAAGAATGCGGCTTTGAGATATATCAGGTAAACCACAGGTTGATTGAGTATGGACTGGATTGTATACTTTGATTAAAAAGAAGGCTAGAACTGATCCTCTGACCTCTCCATCTGTTTTACTTTCAATTTGTGCTTCTGTTTTCCAGTTAAGTATATTGGTCTTCTTGCATTCCTTGATCGTAAGTGTTTATCTATTATTTAGGAAGTAACTGCACGGGCATTCATGCCTTTGTTCAAATGCCCGTCCATACGCTGTGTAACAAATAAGAGAAATGGGAACCTTATTCTACAGCTCAGAGCATCTAAGTTTCAGAAGTTTCAGGAGGTAAGTCACTGCATTCTAGTATGCAAGGGAGCCAACATGCTCAGAGCAAATAATGATTTCTTTTACTTGTTCTGGTAATGATCTGCAGGCTAAGGTTCAGGAGTTGGCAGAAGATGTTCCAATGGGCCATATTCCACGGTCCATGACTGTTCATTTTAGGGGTGATCTGACAAGAAGGGTGGGTAACTGCCTTAATACCCTTTTGTTCATGTGAAGCATGGATAAGCTAAAATAAAATTTTACCCAATTGCTTAAGGGATATATACTTGTGCTTTTGGTTTGACAAGTGATATTGAAGCTGTTAACTTTCCCGTGCTGTCAGGTTGCCCCAGGTGACATAGTTGAATTGTCAGGAATCTTTCTTCCAATTCCATTTACTGGATTCAGAGCATTGCGTGCTGGGTTGGTTGCTGATACATATTTGGATGTGATGTCTGTCAATCATTCCAAGAAAAGATATGAAGAGTAAGGCCCTTTGAGTTTGTCTATGGCAAATCACTTACCAACCACTGAGTTTCTAGAAGTCCTTCCTCTTATCATATAAATTTGTTTTCATTTATTCCCTCCCACTACCCAAGTATTGTCTTTAAACAGAGTGAAAGAAGGAAGCAATTATTTGGCGTCTTTTATACTCTGCATTGTTGGTTGTGTTTAGTAACTGAATCTTAAGCTGTCCATTTTTACTACAGATGCAATGTGCATGTTTATGCATTTTTAGTTAGGTTGCACTTTAAGCTCAACCAGGAAGTTTGTAAGGAAATGATAAAATCTAATATACAAGTGCTTTTATTTAGCAAATGGGAACTTTGATGTTGTAGGCCTATATATCCCAATTGGTGTTGAATTAGACAGAGATCTGGCAGAAATTACGATATGTGAAGTCAGATTTTATTTTTTCTAACTGTTTTACAGTCAATGAGTGCTTACACGTCACCAACCTGGTTATGTATCAGGTATGAGCAGGGAGGTGATGAGGAAGAGCAAATTATGCGACTGGCCGGGGATGGTGATATATATAATAAGTTGGCACAGTCATTAGCACCTGAAATTTATGGACATGAAGATATTAAGAAAGCTTTACTACTTCTCCTTGTGGGTGCTCCTCATAGGAAATTGAAGGATGGGATGAAGGTACCACGTTCCCTATGCGAAGGGACTGAGATTAATTACTTACTATCAACAATGGTCTTTATGTATGAGTGCACATCTTTCATTTACGTGGAGTTGATAGTAACTTGTAAGTTCTACTTGTGCCGATTTTCCTGATAACAAATCCAGATTAGAGGAGATCTACATATATGTCTTATGGGTGATCCTGGAGTGGCAAAAAGTCAACTTCTGAAGCACATTATCAATGTTGCACCCAGGGGAGTGTATACTACTGGCAAAGGAAGCAGCGGCGTTGGTCTAACTGCTGCTGTTCAAAGAGATCCAGTTACAAATGAAATGGTCTTGGAAGGCGGGGCTTTGGTGAGGTTCATGATTTTGCTCATCACATCTGCATATATTTGTAGCACATCGCTTTTGCTTTCTGCATAGCAATCTGATGTCTTGTAAAGTGAAATTTTATGTCATATGTCAAACTTTAATGAGTTCTTCATACTGTTTCTAACTTCTCTTTCCTAACAAACTTGTAACTATTGACACTCTGTTTCAGGTGCTTGCTGACATGGGTATTTGTGCAATTGATGAGTTTGACAAGATGGATGAATCAGATCGTACTGCAATTCATGAAGTTATGGAACAGCAGACTGTCAGCATTGCAAAAGCTGGGATCACCACTTCGCTAAATGCAAGAACTGCTATCCTTGCTGCAGCTAATCCAGCATGGTATGTGCTTGCTTCCTCTAGATTTTGAGACGCTTAATCCCACATCAACTTCTCCTCCCCCCACTGATTAGTACAAGAGTTTCGTTATCTGAGTGTCGTTTCAATCTTGACATCATGCAGGGGGAGATATGACATGCGGAGAAGTCCAGCTGAAAATATCAATTTGCCTCCTGCTCTTCTATCAAGATTTGATCTTCTATGGTTGATTCTTGATAGAGCAGATATGGATGCAGATCTTGAATTGGCTAGGCATGTTGTTCATGTGCACCAAAACAAGAAATCTCCTGCTCTTGGCTTTGCTCCTCTTGAACCATCTATACTCCGGTGAATACTAAACTTTTGATATCTCCTCAATTTTCATGTTAATTCCCTTGGTCCTTGTGCTGCTTATTCTTTTGATACTTCATCTCTCTTAAAGTCCCTGAAAATACTTCATTTTTTTTAAATCTAAGCTAGTGCTGCCTGACCTATCCATATGATGCGATGCTCCTGTGTCATTGTTCTATAATTGTACACAGCATTACATATTATCAAAATGGAAGAACTAGCTAGCATACAGTTGTCTATTGAAAAACAAAATATTAACTGAGAAAGAAAAGAACAAAATCGGTTGTCTATAAGTGAGTGAGAATTATTTAGATGCTTTCAAGTTTCAACTGCTTATGTTGTCTATTAAAAAGCAAAATGGCGAGCTGACGACTGCTTGTGCTGCAAATTCGTTGTAGTGCATATATTTCTGCTGCAAGGAGATTATCGCCATATGTGCCCAGGAACCTTGAGGAATATATCGCAACTGCGTACTCCAGCATTCGGCAAGAAGAAGCCAAGTCAAATGCTCCTCATTCCTACACAACCGTCCGAACCCTGCTTAGCATTCTCCGAATATCAGCTGTAAGTCCAACTCATTCTCATTCAAATTGTAGTGGCAGTCTGCTCAAGGTAGCCAAATGCTATGTTAGGACAAATGTATCACAAAATTGCCCAACCCAAACATGAACGAATGAGTTTGGATTTGGTTTTCTGTCACAAGTGGAGTGAGTTGCGACCGAATCCTGTATTACATGTCATTGTGAGCTGTTTAATGCAAACTTTGTTACAGGCATTAGCAAGGCTCCGGTTCTCAGAGACTGTGGCACAAAGTGATGTTGATGAGGCACTTAGACTAATGCAAATGTCGAAGTTCTCGTTGTATTCTGAGGAACGTCAAAAGTCTGGTCTGGATGCAATCTCCGACATCTACTCAATCTTGCGGGATGAAGCTGCAAGGGCCGACACAATGGATGTGAGCTATGCTGATGCTCTTAACTGGATTTCTAGGAAGGTAAGTCGGACAAATTTGCATTTACTTGAGCCTGCCTGCAATGGGTAAACCCAATGGTCAGATTACTACAACTAAGTAGCTGATGTAGATTGAACTTAAAGTAGTTTTAGCTGGAGGCATTATTTATGTAAAGCTTCCTTCTAGTTCTCACCGTACTGCCATCTTTTTTTTTATTCAAACACAGGGGTATAGCGAGGCACAGTTGAAAGAATGCTTAGAAGAATATGCTGCTTTGAACGTGTGGCAGATTACCCGCCCCAGCTTCGACATTCGGTTCATTGATGCCTGAAAACTGGAATCCCATACGTGTTACAGATTGGCTTTGGCCTTTGGCCCTTCTTCCCCCCTTTAATTCTTTCTGGGGAACGGTTTAGTGTGTGAAATTGATGTTAGGCCTACTGACAGTAGTATTGCTTCGTTCTGGTAAAAGGACAACTAGTCATGTATAATTTGTCAGCATGAAATAAAGATGATTGAATTGCTATGAATGTATGTACATGATGTGATAAGTGTATGAACTCGATCTTGATGTACATTCGTCACAGATTTGATCTTAACTGTTTGGAGGACCATTCTATAAGGGAAAATATTTGGGGGACAAAATAACGGTCACTAAAAGACACAGTCGCGTAAACTTTTGTCACGAACAAATTGAGATTTGACCGCAATAGTCATTGGTTACATTGCTGACCAACTATCGGATTGGTCACAATTGCTCAATGATTTGGCGACTAAATTCAGAAATGGTGATAAAATCCGAGATGCGGCAGGTTTCACATTCTCCACCGCCCGTAACCACAAACTTCCAACAACCTTTACTCAACTATGAAATAGAACAACACTTGCATTTCATCCTGTGTCGAGGTAAAAAGGGTATGTATAAATCAAACCAGTGAAACTAACGGTTCAATGTATAATAGTAGACGTACGGGAACAACAATGAAGCGTATTGACTTAGCAAGGCTATGTAAAACCTTTTAGAACCAGCAATGACATGAAAACCTTTTACAGTCTATCCATTCAGTCGCCTGTCTAGTGTCTACCTTGGCCATGCTCAAATGGTAGTAGTCAGTCAGCAGTGAGCAGCAACTAATCCCCTTTCAGACGCGGTCGTCGTCTTGCACCAGTACTGGTACACGCCAAGCCGAAAGATGCGACCATTCCAATCACATAACCTATCAACGCGCCGTATGTAACACATATTGGCCATTCCTGAGACAAGGAAATCCAAACTACATTACTAGCAAATGATAAATCAGGTGTTCATGATCATGTAGAATGTTAACACTGTAACACCTAAAGGCTATGTTAGATTACTCGACTTGCAACCAATGTCTAGAGACAAGGAATGAATGGAGACACCAAAAGTTACCTGCCATGGCCTTTCCCAATCAAGTGGCATAGGCCAAGCTCCCAACCAAGCTCCAACCACCGCACCATGTGCTGGTATGCAAAGCATGTATTCCAATAAGTCATTTGGCCTGTCCCAAAATAACTCTCTCAACAACTCAGTAAAAGTTAAGAGAAAATTCGGTTTGATCATATGATGCAAGAAGGTTCAGTTCCCTGCCTAAATGCATAGTATAAGTATGTTAGGCTAAGACCTTAGGCTGGGAGATGAACAGTAAAGTGCATTGAAAGCTTACTCTGTGCGTGCAAATATGCGTTGCCAGTCTCTCCACGATGAACCATATACAGAAGCTACAGGAACAACCTGAATGCAAATATTGTTAGCAAGTACTGCGAGGATTAATAGTTTTGCAAGGCTAAAATAAAAGGCAAACCCATTGATGTCGCATTATGTTCTTTATGTTGAAAGAGGCAGTGAAAATATACAAAATGCCTCCCACTGATATATTACAAAACTGGTCATAGCATTTGGGGCTCAATTCACCATGTCGTAGACAGGTTGAATTCAAATCTATAGGAAAGTTCTTCAGAAATCACTTAACAGAGGATTATGAAAAAAAAGCCCCTACAAGTTCAGTAGGGTACGTGTATTTACTCACCGTGAGCGATGACATCAGAAGAGACCAATTACAAGTCTTCAACAAGTACCTATCACCAACATGAAAAAAGAAAAAGAAGAAAACAGATTAATAAGTATAGGTTCAGCTGTTTAAATAAATGTGCATACACTACATAATTTCGACAAACCCATTATAACTACATGACCCAAGCATAACAACAGATTTCAAATACAAACTAAGCTCAGAGATTACTGGTCGTATCAATGTGTATGAGGTATAACAAGCACACACAAACATCAACTCCGATAACTGATTTGACAACCATGTGAAAATAAGTGAGTTTATTCAGCCACACAACACTACATACCGGGAGCCAACAGGTGCGCCTAATACAATAGCTACAGCAGCATGCACCAAGGCTCCTACATATTTCAATAGATATCAAGGAATGTCTGTGTTCAAACAATATTCTTATATAGAAAGCACAATAGAGATCAAATTGTAGGGAAAGGAAGAGATGTAATAACAATGAAAACATAAAGGAACAGTAACTAAGGGAAGCTGAAGATAGCGACTTGTATCCCCAAACCTAGCCATTGGAGACCTAATAGTATATGCCTACAGTCTTCTGAAGACATGGCTACTGTGAACACTTATACAAGTATCTGGTGGGGCCACCACTACAAAAGCTGACCTCTACAACTATAACATCAAATCAATCTCGCAGTTCATATTCCACAAAAGAAATGGTTAAAATACTTCAGGATAGTGCCACAAAAAGCATGTGAAAGGATTCTGACAATACAGCACAAATCTAATCGACAGTTTGGCTCACAACTAAGTCAGCAAGTGAACAACGAACAGAAAGAACATAATACAGAAAAATAAGGACCACATTTGGTTCTAAGAAAAATGGATGATTTTGTTGGAATGGCATGTGCAGTCTACAACATATAGAACAAGTCCAATGCACACACAATTATGTCATGGAATATCTACACTCTCTAGTGCCTTACTCGTGAAGAAGAAAACAATAATATTTGCCTATTGAATCTAAGGGAAAGAACAGAAATCAACACTAACCAATAGGTAAAGCGCATAAGCCTCGTCCAACAGCCCTCAAGAACTAGAAAATGAGAGGGAGAAAGGAGAAATTAATATATTGGTGACAATGCACAAATAAACCAACATTTCATTGGCAAGAACATCTTAACTGCCTGAACAATCTATTACATGACTACAAGCAAGTTCTATTTAAAGTTTAAACATGTAAAAACTGAGAGAAATGATAGACATGCAGCACCGAGCAAAAGACATAGACATGAAAACGATGAGTACCGAGTGTATTTCTGGGTCTCTCCGAAAGCGACTATAAAGAAGTAATGCAGCTGGAGTCTCGACAATCTAGCACAACGAGAGCAACAAATAAGAAAAACACAAATTATGCTTTCAGAATCTCATAACTCGTAAGTAATTTAAAAAGCAGAAAGCGATGAGACCATACCCAAATCAAGCGAGTCGTGTCTGAAGGATGAGAAACAAGATGGATGGAGTACCAACGATGGGCAATCCACAATCCAATACCCAAACAAAGTCCACATATTGTATGGACCAAGAAGACCTGCAGGATTGAGATTTTGCATCCAGAGGCTTCTACTGCAACAGAAGTCTCCTTACTCTTGCTGTGACTTCTACTATCATTCATGCTTGACAAATATCTTTGGTAGGAGTGGTTTACAGCAAACCCACAATCCAATACTGCAGCTGCAAGTCTGACAACGCAAATGCATCCTTAAGTATTTCAAAAACCAAACTAGACAATAAGATAAGTCAAATCACATTAAAAGGACTAGCATTGTGCCCGGCCCTTGGCCGGGATTAATATGAATTTGTTATTATTATATTGTTCATTTGCTATTTTTTATCATATATCTTTTCAGTTTGTTGTGTTATTTATTGCCAACTGAAACACCATTTGAGTGTGCAATTTAGTGGTGAAGTTTTGAAACATATTAGTAGTATGGTAAGAGTCTGATGATAGAAAGCTTCGTGTTTGAAGAATTTGGCAATAGTTTCATATTTCTTTGTAATGAAGAAGGATTTGACAATTTTGATCGTGCCATTTGAAGAAGACCAAAGTACTTATGTGTTTTTTTGTATTTGTTGCTGTAACTTGAGATAAAGTTGTACCCAATAGTTTTACATGCTTGGACCGGACATTGTACTACCGGTTCCATTTTTACAACCTTCAATACACACGATGATATGGTTTTAACATTATGTTGTTCAAGCTAGTTTGAGGGGCTTTTTGTTGTTGTTGTTATCGCCTTGTGGATCCCTTATCGTCCTGCAAATAAATTCTCAAGTTGGTAGTAATATATGGTCAATTGATGTCTTGCTTATTTGTAATTACATTGCTGCTACTTATTTGGCATTTCAATTTTCTGTATTATTTGGGATTAATGACAACTAATAATGTATGTGATAGCTCACGTTCCTTTGGGTGGAAGTAATAGTTGTAGATGAAGAATAGCATCATGAAGCTGCACTTTGATATTGCCAAAGTGAATTGCAGAAAAAAGGCACTCAATCACCCCAGTGCTTTACTGTAGGGAACCCACAATGGGAAGAGAGTAGGAGGAAGACATTTTATAGCACTGTAATTGTTTTCCAGTGCCTTGAGAATAGCATCAGGGCTGCTACAGTTCAATCCTCAATTGGCTTAAAATCAAAACATAAAGAGACAAAGTACGGGATAATGGGAGCAAGAAGAAGAAGAACATACGTTTCCCAAGTTTGAAAGGCGGCCTCCAATTGTCGAATGGCCTCACGAAATTTGGATTAAGAAGCAGGAAGCGATGGCGAGGTCGCGGGAAAGCGGCAACCACTATCACTGCGTATTTGGAGCGATGAAATATCCAACCATATATGTGATGTGGACGCTAAATGGTCTTCAAAACTTGGGTGAGCCCGAATTGTATGTGGCCGGCGGGGAGGAGTCGTCACTGGATTGTGGAACAGTTGGGCAAAATTTATTTAGTCTAAAAGGTTAGGGTAAGTCATGGTTCACGCGGCTGAGATAAACCAATCCACACAGGGATAAACGTAATCAGAAGAACGGGAGATGTAACTGTCCAATGGTGGAGTCTGCAGAAATGGGGAGGCAGCAGATCCCGTTCAAGGATTGGGAGAAAGTAGGAAGCGGTTGGTGCGAAAGAAATCGGGACAGGAATAGAGATTGAAGCGGCTTTTTTTTTTTTGCCAGACAAGGAATCGATGGGAGGAGAGATCAACAGGAAAAAAAAAAAAGCTATACAAAGGGCAAGGATCCAAAAGAAATGAAATCTCACCGTTCGTCTCCCACAGCACCACAAAATGATATCGTCAAAACAGAAGCTCGTCGGACCTTGGACGACGACAAGTAGGATACGCAGCGGAGATATATGGTGACGACGGCGACGGCTGCTCCGAGAAGAAATTTGGCGGTCGACGGCCGTCCAGTAACAGAATAATCGCGAAGGAAACTGATTTACGCACCCGGATTCGTTGCTTGCTGTGAGAAGTGAGAACTGAGGAGTCAAAATGCGATTGGGCTCAAATGGCACTCAGCCCAGTTCGTTTATTATTGAGCCCAACTATTATTTTACGTGTAAGCATAGCCCAAACCCAGCTGGATGTGGCCCGCTTCCAGGAACGGCCTCCAACGAACCATTGCCAACACGTGCGCAGAAGCACGATGCAATTGCATGATGTCTTCCTAGCCGTCCGATAGTGACTGTGTTTTCTGTAATTATCATGGTTGTCTATGGTGGCTAACCGATTTCGTCCGGTTAACCAGATCGAAAAAAGCCGTAAAAATCAATCATAGGCCAACCAATGAAATCAAAAACGACGTAATTGGAAATCCATCAAGCCAAGTTTAGGTGTGATTCCGACATATAGCCATCGACCGACTGATTCACCACAATTGTTTGTACTTTAACCCATAACCGTTACCACCATAACCAAAGAATCGGAAAAAAAATCGACCAACATACCCAAACGGTTATTATATTAAACAGTTCTGGGCCAACCGATTAACCAGAAAAACCGAAGCCAGTCAGCCACCCCATCTACAGACCATCGCATATACCCCAATTACCGCCTATCGAACTGCAAACCGTAACTTTTCAGTTTTTACCTTTCACCTTTTACCCGCCGTAAGTAAACCAAGGCTCACTCACTCTCCATCTCCAAAAGGAAATTCTATATATCTACTCCCACTCGTCAGAGTCAACTCAAGCCGCCCAACTCGGCGGGACGCGCTCCGACGACACCGGCGGCACCGCCCGGACGTTGACGTCGACGGGCAGCAACCGGAACTGCATGTCCAGCTCCTTGAAAATTTTCACCATCTCTTCAATCAGCAGCGATCTCCTGACGTACCTCTCCCCCATGTCCTGATGGTTGATCCTGTGGCACGGCCAAACCGCAATCCGAACTTTGTTCAAGTCCTCGGCTTCCTTGAGCACGATCATCGGCGATGGATACCAATGCTCTTTCTTGTTGTCCACGTATCTGTCAGGAACCCGATAGTTTTACATAAGTTTGTGTCGAGATGAAACTAGTTTCAGAGTTTTGACGACGAGTACTTACGCGTTGATCCTTTGCCTAACGGCAGCGATCTTCTCAGCTGGAGTGGCCACGTGAATGAAGAACTCGATTCCATCGCCCATGTCCGGGCTGCGGTAGTAGTTACCGATGGCTTTCGTGGCGAGGACGCTATTCGGGATGATGATCTTCTGGTTATCGAACCTCAGGAAAATGGTGGACAGAATGTTCATCTCTTCCACGATCATCTGAAACCAAACGGTTGAATTGAAGGACAGTTTAACACATTGATTATTCACTGACTACTTACTGCAGTGAGGAGGGAAAAGAGTTCGGGGTTCAATTAGTTTTTGACTGACCTGCACTCCGTCGATCTCACACCGGTCCCCCACGTCAAACGGGTGCATCACAAACAAGAACACGATAGCTTCGAAAGCCGTTTTGCAGGTGTTGCCGAAGATGAATGCCACCAGAACAAGTTGGGAGCTCATGAAGAGCAGGAACTTAGTCGTGGCGATTTCCAACATGAGAAGCCATATGACGACGATCAGGATCGCGACAAGAACGTTCACCATCCGGTGCAATTTGTTCACCGCTGTTTTCGTGTCGTTGAGGGTTAAAGCCAGGGCTCTTCTTTCTCTAAAAGCATTGACCTGAAACCCCACAAAGCAAAAGACCATGAAGTCGATTCCTAATCAGTTCAAGGGCAACTGTATAAACTGATCACTAAGGTTTATACCACCCAGTTCTTCAAGCATGACTTGCTGATCTTCTGAGTTTCTGCAGCTCCTTCAAAGAGACTCATGGCCTTTGTAGCCTCATCTTCTTGCATAAAGCGCAATAGATCCTCAAAGTAGATAAATCTACATCGAAGAAGAAAACAGAGATTGTTACAGACTACAGTAATGGAACATATGATTCTGAAGGTGAACATGATTTGCCCGTGAGAAGTGACACCCAAGGTTCTGATGAAGTATCTAACAGAACTTGGCATGGGAAAAGCTAACGGAGACTTTTAGAAAAAACTACAGAGCACAGAGAATTACTGCATCTAGTTGAAACAGAATTGATGATCTCACACGTAGAAAACATAAACAACAAAAGAAACAAAGCAAAGCACTATATCATCAGTTGCAACTTGCATCAGCAAGAGCAGAAAACTAATATTCAAACGAAAAATTATAATGACTAATAACAAATAAATGCACCAGAAAGCCACACGCACAGAGAAGACACAACCCAAATATGCAAACAGTGTGTTTTAATATATATCGAACACTGTACCTAGAACCAGGCTTGGCCACATTCTGAAATATTTTCCTAGCAGCAGCCTTAGCTTCATATTCACTTCGAATCTTCGTTGTCGATTCGTCATCATCATGGCTCGAATCCTTTATCTGCTCGTCCAGCGTCGACAAAGTCCCAAGCCTTATTATATTCATCAGCCTCTTCATATTCCAGGCAGAGACATTCTTATGGTTCAGCTTATGCAAGTGATCAATCGTTATCCCATCATCACCCTCTTTGTCCGTATTCGAGAAGGCACCAGAAGCCCCCCTGGGAGTACCAACTCTCGGGCTCTTCTGAAGCCTCCCACTCCCAATCACCTTGCTCGGCTGAGGCGATGGAAATGTTGCTGCCTTAAGAGCTGGAGGCACTTCTACACCAGCATTCTGCAACTTCTGCACCTCAGCCAAAAGTCTTCCTTCTTCCTCTTCATTCCTTTGAATCTCGATCACAGGAGGACCCGAGAGAGTCTCGATCACATATTGGTTGAACAATGACTCCTGAATCCGATCGAAGTATGTGCTCACATGGAAAGAGGAAGCCAGGACTTTAACTACAAGGGTCTTCACCAGCCATATCAAAGTTCCCACCACTAAGCATAGTAGAACTTTCGTCACGTATCGAAGAAACCTGCTTCCGGTCTCCTTCTCAACTTTCTTATCAAACAGGAAATGCCAAGCTATCAACACTAACCCTAACCATAGACAGTTCTGCACAGGCTTTTTGATCCCATAGACGAAATAGAGGACTCGTTTCCGCAGCAGAAAGTTTCTCTCGATGAAGAACACTATGAACCTAATCACCCACCCTGAAACCAATCTCCCGCAGATGAGTACTAAAACCATTACTTCCCACTTCCACAGCGGAAGCTTCCACAGTTTCTTCCTCTTCAGTATTCGAATGGTGAGGGAACAAACTAGTGCAGCAATGAGTAAGATTAAGCTCACCCATTCAAGGAGAGTCCAGATGCCGAGCTTGTCCTTCTTCAGACCTTCAGGCAAGTCCTCCTCCAGCAACGGATCGTCTTCATCTTCGTCGATGTGATTGCTTCTCCCTACGTATCCAGATTTCAACTGCCCAGACTTCCCGGCGGGCATCCGTCCCGATTTCTCCGGCTGCTGCTGCTGCGGTGGATCCATCAATCTAGACTTCGTCTTCTCTTTGAACAAATTCGACCTCCTCTTAAACGACGACTGGCTAGAAAACGAACCAACACCTTCTCGAGAACTGCACTTCAAAACCTCCCCTCCATCACCACCAGCAGCAGGACTCCCGGCGTTCGATTGAATCCCTGGAGACTCCTTGAACCTGCTCGCCTGCCTCCTCCTAATCGACTCGCTCGACTCGAACGAGACTCGCTGGTGAACCGACACAGGCGACTCGGAAACCGGAGCGAGATGCCGGAGGTGATGCAGACCGTCGTTGTTGTTGTTGTCGTTCCCGTTCTGAAGCTCCGCCATCTCCAAATCCATGTCCAAGCAGAACTCCCCCGACGCCTGCTGCTTGTGCAGGAACTGTCCAATGAGCTTCGACGTCGGATCCTCCGGAACTCCAGTAGTATTGCCTCTCTGAGCCGGATTGAAATCGAATCTGTAGCTCCCGCTCCCGTCGTCGCCGCCCTCGGGCTGCTTCTCCTTCTTCCTGTCTTTATCCATTCCTTCAAGAAAATCGTAGCTGGATTCTCTCCATATATTCCCGGCCGGAGCAGGAGCGGAGGCGGGAGGAGGAGTCCCGTTGGGTGATGAACCTCCGCCGCCGCCGCCGCCGCCGCCGTTCATCTTGAGGAGCACCTCTCGCCGGTCGCTCGAATCGGCGGACATCTGATGGGGAGAGGCGAGGCAATGTAGGTAGGGGGTGTTTGGGAGGTGAGAAAATGTGAGGGGAAAGTGAAACGGCGATTTTCCGGGAGCTGTGAGTGTTTGTATTTGTTTAAACTTTAAAGAAGAAGAAGAAGAAGAAGAAGAAGAAGGTTTTTACTTTACACGGAGTAGGATTTTGAAAAGGAAAGTGGATAGAAGAAAAAAGAATAATTAAAATGGGAAAGCGAAGGAAGGAGAAAGGAGAGGACCGAACGACAACGACGACGTACTACAGGTGGCAATGAGCTAGAGGACGCCTGAGCCCCGACCATAATGACCTTTTTTTTTTTTCAGAGGACAAAATCATGGGAAGATCCTGAATTTCTTCGGTTTGGTAGCCCAAGTCCCTGAACTTCTTCGGTCTGGTTGAACAAGACCCTGAACTTTATTGTGAGTCAGTCAAGTTCCTGAGATATGTCGAGGTGCTGCTACTTGCATCTGAATAACTTGAAAGCTACGAGGGACTTCATTCATGGTCCAAAATTCGACCAGTGCTACGTCAAACTTAACACGAGAGAGTCTTTGATGCAAGAGATACAAATTCGGCCATGATCGTGGCAACAATGTTAAGTCCTGTGACTCATCTAGGGCTAACCATGCCCATGTAATGTTATGTTATTCCACGTTCCAAGACAGAACAATCTGAGAGGTGATCACAAAGAGTCAACCAAGTTAGGTAGGTCGCTGGTCGTGGTTCTTCGTCCCGTTGATAACGCAACTGATGATCAATCCATCTTTTTTTTTTCTCTTCCTTTTGCTCCATAACTAACACAAGGCAAATGTGTGCAAGCAAAGAAGATAAGAGGATGGGATTGATTGCGTCCACCGCCGGAGCAAGATGTTGAAGACAGACAGAGATACGGCCAGTTGCAATCCAACTCATCTTTCTCTGTTGAAAATTGACGGCCACGCCGCGTATCATGTCCGTCGCTGCTTTCCTCTGCTGATTCTCTACAAGCTTCTGCAACCAGCATTTTTTCTACTAAGCAAAGCCAAAGGTGCTCCCTTTTCGTCTGCCTTTGTCTTTTTCATGATGGATCAGCTGCGGGGCACCTATGAAATGTTCCACTCCTGCTGCTATCCACAACTCTGTAGAGGAATCTTGAAAGAATTCTGGCATCGCCGAGAAACAGCATGTTCTTCACACATACTACGCAACAAGTATGATTTCCTGTACTGTACGTATTACGTAAATGTTATGTAACGACATGGATTTGGTTGCTTTTGGCCGAGTGTACCAGCAAAATGGGAAAAAGGACATGGATTTGGTTGCGTGTGGAGTGGAACATATATTCTGCGACTTGGTATCCTAATGACTTTGCTTACTCATCACCTAATCCACCCAGGTAAAAGGACTTGAACCACAATGACGATCTGATTTGCTGATGCCATTAAATAAGTTTTCTATTCCATCAAGGAAACCATCACAAGGATTGATAAGAGCCCTACATAGACCAGCAGAAATTGCAGAAGGAAAACATTTCTACAGCAGTCTTATAAAGAATACAAGATGATCATTTAAAGTTAGACAGGACTTTTGGGGGCTATTCTCTCTCTGTCCATCTGCAATTTCACGACGTTTGCCAGTTTAAAAGCAATGCTTGCTGCATTAGAACTGCTAGTATGCTGCCAATCGATATGTTAATCACATTCACCACGTCGTTGTTAAGCTGCCCAAGCAAACAAAGGAGAACATACAAAAGATCAGGGTATTCTGAGCAACATGTTGGTATGCGAGAAATGGTAACAAATTGCGCACGACGGTTTGAGTTTCTCACCCACTGATATCCTTCCTTCTCTTGAAACACTGCACCTATTATGCTCTCGCCAAAGTTTGCGATTTGGGAGGCTACCACACATATGAGCGCTTCAGCTCCATTTATCTGCTTTCAAGTACAAATGATAAGGGAGACAACAAAGTGGTCTTTGCATAGGAAACTGGATGAAATAAATGAGGAAAGACAAAGCTCAACAAGTAACAAAGTAACTAATGATCCCGAAAAAGATGATCGGGAAGGGCATGAATAAACATTTACAACACCTACTGATAGTTGTTATTTAGCTATTCATATCATGCATGCAGTTATACTGACATTATTTGGCTTGTTATCTGAGATTCAATTACAAAACTGGAACTTTAACTTGTTTACTGTTTGGAACGCGATAACTTGAAGCAAGTAAGCAGTACCTGACCCATGAGACAACCAATTAGTGCAAGAACGACTGAGGCTAGGAATCCAGCCAGAGTTCCCTCAAGACTCACAGCACCTTCAGTTCCCCTAGGAACAACCTTGAATGTCGTAACAAGGTACCTGCCCATGCCACCAGAATTCATCAGAATCAACTACAGGCACAATGCAGCCAAACAAAGGCATCAAAGGATAATAACTCCACCGGAAAGAACAAGTCATAAAACTAGATAAACACATCCTTAGCGGAGGATCAAAATTGTCAATATGACGGCATACACATTACCTAGATATCAATTCTAAGGAGAAATTTCATCTTGTTGGATTCTACATAGATTTCTACACTTTACCTTGCTTTAATTTACATCACAAGTCCAAATGACAAGAAGCTACCTTTACCCTAGAAACTAGCAGATGAACCAAAATCGAAACAAACTGACTCATTTCTCGCATATCATAGGTCACATTACTTACGTAGTTTTGCCATAAGCCTTGCCTATCTCACTAGAGACGGTATCATTCAACTTGGTACAGAAGCTAGCAACGAATCCAAGCTGCCAAAGCTGCGCAAATTCCACTCCCCCAATTCCATATATCGACATCAAAGCACAAACACAAGCAGCAGCACTCGAACCAATCACGCTGCCAGGCCCCCTTCTCCCTTTCCTCTTCTCGGCAACCCCCTGAGCTTCCTTCTGCGCCATTTTCACTTTCGTAACTCCAGTCCCCTGCGAACCAGAACAACAGCACAACCCTATCCCACCCATTAAAATAAGAGAAATGCCCACATAAAGATGAAATCTTTCATCCAAAAACCCCAGTAAATCACTCAAAATTGACGGGGGGTTTTGGTGGGTTTGACTCACTATGACGAAGTAAGAGGCGACGAGGAGGAACCCAGATGGGCCGAAAGCGCGCCAAGTGAGGGTTCCGAGCAAGAAAGCGGCGGAAATTCCCGGAAAGGAAAGCCCCGTAACCAGAATCGGCGATCCGAGCACGAAGATCAGCAGATTGTTGAGGAGAGCGGATTGCCAAGTCGGATCGGGCGACTGCAGCAGCCCAATGGCCTCCGATACGACCCCTTGCAATGCATTGGGCGGGTGAAGACGATCCATTCTAGAGCTGAATCGCTGCTTTCGCGCGGTTAATGAGCGAGGGACTGAGAAGGATTTGGCAGGTTTGGGGGAAAGTTTAGGAAATTGGGAATGACGGGAAATAGAAGGGCAAGAAGAAGATGGATTGACGTGCAAGAGTAAAAGAGTTGACTGCGCCATTTCTATTACTACGTGGCTTTCTTATTTGGATTTCTGCCGGCGGAAATCGTCGATTTTGCCGGCGAGGGAAAGCAGCAAGCAATGCAGCCAAACTGAAAAGTGTATATATCGGAAACGCAATACAAATGGGCTTTCAGGACAAACAACAATCCTCGTGGACTCAAGCCCAAGCCCGTAAGAAATGACGAGCCTTTTTCTTCAATCTTATCCGGATAGACGGAGACGAAGCGATAGCAAACAAGGAGAGCGATAAATTTCGGGATAGTGAGGCGAAGAAAAAACTAAACTTGCGCAGAAGGCAGAAACCATGGCGCTGCTGCTTCATGGCTCATCCGCCGTTGTGTTACCATCACCGTCTTCTTCTTCTTCTTCGTGGGTGAATCCCAGCAGCATCTCGAGCTGTAACAGCAGCAGCCCCTTTGTGGTCGGATTCTCTGCTCCGGCACAGCAGCGGCGGAGGTCGTCACTGGTCGTTGTTGCTTCCCAGAAGAGTGCTTTCAACATGGATTACAGGATGAATAGGGATTTTAGGGATTTCAGGATGGCGTTGAAAGAAGAGGAGAAGGAGGAAGAGAAGGAAAGAAAGGAGAAACCCCCTCACATCCCACTCGACCAGCGCTGGATGTTCGAAGAATCTGAACTCGGCGGTCCTGTAAGAAAATTCAATTGGCTGTCTTTCTTGTTACGATGGTGGAAAGTTTGAATTTTTTTTTAGTTCTCTTTGTTTTATAGTAGTTGAAAAGATTGGGTTACATTTGCCTGGTTTTTGTTGGTTTGTTGATTGGTTTGGCGAAGGACATTTGGAACACGACTTGGTATCCAAAAGCAGCTGATCATGTGAATACGGAGAAGGCATGGTTCGTTGTGGATGCCACTGACAAGATCTTGGGAAGATTGGCGTCGACCATTGCTGTTCATATCCGTGGGAAGAATTTGGCCACCTACACTCCTAGTGTAGATATGGGCGCATTCGTCATTGTGGTATGCATTACTTTCCGTAGACGTGTTTATCTTTTTCGGGTTTCTCTCAATTACTCGAGTTATTGAACGAGGGATGAACTGATTTTCGATAGAGCTAAGTAGGTTTATTAGCGGGAGGTTATAAATTTAGTGGAATGTCTTCTATTAGCAGCCATGATGGTGTTGGAGTTGTATGCTTGACATTGAGGACCTATTATTTGATTGATAAAGTTTGGTTTGAGGTTAAGAAAACCTGTAGGTAATGAATGATTTCTGATGACACAAAGTTCTCATTCTTCAAATGTAAATAGATGTTGGAATCCGAGTGTGTTGCTTCAACTTGAGTGACCAGTTTGATGAAAGTTTATAATTATTCTGGTTAGCTTGGCGATGTTGTTCTAATGATTTTTGGAATCTACCAGACTTGAAAAGCTTATGGATGAATAGTTCCATGAATCCTTATTATGTTTTAATCTTTTCCATGGCCACGGACACGATTAATTGATTTTACTTCTCAATTTTTGATTGTTTATGTACTCATATCTTGGATGGATGCTTAAAATGGTGCTGTTAATGTGGCCAGACTTCACTCTGCTGCGATATTCCACTATCTGATGCTATTTTTAACTGATGTGATGTACCCTTTGGCTGCTTCAAGGTGAATGCAGAGAAAGTTGCTGTATCTGGTAAGAAGAGAACCCAAAAGCTATATAGGCGGCACTCTGGAAGACCAGGTGGTATGAAAATAGAGACCTTTGATCAGCTGCAACAGAGGATTCCTGAGAGGATCATTGAACATGCTGTTCGTGGGATGCTTCCTAAAGGAAGGGTAAGTGTTCAAGTTCCCAACAGATGGAAAAAAGAAAATTCTATTGAACAAATTAATATTGCCATTTTAGGGTTGTAGAATCCTTTTGAAGATGATTGGTATGTACTTTTAAGCATACTGCTCAACTTGGTGTATTCTTGCAGCTTGGGAGAGCATTGTTCAACCACCTTAAAGTTTACAAGGGCCCAGACCATCCTCACGAGGCACAAATGCCAGCTGAGTTGCCGATCAGGGACAAACGAATCCAAAAGCAGAGCTAGATTTGCAACTTCAAGTAACAAGTTTCAGATTGTAAGCTTGCACAATTGCTAGTCTGAGTGCAGTCAAGCAATTGGTAGATTACTGCTGTGTTTGTTTGTTTCATGTAATGTAGTTTGCTGCAGTTTGGTTGGTTCATGTAGGTTGACGTCGTTGTTTGTATTCAGGAAACGAATCTACATTGTATTTCTCTTACTTACAAGTTACAACACAAGGTAACCTTACATTGAATCAGAAAGAATTGTTTCGGCTTATCAGTGGAATTCGGCTCTGGAACGGGGTGTTCTTTTCGTGGAATGATGTAATGTCAGATATTCCCTTGTTTGGATAGTCATCGTCTTTAAGAGGCCGTAGCACCAAATATCCATCACATGTGTGCAGCATCAGCACGTTCCTTCCTCATCAGGATTTTGATAACCCTCGTGTCAAAAATCAAAGTTTTATATTAAGGTGTATAAGATTTATTATTAAACCTTTTTAAATAACTGGAGTTATTGGGATCAACTGATTATTAACCCGGTATTAGATCCTTTTGTGAATAAAAGATCTTTTATTTGAATTCCGATAACTCCCGTTGGTATGCATATGGTGATTCTTAACCTGGTATTGGATCTTTTTGTGATTAAAAGGTCTTTTGTTTGAATTCCAATAATCCCCATTGGTAAGCACATGACGTGTCATACATGTGCAAACTTCAACCCTATATAAGTGGCTTTCGTGTGAGGGTCCGGGTGTGTTAGTATGTGGTATAGAATTCATTACTAAAACCTCTCTCAATAACTTGAGTTAGTGGAATCAACGGGTTCTTGACACTAGTCTTTTTTAGAGATGAAAACCTTTTAAGTACAGATCCGGATATGTTTCCCTGCGGGTAGGGCTGGAAGTTTGGTACCGGTAGTATTTGGGATATACCAAATACCGTATCGAATTTGTATATATTTGGTATTACCGAATACACGTATTATTTCTTGAGATTGGAATTGAGTTTCAATTGTTATTCGGTATTAGGGATTACGGGATTGTGGTCGGTATATACCGAAATACCGATCAATACCGAAATATAAGCTAGTGTGTATTTTCTCTTCTCAACTAGACTCTCTCATTCACTACTACATGACCTTCAACCACCAAGAGTGTCATTTAATTATACACATATCATTCCATCACTATTAATAGTCGTCTCTCAACCTCCAATTCGTCAAATTAAAGATTACCAATGACAAGAACTTGAGATGTCTCCCCTCCTCCATTCTCCGTAATAATTTCCTAATTCAAGACTCTTTACTCAGTCCTTTTCCCCTAAATTAAACAATAAAATATATATTTAATTATTAACTGCAAAGGAAATTAATTTCGTATTCGATAATACCGATTGGGATACCGAAGTATCGATTGGGATACCGAAATATTTAAGGATTGGGATTGGGATACCAAAATTATTTAGAGATTGAGATTGGGATTGACTTTAGAGTGTAATTCGGTAATCGGGATTTCGGTATTTGGTATTGAGATACCGATACCGTACCGATTTCCACCCCTACCTACGGGCATGGCTGAGATACATCGATGTCAAAGTGTATAATATGACCGATCGAGGTGTACATGTAATTCTAGTAGATGATGTAAGATCGTACCCTTGAACCTCTCATAACAGTTTAAGTTATTAAGACCAAACGATTGTTGATGGTTGACATAATATTAGAGGCTTTCAATTGTGGAGACATCATTGACATATATGTCATATGTTAACATATATATAATATATGTAGCCAGCCATATCAGACTATATTGTACAGATCTGGACAACAACGTGGTGATGATGGCTGTCATATATAGAAAGAAAAGTTGCTTGGTCTACATACAACACCGGCCAAATTGCCACCTACGAAATTAACAATCATTCACCAACAAATCATAGATTTGATTCCATATAACAAATTAGCTCAAACAGCCTGACAGTCACAGGGTGGAACAACGTGCTCGATCAGTGCGATGGAGTAGTTGGCCTGTGAGCCTGCCGTGATGGTTAGATGCGAAAGCCCATGCACTATAAAAACTGATACAACCCATTGCTGATCTTCTGTATCTGCCTGCCCGACTCTCGCCGGAAATGGAGCCGGAGAAGAAGAAGAAGATGATGATGGATTCAAGCTTACTGCAGACTGATTCTCCGACAATGGTTTCTGGCAATAACTCCTACAACTACGCACACAACTCCTCTGCCCAGGTAACAAAACCAGAAGAAAACAGAGTACTATATATACAGCTTCTTCTTTTCCCCCTTCCACTTCCACTTAGCTTGCAAATGCATCATTTTGTTTGCAAATACGGTATTCATGGTGCAGAGGAAAATGATGGATACGGTGAGGCCGAGAACAGAGGAGCTGATTGCAGAGAAACTGGACCTGGAACGATTATTCATGGGCGCCGGCGGCAACACTTTTCGTGTCGCCGATCTAGGATGCTCGATTGGACCCAACACGTTCCACAACGTCCAGCACATTGTCCAGCAAGTCAGGCACAAGTACCACATGATGACGACCTCCACCGCTGCGTCGCCGTCGTCGACCCCGGAGTTCCAAGTCTTCTTCAACGACCAGGTCAACAACGACTTCAACGCACTCTTTCGCTCTCTCCCTCCGGAGCGAGACTACTTCGCTGCCGGAGTCCCCGGGTCGTTCCATACCAGGTAGCTAAGCTGATTGCGTGTTAATATATGAGAAATTTTACAATGCTATATAGTATTGGTGCTATAATTTTTTGGCTTTATGGTACAACTTAAAATTGTACATTTACGTTATGGTACAACTTCAGATTGTACATATACTTTTTGTACAAATTCTTTTATGGTACAACTTGAACTTGTACTTTTAGGTGATGGTATAACTTCAAGTTGTAAAGTTGTACCATAACATAAGGATACAAATTGCTTTATGGTACAACCTAAATTTATACATTTAATGTTATGGTACAACTTTAAGTTGTACATTAAAGCATCAATACTATATAGCATAGTAGAAGTGCTCTATATATATATATATATATATATATATATATATATGGTGAGTTTTGTCGTATTCGGGATAAATATGAAAGTACGGTTTATTATTGCTATGAAAACTCTATCTAGATATCGAGTTTAAACAAAATTTTGGAGCATAATACTATATCCTAACTCATAGACCCTAAATACTAAAATGGTGCATATAATTTCTTAGATGTATGTCGACGACGCGAATCATGATCGTCAATCACAACATCTAATTTGATTGATGTTGGTGTATGAGATTTATGGAATTAAAAGACCCCAATATTAACAATTGATCTAACCACAAGGTATGACGAGCTTGTTAAATTTTCAAGCCGGTGAGATGACTTTCTTTTGAGGGATGTGTTAGAGAGTGATATTGGGACCAATCGTTTTTTAACATGCGGCGGTATCAGAGCTTTTATGTGATCGAGAGGCGTTCTATTTGAACCCCCCACGACCCCATTTGTTAAGCACATGATATATTGATCTGGGCAAACTTCAAAACTCGAGTCATTGGGACCAATTATTATTTAACATGCGGTATCGTAACTTTATGTGATCGAGATTCTCTATTCAAATCCCGACGACGCTCATTTGTTAAGCACATGACATTCAGACTTGCGTAAACTTCAAACTCATATGAGTAACGTTCCTTTGTGTGGACATGTTGGTAAATACTAAATAGTATAAAATTTATAATTGAACATCTTCCAACAACTCAAACTATTAGGACGAACGAGATGTCATGCCTTTAATTTCATTTACGATACAATAGAATCATCTACATGTATATCTCTCTAACAGGGTGTTCCCCAAGTCGTCTCTTCATTTGGCTTACTCGGCCTCGTCGGCGCATTGGCTGTCGAGGGTGCCGCCGGAGGTGGTGGACAGAGGATCCCCTGCTTGGAACAGGGGAATGATTCACTACGGTTTCGCTCCGAAACCGGTGGAGGATGCTTACAGGGCCCAGTTCAGGAAGGACATGGGAGGGTTCTTGAGAGCTAGAAGCGAGGAGCTCGTGAGCGGAGGGATGCTTGTGCTTGTCTTTCCCGGGTTACCCGACGGGATGCTTCACTCTGAAACCCAAGCCGGCTCTGTAATCTACTGCGTCAATCTCAGCATCTTGGATTTGGTTCGTCAGGTAAAAAAAAAATCATTTAAAACGGGAGAGGATTAATGTGATACGAGGTCAACTGGTTCTTGACATAGTATCATAACTCGCGTGTGTCTGTGGATGCAGGGTGTGTTAGACGAAGACCAATTGGACAATTTCAACTTTCCAATGTACTTTCCGCAACCAAGGGAGATGAGGGAGCTGGTGGAGGAGAACCAGTGCTTCTCCAGCATCGAGCTGGAGGTGGTCGACCCGGAGGAATCGACATGGCTTCAGGGGGGAGTTGGCCTGAGAGAGTGGTTGGTCGTGATAAGGTCTACCATGGCGGAACCGTTCGCCAGACACTTCGGAGGGGAAGAGATCGTCGACAAGATATTCGATGGGGCGAGCCAGAAGATCGAGGAGCGTGCTCAAGTCATCATGAGCACCAAATGCAAAGAACTGCCTCTCTTGTATGTTGCTCTCCAGCGCAAGTGACATCGGTTCGAAATTGTTGCAAGTTTGTCAAAGTGTGTTTTTGAGTCTTGTTAAGTTTTAAATTGTTGCATTTGAGAATTGAGACGGCCCAGAGCTTTTGGCTCAAGTTGTTGCGTTTGAAGTAGACATTTATGGATAACCTATGGAAGCAAACTTGAGTGACCAGTTTGATGAAAGATTATACTTATTATTCTGGCTATAGCTTGGCTGTGTTATGCTAATGATTCTTGCAATCTATGGATGAATTGCAAGAATCATTAGCTTGGCGATATTCCACTAACATACATATGCCTGCACTGCACATTTTAACCATTTTGATTAGAAATGTATTAGGAGTAGGTTGTGTACGTAATAATTCTGTAAGAAACAGGACCAATTAATGGTTGCTGATCTGCTCTTGAAGCAGACATATGTATATTTCTGGAGGAGCTTTGGCTGAATCTGGCTGCTGGAGCTATAGAAAGGGACAACGACGACGACATTTACAGACAAAAATTACTATACCAAGATGGAGTAGTTGGCTGTGATGGCGAGATGTGAAAGAATCATCATATTATACTACAAAAACTGATACAACCATTATTGCTCTCTTTCCGTGTCTGTGTCTGCCTGCCTGGCGCTCACCGGAAAATGGAGCAGGAGAAGAAGAAGAAGATGCAGACCGATTCTTCTCCCACAATGGCTACGGGCAACAGCTCCTACAACTACGCCAACAACTCCTCTGCCCAGGTAACAAAACTAGCTAGAAACCTATTTAAACACAGCTTCTTTCCTTCTATTTTCCAATACCAACCATCATTTTTCTATCATTGTTGGTGCAGAGAAAAATGACGGATGTAATGAAGCCCAGAATCGAGGAACTAATAGCCAATAAACTGGACCTGGGTCGATTGGCCGCCAACGACAACACATTTCGGGTCGCGGATCTAGGATGCTCGATCGGACCCAACACGTTCCTCAACGTCCAGCACATTGTCGAACAAGTCAGGCACAACAAGTACCAGACCATGATCTCGACTCACTCTGCTGCCTCGTCGTCTTCGCTCCCCGAGTTCCACGTCTTCTTCAACGACCAGATAAACAACGACTTCAACGCGCTCTTTCGCTCCCTCCCTCTGGAGCGAGACTACTTCGCTGCAGGAGTCCCCGGGTCGTTCCATACCAGGTAGTTGGACACATTGCGTTACACAAAAAAAAAAAAAAAAACTATATCCTCTAATGAATGAACCTCAGTTCCTAAGAACAGTATAACAACTGTGCTCTGTTCTGTTCTGTTCTGACATATTAGTAAGTTTTAGCAGCGAATCAACTAATATGTATGTCTAACTACAGGTTGTTCCCCAAGTCGTTTCTGCATATTGTTCACTCGGCCTCGTCGGCGCATTGGCTGTCGAGGGTGCCGCCGGAGGTGGTGGACAGAGGATCCCCTGCTTGGAACAGGGGAATGATTCACTACGGGGAGTCTCCGAAACCTGTGGAGGATGCTTACAGGGCTCAGTTCAGGAAGGACATGGGAGGGTTCTTGAAGGCCAGAAGCGAGGAGCTCGCGAGCGGAGGGATGCTTGTGCTCGTCTTCCCCGGGGTGCCTGATGGGATGCTTCAATCCGAAACCCAAATCAGCTCTGTAATCAACTGCGTCAATCTCAGCATCCTGGATTTGGTTCGTCAGGTAAACTAAAAAAATCAATTTAAACCGAGCGCGTATTAATCAATTTGGTTCTTGGCATGGTGTCGTGTAATGCGATAGACTCGGTCCGGTGCAGGGTGTATTGGAGGAAGACCAACTGGACAATTTCAACTTTCCGGTGTACTTTCCGCACCCATGGGAGATGAGGGAGCTGGTGGAGGAAAACCAGAGCTTCTCGAGCATCGAGCTGGAGGTGGTCGACCCGGAGGAATCGACATGGCTTCAGGGGGGAGTTGGTCTGAGAGAGTGGGCGGTCGCAATAAGGGCAGCCATGGAGGAACTGTTCGCCAGACACTTTGGAGGAGGAGAGATCCTCGACAAGATATTTGATGGGGCGAGTCAGAAGATCGCAGAGCATGCTGAAGTTATTATGAACACCAAATGCAAAGAACTGCCTCTGTTGTATGTTGCTCTCCAGCGCAAGTGACATTGTGTTTGTCAATGTGTGTTTTGAGTCTTTAAGTTCAAGTTGTTCATTTGAGTCGCCCTGAGTAGTGTGTTTTAGTTGTTGAGAGCTTTCAGCTCAAGTTGTTATGTGTTAGTTGATCATGGGAGCAGGTTGATGCAATTTAGATTACATGGGCAGTTGTGTTTGCATTCAAACATTCAAATACATCGAAAGTGCAATTAGTAAGCTAACCATTCATGTCCTTTCGATCCAGTCCCCGGATCCCAAACGGTGTTTCACTCTCAGATCTACACATCATTCACTGCCTCAAACGAACTCAGGAAGCTGATTACGTGCTCATAGACCCCAATGCCCTTCAAGAACACACTCTCTTCCAGATACTGCACAGCAGCAAATTACACAGCTCTCATGTTAGCCAGGGAACCATATTTCTGCAAATCATAGAGATGACTAGCTACCTAAGGAAACATCAAAGAAAGTGGAGATATGATCTCAAACCTCATTATGGTCGTGCAGTAGAATGGGAGTATTGGTCATGGGAGAGAACCCCAACGCAGGAATTCCCAACTCTCTCATGAACCTTGCATCAGTAGTTGAAGCCAATATTTCAGGCTTCCCCAGCTTTCCTCCAGCTGCAGCGATGGCTTGCTTAAACATGGACCACCACGGACTAGAATCATCAGTTGCCGTCACTAATGGATTCCCCTTCAAATCTCTTATTGGCCCTTTCTCCTGTATCTGAGCCAATCAAAGCGAGGGTAACTATGAAACAGAATTAGACATGGCTACATGAAAACTTGGGTATCTATCAGTGTTCATACTTTCCACAGTCAATGTGAGATTTAGCCTTTAGATGACTGAAGATGCAATCATCTTATAGAGCTAATGGGACAGCATTCCGACATGATACCGGATATGTAGTTATATACGATAAGCTATGGAAGTAAACAGTTCTCTCCCATCGGCCCTTCTGGTAATTGCAATGAGATGAACTGTAAGCTATGTTGATGAGCTGGTCAATTTGGGAAATGTCCCAAAAGTTCAGAGGGCTCATTATGAACTCTAAAGTACATGAAACTAATAACATGAGCCAACAAAAGCATCACATTCTATCCAGTATTTGCAGAAACAGAACACATATCAATCACATATGAAGGAATGCTATGAATAATCCAAGCTACTGAAGACATTGTCATTGATTATCAAGAACTTACCTCAAATGTCATGTTGCGTTCAGCCGGAGCCCATTCTTGAGCAATTCTCTTCCTCATCAGATCCGGGTCTGCAGCAGGAGGCATCCTAACATCATAACCTGCTTCTGCCTCCGAAGGTTGCATATTCATCACATATCCCTGCTCCAACCAATAAACATTTCAACTCATCAAAGCTAAAACAAGCTGCAAAGTTTGGATTTTGGAGACTGTTAATGCAAATATTTTATACTTACTGTTGGGGAAGGAATCCCAGCTTTCAAATAGACAGGATTAACCGAGATAACCTCAGAAGTGGGAGCCTTTCCAGCTTTCACAACATCAAACTGACTCTCACGGAACCTACTAATAACTTCAACACTCTTCATCAAATTCTCCGTTGCCCCATTGTCATACATCCTCGAACCATGTCCAGGCTGCCCAATTGCCCTGATGATCACCTTCCAAGGCGACCGATCCGCATAGAACACCCTGAACTCATCGTTCACCGACGCCTGCCCTTCATCCAACACGAACCCAACTCGCAATTCGTCGAACACCTGGGATGCAACAAACTTCTGCGCGCCATCTTCCCCGCCAATCTCCTCCTCGGGGACATACGAGACGTGAACAGTCCGAGCAGGCACGAACCCTCTACCCTTCAAGTTCCGGATGGCTTCCAAGTACTGGATGGCGATGCACTTGTCGTCTTGAGCTCCGCGGGCGAAGATCTTGCCGTCCTGGTCGCGGACGGCGGCGAACGGCGGGTGGATCCATTTGGAAGGCTCCGCCGGGACGGAATCGAGGTGGGAATTGAGGAGCAGGGAAGGGAGAGATGGGTTTGACCCAGTCCAGGTCAGAAGCAGGACGGGCTTATCTTGAACGAACTCAAATGTTTGGGCTTTGAGACCGAGGGATTCGGCGATGGATGTGAGGAAAGAGACGGGAGCTGTGTAGTTTGGATTGGGGTGTGCGGTTTTGAATCTGAGGTATTGCTGGAAACGGGTCACCGGAGTGGCTTCGTCTGCGGTTGTGGTGGAAGAAGATATGAGAATGGCGAGGAAGACGAAGAGCAGTGGAGTTGACATAGCTTGCTAAGTGAAGCAAAGGTGTGGAAATGGAGGACACAGCAAGTCAACGGCTCAAAGAAGAGGCATGACAGTCAAAGATCTTGACTTTATTGGCACCCTAGAAGAAGAATCGATGAACCCTTATGGAAGTGAAGCAGAGAGAGAGATACAACTTGTCGGACTGACAACTGCAACCGCCGGAGTTAATATCGCCGGGGAATCGATCTTCCGTCGAGAGCCCTAGTAGACGCCTTTATTCCGATCACGCTTTCTCTGGTTCTCCGATGTAAATCACTTTTTCAGCACAGGACGAAAGGTGTTAGTGGCGAAAGTCACAATTATCTGTATTTTCATGTAATTTTTCGGCTTTTTTTTATTATTCCCAGGGATATATTTTACCTCCATAACAAAATATCGTACGAAATCAATATATCGACAAAATATCGTAAAATATCGCGATATTTAACCATATATCGTCATATCGTCAATTTCAATTTATCGTCAATTTATCGCGTTTCGTATTTGGTTTTGAGGACACGAAACGTTTCGAGTTTCGGCGTTTCTCCACTCCATTTCCCTTTCTTCAACCGTTTCAAGCTTTTGTCACAGTTTCCCCAGATTTAAAGCCAGGAGTGGTATGGTTGGGCCCGTATCTACTGGCCCGAATCCGGCATTAGGCCAGAAAACTCAGATTGGGCTGGCTCATCTGGGCCTTGCTTATCCAAAGTTGTCAGGTGTAACTAGCTGTTTTGGCCCATCTAAATATTGGGCCATGGGCACCTGATTCAGAAGAACCGCAAAACCCATTAAAGCAACTATGAAACGTGAAACGGCAGGTCGAAACGTGAAACGTTTCGTAACCTGAAAACTAAAATCGAAACGCGATAAATTGACGAGAAATTGAAACTGGCGAGATTTCGCGATATGGCTAAATATCGCGAGTTTTTACGATATTTTGACGATAAACTGCTTCCCGGCGATATTTTCATGCCATCCCCGTTCTTTCACCTCCCAGAACCCAGAAAGCTTCTCCGGCGAGCGACCAAATCCGATCTTTCCCTCCCTTTCGCCGTTCCAATAGAAACGGTGATGATTATGCGGCTGATTCCCCTCCCTATTTGCCTCCACTAACTAATTGAGGATTCGGTAATTCGATTCGTGGTTTTGGCGTCTCGAAACGGCCGGCGATGGTAAAGCAGTGTATTCAGAACCTCTTTGCTGCCGCAGTAGCTCCCGTCGCCGGTAAAGAAGAGCTGAGAGATTTTTCCGCGACGGAGGAAGAGGCGGGGTGATATACATGTCAAGTGTCAACTTTTCAAAGCACGCGACAAAGCGATGGCGCGTGGGATACTTCCAAGGCAGCACTTGTGTGTCCGAAACCGAAATGGACAGTCCATTCGAAACGCGATTGGGCGATTACGAAGGAGACGGCGTCACCAGTCGCCACCAAGTCATCCATATCCCACGCGCGCCCGATAAACGCTTTCCTCTTCTTTACTTTATACTTGTACCGTCAAAGCGAAACGGAATCACACTAAATAAGCAAAAACAAAGAAGGGGAAATCAAAATCTGACTTGCCGCAAGACTCCGGCGACTTGGCGGCGGCGGCAACTGGATTCCTCTTCTAATTTTGGTCATCAAGTTTCCATCTTTGCTCTGCTAATTCTCTAATCGGGAATGGCTCCCCGCCTAATCTCTCGCGCCGCCGTGGCGGTGTTGCTACTGCTGTCGATGGCTTCGTCGTTACTCCCTGCGGCGAGAGGTATATGGTTGTCGATCCCTAGCACGGGAACCAAGTGCGTCTCCGAGGAGATCCATAGCAACGTCATCGTTCTGGCGGATTACTATGTCATCAACGAGGATAAGCCGGAGCATGTGCCGAAGGTTTCTTCGCGGGTATGAAATGTTCTTTTTGGTTTTGTGGAAATTGGTAGTTGGTTTCTGGATGTTGCTCGATTGCTTAGCTTTGTGGGATTTTGAATCTTTTGAATGCCTTTGGTTTCGGGTACCCTCCGGAGATTGGGATTATCATCTGGGTTTGACTCAATTTCTTCGATTGAGCAGCTCTGTGGGATTCAGAATTGTCAATAACTGTCATTTTGTGGGCTTCTGCATCTGAACCATGAAAGTCCCGTGCTGGTGTTGGTGTAATCACCTGAGATGATTTCTAGCTCATGTTGATGTTCAATCATGTAGTACTTGGTGTATTTTAGTCGATTGGTGCTTAACGAAATGATGAAGCACAAATGATGGAGCATTTGAGATTGGTTGATGAAATGGTATAGTTAGTTGAACTCCTGGTCTGTGCGGTTGCCACTTGCCAGGTTGCAGTTCAAGCAGCATGTTGTATGGTTTGCTATGATAGGGAGTTAGGGACTTAGGGAGGAATGGAAACTAAGGATTTTTGGAAGAACTGTTGTAGAAACAAATAGTAGCCCACTATTCTTTGAATCCTTGTAGGATTGCGTTAGAAAACCATCAAAGCTTTGTTTTTTAATACCTCTCGTGTTTTCTGGTTCTCTGGCCTTTGTAAAAACAACACTCAGGTCAAATGTGTTTTCTGGGTCTCTGTCTGTATATCTCAATGATCCAAGTTTAGGCATACATCATTCAATCAGTGTAATTCTCACCAGGCTCCTATGCCATGCTTTTCTTTGGCTATAGATTTCCTATTGGCGTTCTGTCCGCATTTGATAAACGTGTTCTTTCCATATATTTCCAAAACTGTCTTTTCTATATGATCTTTGACTGCCATTTTCTCCTTTACATGAGATCCTCTTGTATTAGCTGCTAAGTATGCTTAGCATCTACTCGTCGTGTGGTGTTTCCCCCTTGAATTCTTATTTTGCATCAGCTGGTTTTGAATCGGCTTTACTTATCTTTGAGCAAAGTTACGCAGAGGAAGATCTGTCTATGCTAGCTAGCCTTTTGGTCCTGTACTTGGAATATGAATGATTTTCAAATGTTTGCGATACAAAAGGCAGCCCATATTCATTCCAGAGACCATGTTTGATTTCTAAAATGCTGCAGCATTCTTTCCTGGTATGATGACATAACCTGATACTAGAAATGCCCAAGTTTCGCCTAGAGCTAGTATCTAAACTGATATTCTTAGGAAGCTGTTTCATCTTTGCTAACCAAGCAATGACCTCCATTTGTTTTAGGTGACATCTCCATATGGAAACAATCTACACCACCTGGAAAATGTGACTCACGGTCAGTTTGCCTTCACGACCAGTGAAGCAGGTAACTACTTGGCATGTTTCTGGCTGGACGAACATCAGGAACATGTCTCTAACGTAAGTTTGGGTCTGGAATGGAAAACTGGGATTGCCGCAAAGGACTGGGATTCAGTGGCTAAGAAAGAAAAGATCGAGGCAAGTTTATTATTAATACTTTACTGCTGCAGATTCTGCTATGCAGATCCCGTCTACCTGAGTGTTATTTTGTTTCTCTATTATCTGTTGATTGATGTCTTGCATTTATGGTTGTAGGGAGTTGAGCTTGACCTTAAGAGGCTAGAAGCATCCGTTGAATCAATCCATCAAAATCTGATCTATCTCAAAGAAAGGTACACCCTTTTTATTGATCTATTTTGCTTCAATCAGGTGTTATCAGATAGCCAAGTATATAGCCCGATAACTATCTTGTATATCCTACATACTGGTTGTCATATTATCGTTCTGTGATCTTTGTTGCCTCCAATTCAGCAAGACAAAGTTTATAGACATACTAAAGCGTAAGTTGTCTGCAAAACCATTAAATCAATTGATAAATTGTTGGGTTAATGACATTATTAAGCCTTGTACTATGTTGTTTTGACAAATAAGTCTCCGTACTAAGTTGTTTCTACAAGCATGTCACTGTAATATGCACTCATCCATCTTTAGTCCTCTGTTCAGAATCCTGTTATTAGTGACATGTTTAGTAAGCACATCCTTGATAGCTTGCTACCTTGTATACTAGAAATCATGTTTAGCCCCTTAGTCTCTCAATCCTTTTTAGCCTCTCGTTTACTACGATGCATTTGTTATTTGGGGCATGTTTGAGAAGCAAAACACACTTTTCCAAACTACTTGATATGCGACCCATTAAGCACATGTTTATTAAGAATTGATCTGCCACGCTAGCAATGAATTTGGACAGAAATTTTCACCTAAGGTGCCTGAAACTGATGTGCAAGTGTAAATGAAAGGGACAAGCATTCCACTTTCTTAGGTTTGTAGCAGTAGAATCAGCTGAATGTGTGACGAAGGATATGGAAAAATGGCTTAGCCCACATCAAGATGCTTGACGCATAACATATCTAAAGCATTTGTTGTTGCTCCAACCTCATATAGGTTATTGTGGCTTTAAATTGACAGGGAAGCAGAGATGAGGGAAGTGAGTGAGCAGACCAATGGGAAAGTGGCTTGGTTCAGCATTATGGCACTCAGCGTGTGCATTGCAGTTGCGGCATTCCAGTTGTGGTACTTGAAGCGGTACTTCCTGAAGAAGAAGCTTATCTAGATCCCCAAGCTCAGTTCATACTTCTTTTCTTCTTATTGATAGTTTGATACATGAATACTCAGGCCTATCTTCTCAAACAGATTGTACACACTACACATGGTCTCTCTTCTCTTTTCTACCCTTAATTATACTCCTTTCTGTCTTTATTACCCTTGCTTGCAAAATTTTAATTTCTAGATCTTCCTTCCATGCTTAGGCTTGGACTGTATCTCCTAGTTAAGAACTATACAGGAACTGCAACCAAAAATGTTGATGTGAAGGGTAGATGACAGTAGACAGATCAAGTAATCCTGTTCCTGCTGTTAGTGATCTCAAAATCCAATGGGCATTCATGTAAACCAGCCCTGAATCGATAATCAAACCGAATGCTCGATTTGGCTTACACAATCAAATTACAGAAAAAAGACAGGCAAAATGAGGATCATAATCGGATTAAAAACGCATTCAAGGTTCAGCTCCAACTCCAGAAATTAAGATCAAAGGCATGCACAATCTGCTAAAGGAAAAATCCAGTTCAATTTCCAAAAACCTCAAACAAATGTTAATCCAAATGTTATATCCCAACCCCCTAACAGGATTTGATCATGACTCAAAACAAACCAAATTAAATCTGACTGTCTGATGATCTGATCACCAATGTTAAAGCTAATTTAACTATGGGCTCATCTCAGATAAACAAACAAAAACAAAAGTTCAGAATACCCCTGACTCAACAAAAATTAAAACAAAGATCTCTCAACCATCCCGCCCAAAAGCCATCTTCCAATCCTCCATTGCTGATTTGTCAATCATTTCCGCTTATTGTTGTTCTGCTTCCCATTCTTCCTGTCCTCCTCCTTCCTGTACTTGATTCCACAAGCATTGCACAGCGTCTGCAACACACCCCCGAAATTCGTACCCATTACTACTCGAATTAACTCGAAAAATAATAATACGAAATGAGAACATCCGTCACACACATACCCTGCCCCCTTTTGGGCCACGGCGCCACATGGGAGTGTCGTCGTTCCCACAGAGCAGGCACTTCTTCCCCGGCGGGCAGTAGTTCCCCTTCCCACGCCGACGAGGCATCACGAAATTCTCCTTCCCCATCGCCGCAGCAGCAGAACCTGCAGCCTGAGAACTACTAGCAACAGCAGCAGCAGCAGCAGCAGTAATACTGCCACCTCTGGCTGCAGCTCCAAACAGAGTTGGTGCCAGAGGAGGTGCAGCAGCATTGGGCCGGCAGACCGGAATTCCCACCACGGTGTTGTAACCAGGGTACTGGTACATCTGTGGTGGCGCAGGAGGAGAAGGGAAGGAATTCATCATGGTGTTGTTGTTGTTGTTGCGGTTCGGCGTTGGCGTCAGAGTAGCCATCCTCGACATCAGCCAAGCAATCCCTGCATTGTTGTTGTTGGTGTTGGTGTTGTTGGCAGAGGGGTTGCTGTACCCTGAAAAGATGCTGCTGCCGCCGGTGTAGTAACTGTAAGCAGAGCCGGCGGCGTTGTTGTTGTTGTTGTTCTGCAGGTTGTGGTTTGGTTGCTGGTTGATCAGACGAAAAGGTGCTGGTGCTGGAGCTGGATTAGGGAGGGTATGGCTGCCGCTGCCTCCATTGTGTTGCTGGCTCAGCATCATAACATGATTCACATTGTTGTTGTTGGTTGGCAAGTTGTTGTTCGTCGGCATCATCTGACCACTGATATTGCCGCCCTGCAGTTTCAAAAAAAAAAAAACAATCAAATTGCGGGCTATCCATGCATAGGTGGAACTGTTGCAGGCACGGATCTTCGGCACTCGGATTGGCGGAACAGGATAGAATATAGAACGAGATTTAGATTGGTTGAGAAGAGAACCAGACAGAATCGAGTGATTTAGAATTGAAGGTTACGATTTTTTACAAGAGACTAGAGAGGATCAATAATTCGTAACGATAGACATGGGCGTGGTCTGAATTTCACTCAAGGTGGGTCCGATTGTAGAATAAAAATGAATTTTTATTCATGTTCAGAATGACTCGCGGCACATTTTAATAGTTTGCCGACATATTTTCATTTCCAGGGTGAAGAATTCGACACCGAATTAGGGATTAGTAATCTCGGAATAAACAATTATAGAAGCATGATTTTATCTAGAGTAATATGTACCACAGAGTTTTTTCGGTGAACAAGTGAATCTAGTGAATATGAGGTGTTGGGTGTTAAGTATTGTATTATGGGTTGTGTACAAGTACTTACATTTTTGTGTCCTGAATCTCAATTCAAAACCAATTTCAAGCTCGTTGCGGTAGAACTAATGGACATCATATATCCGCATACTCTGAACACTAATCAACTAATCTTAATAAAAATACTAAACTTTCCTTGGATCGTTGCTAATCATACCTTCAACAGCAGGAATAGTAAGAGATCTTCCTACTAATGATAAGTCGTGAGAATTGAACCACGAAAGCACACCATATCGTACTAACGAAATACTGACGGATAACTTACCACTTAAGCGAGTGCTAGATGATACATAGTTCAATGGAAAAGTAATCAAAAGAAGTGAAAACAGAAATGTACCTGTGGAGCACTGTTGCTAAACTGCCCCAGATTGTAATTATTAGCAGAATAGCAGCTTCCATGATGAGTTTGTTCTTGATGAGAGACAGGGTCAGAGCCAATAGCTTCATTAAGCATCTCCTGATAACTCTTGGGAGCTTCATCTTCCTCGAGGAAGCCCAGCGACAGGTTCAGATCCAAGTTCCTCATTGTTGTGTTTCCTGCTGCAACTGCTTTTCCTTTACCTTTGTCACGACCTCCATTATTGTTTCGCTGCTGGGAATCCATTGGAAACTTCGAAAGCTGAAGAAGAAGAAGAAGATGTTTTCAGGCAGAGACATGCATGGAGGCAAGTAAAGAGAGGGGAAAAAGGACAAAACTTGAAAACTGGATTGCTGACACACAACTGGTTTTATTTACTGACTGTATGCTGCCAAGAATTGTAATGATGAGAAAAAAAGGTTGCATTTTGAACGTGAATCAGTGTTTTTTCTTCTTTGTATACTGATTCATTTCTGCAGAATTTAACCGTTGTGGGATTGTATTTACAGATCATCAGTTCTCAAACAAGGAACAGAGAGATTAGATGGTTTTACATAGCACAAATGTTGAACAGAATGAAGAAATCGATCCAATTATCACAAATATATATATATGCACGGCCACCTTCAAGATCGAACAGAGAGATTAATATCACATACGATACAGTTAAGATCGGATCAAGAACCGCGATCCAATAGTGAAAGACATCTTAGAACAAAGGATCGGACGGTCATCGTATTCAATTTTGATTTGGTTTGATTTGATCCAATACAAATGTTAATTCGATCCATTTTTCTTCAATATTTATAAAATTTACAGGACCAAGGATCAACCACATTGTATTCGATCCAGTTTGATCCAATACTATATGATACGAACCAAACCGTTGTACACCCCTTACATAAAAAAGTTGGTTTGATATTGTAAAAATTCCTTCGAGAAAAAATTAGCGATTTGTCTTTGGTTAGAAATTCCAATATTGACTACAAATACTAAGATATGATTTAAAAAAAAATACGATATGAGTACGTTACGCTATTATTTTCTATGGGATATTAATTAAATAATACTTTTAAAATCTCATCATTAATTATAAAGAGTTATAAATTTATATTTTAAAAAGGTGGATATAAATATAAGAAAATTATTAAATGGTTTCCTTCAAATACGTATATTAAACGTGTTATACGCATTTAGTACGTGAACCATCAAATAAACGAAAAAATAAAACGTTTACCGCTCCTGATGGAGCCAAGCGCCAAAATCAAACCCACTCAAACCACACTTAGTACGTATACTAGATCTGAAAAGGCAAAAATATGGGATCCTAAGAAAACTCAGCTAAGTTTTTTTTTATATGAGCAGAAATCCGTCTTGCGACGACACCTGTAAGCTAGGTTTTATAAAATAACAAATATGAAAAGAATTAAAAAAAATACCCAAAAAATAAATTATTGTCTTTGATAAAACGGTAAAATGGTTGGATTTTGGCTTGGAGATTTCGAGTTTAATCCTGATGGCATAGATTTCGTAAAGGGTGCGATTTGCCTCCGACAAAGAACCTGTATAATTTTTTTTTAATTCATGTTTTGACAGATAAAAAATATTTCAGCTATAAACTGAAAAAAGTGTGTATCAATACATCGATCTTTTCTTCGCTAAGCAGCAAGTTGAATTTTCTCTTAATAATTGATAAAATTATGGTAGCCTTCTCCTTGAAATGTTCTCCATTGCCAAAGATTCTAGATTTTCTCAAAGGAGAAATCAGATCTAAGGTCGACAGTTCGAAAGGAGAAATCAGATCTCGGACTAGTTAGCTATCAGATCAAAATTTTGCTCTTTTATGGTAAATACCACCAAATATAATTGACCAATATTGACTCGTGTTTGTGAGAAAGGAAAAGAACCAGTTTTACGAGGAAAATTGAGAATAAAGAACAAAGAAGATGCATCACGAACAATTAGATTCAACGCTAAAACAAACAGAAAATGATGAAGATGAAACGAACAAAATAGCATAGACTTACAGGTTGATGACTGAGTGAGGGAGGGAGGGACGGTCTTACTAGTCTAGCAAGCGCAGGAACGTCTGATGATACTACTGTGTGGGCGAGTCCAACCAGAAGAAATGTCCGCTTTTAATAGCGGAGGCTATCCGTGCAAATATGGAAGATAAACTATTTCCTTTTAATCACAGATAATTATTAATTTATTTTTCTTTTTTACTTTTCTACCGTTACAGTTGTGAATAATAATGTTTGTGGTATAACCATCAGAATGACCAACGAGAACGTGGTTCTCCTCATGTGATTCAAAGGTGTTGTGTTTGAGCTCCGATAACTTTCTACTATAGTAATTTCTCTTTTGTTTTTTAGATGTGCCAATACTCAGTAATTTGTTCGCCATAAATAATATATTTGCTTATATTAATAATTAACACGTGATGAATCGTGATTTGTAATCCATCCAAAAGAATGGTAGAACAATGGTCTAAGAAAGTCGAGAGCAAGAAAAGAATAGAAAGACTCGTAGAAAAACTCATCTCAACAATAATCGTTTACTAATGGAAGACTTCATTATTAGACAAATTTGTGTATTGTCAACTTTAATTGATTGTACATTAGTCGGATGGAGAAATGCAGCATTAAAAAGTCGGTGAAAGTTCGATAGATCCTATTTTAGAAAAAGATATAGCTACTTTTCGTTGGCTTTGAAGTCCATTTGACCAAAGAAACGCAAATTCTACAACGTAATTAACTACTAATCGATAATATTGCTCGAAAAATAAATCAGTTTTAGATCGATAGTAGGGTATAAAATTAGCAAAATATGATGCGGCTAACTTACTGGTATTACTATATGGTGACATATTCGGTGCACTCACTTTTTTGGGTGAATTCAATGCACTCGTTTCATAACCGTCATTTTAAACAGGCGAATCATGTAAAAATGATGTCAATCATCGCTTATGATGTGATGAACAATAAAGCATATGAATTCGCACAAAAACTATTCAAGATTTACTTTAATTTGAAAGATTTAGAGTTAGGCTTAAGGTTTACAATTTGGGGTTTAAGGATAGAAGTAAAAAAAAAAAAAGGATATAATTCAAAATTGGAAGTCTAAGGCTTAGGGTAATCTATTAATTAGTTGGGGTCATATGTTATATCATCATATTACACTAATGCTACCAATTAAAATTCAAAATTCGACACCTTAAGACTAATTATAGAGTTGGGTGCATTGAAAGCACTCATTTTTCTCAAATCCTAAATATGGTAGAAATATCTAAACAATTTATGAATTGGAAAAATAATTTTGATTTCTTAACATGTAAGAGAAAATTAAGTAAAAAAGAAAATAAATTTATAGAAAATGCACTTTAAAAAATATATCCTTGTGTGGGATTGTAATAATGGAAAGTCTTTGATTATAAAAATAAAGGATGGAAAGTCTTTTTTTATTATTATGGAAAGTGTTTTAAATCTTTTTTCAATATACATAAATTTGGTTTTGATGGAAAGTTAATAAATTTGTAACTATTTATTTTTATCTAGTGACAATTTTCCTCATCTCTCTAAGCACCATCCCACTCCTATACATTGAATTTGGAGATTTTCAATTTCAATTTTCCTTTTTAGGTGCTATTAAGAGGATATGCGCGGAGGGGAAGTTCATTTTGGTATTTGAATCTAGAATCAATTTAATACAAGTAAGGATAGTACTAAACGAGCACTTCTAGTATGCTATATAGCATCGATACTTTAATGTACGACTTAAAATTATACCATAACATTAAATGTATAAGTTTAGGTTGTATCATAAAGGAATTTGTATCATTATGTTATGGTATTACTTTACAACTTGAAGTTGTACCATCAAATAAATGTATAAGTTCAAGTTGTACCATAAAAGAATTTGTACAAAATGTACAGGTACAATCTGAAGTTATACCATAATGTTAAAGGTACAATTTCAAGTTGTACCGTAAAGAAAAAAACCTATAGCACCAATACTATATAGCATTGTAAAATTCCTCAGCACTAAACCACTATCTAGTTATATTAACTCCAAAAGATTGACCAAATAGTAATGTGAAAATGAGAACATCCACCATATTCTAGATTCGAGATGAATAAATAACGACATTCACCTTAAAACTCTTTCAACTTTTTTTCCTATAAATCGTAGATAGCCTAATATCATTTAAATGCACCTTATCCTGTGCATAAAATAGATTAATGTAGAAAACCGATTTCGTAAAAAAGAGGGAACGAATGGAAAAATAGAAATAATAAATAAACCTAAAATGGAGTGCCGCTGGAAATTGTGGGGGGGAAGATAGAGATGAACATCTGCAGATATTGATGGGCATGGGCTCCTCTTGGTTGCAATTCCCCATTCCGTCAATTTTCGTTCTACAGAGGTCCTTCCCATTTGACGAAAACCCTCTTGTCTGATAGCCAAAATTCGTCTCCGCCATAGCCAAATCTCAAAGCTTTTATACATCTCTAGGACAAACGAAAGAGACCCTAATTTCCCTGTTCGCTTTCCCTTCAGGCGGTACTGCTTCCAGCTTCTTCACTTCTGGCAGCTCAATTCGCAGTCTTTTCCGTTTCCTTTTTCTAAAGTTTTGAACTTTCGGATGAAGCTTTGAATCATTTTGTTGCTGTTTGTGGCGATGTCTGTGGAGAGATCATTCGAAGCGTGGGAGGAGGTTCAGCGGCAAGGCCATGACCTCGCGGATAGGCTGGCGCAGGGATTCACGGGTCTTATCCACACGCATATGACGAACCCACCTGCGATTCCATGGGCGAACGCTCCCAAATCGAAGATCTTCGATCTCGAGTTCCCCGGCCACAGTTTTATTAGTAAGTCCATGGATTTCGGAGTTTTGGCGGATAACAGAAACACTGGGATCGTTGGGGTTTCTGCTATTCTGGATATTGGGAACAAGATTGGACAAGCTGGGGCTGAATTTGGAGCTGGCTTGAATGGTTTGGTGGAGCAATTCTTTAGAAAGTTACCTGTTCCATTCAAACACGACGAGAGTATGGAGGTTGGGGTAAGGATAGAGAGCAGGAGAAGTGATGTCAATTTGAGCGTTGAAGGGCAGTTGGACCTGGTGAATACGAAGTTGAAGGAGTTTGGGTTTGTGGAGAATGAAGGGAGATACATCAGTACAGCAGCTGGTGGAGATGAGGGAGGAACAGCTGATGGTGAATTGGGGACCTTTGATTTAAAGTCCATTGGTCTTATGGGGGGTAGTAAGCCTCAGGTATCTCATCTCTGCTCTTTCTGCTTCCCCCTTAGGAAAAAGTGGCTGCCTTGATGGACGTTTAGTATGCTGAACCATAATGATTTGGCTAGAAATGTATGCAATTGCTTTACTACCATTGTTTCCTTTATGAATCTTTTGAATGTTTGTCTAAAGATTATGCCTAAATGGAGTTAGTTAGGAGGTTCCTATACATCATTACTCCTCTGATATAGTTCCTTTGTGGTCATTGCTCCTGTTATATAGCTCCTTTCTAGACAGCTCCTACATTTGTTAGACTGTTCTTGGTACTTGCTCCTTTCTTTTTTGGGAGGGGAGTGGTTTCGGATATATTGTGCGAATGAAATGCGTTCAGCAAAGTCTTGCCTCTGCAGTCCATTTTATAGAGTCTAAGGTTCATTCTGATACGATAATGTAGCTGATAAGATTATATTTTCATAGTGTTTTGCTTGGATTCTAGTTCTGTTATTACTTGTTCAACTAAATCAGTGTTCACAAGTGAGATTTATCCAATTAGTGGGTGGTCTTTAGTTGGAGGCCTTCAGTGTATAAAACCTTCCAACTGATTATGTGTTGCTGCCTTGTTCTAAAACTAAAGTTTTCTGGTTATAACTTACTGAGACCTCTGTAGTATCACATCCTGTTTTGGGATTTTCTCATCCCGTGAGTGCAATTGATTTTGATGGACTTATAGTTCTGCTTTTAATTACCTTGATGCATATTCTATTTTATCTTATAATGTTTTCTCTGCATCTACAACAGGGAACCTTAAATTTTACATCGACTTATGAGAGCAGAACTGGCAATGTGGAGAGCTCTATGGTTGCTAGGGGTGATTTATGGAGAATGGAGGCATCACATGACAGTTCCACATCAGGAAATGAGAATTCGTCTCTATTCCTAGTTCAACTTGGTCCAGTACTTTTTGTTCGTGATAGTACACTTCTTCTACCTGTTCATCTATCAAAGCAGCACTTGCTTTGGTATGGCTATGATAGGAAGGTACAAATGGTTTCACTCTGCGGCAGCTACTAAGATGTCTTGAATGAATGTGCTTACATATTTCTGAAAATCAGATGGCCAAAAGAATTTAGTTGGCATACACTGTTTTTCTTATCAATGCTCCTCCTCTCCCCTGTTTATTCTGCTTTCTTTTCTTCGTTCTGTGTGCTTTTCATTGGGACCTGATGTTCCTTATTTTGATCAGGGTTTCCTAACCTTGATTACATTAGATATATTCATTGTTTTCATAAGATATCTTCCTTTTGTGTCTTTCAGAATGGCATGCATTCTTTATGCCCAGCAGTGTGGTCCAAGCATAGAAGGTGGTTGCTGATGTCAATGCTCTGCCTTAAACCGTTAGCTTGTGTAAGTATAAGTTGACTACTTTGGCAGAAATATATAAGACTTTGAATCATTGTCTATTTCATGTAATTGCTACTATTGGTTGAAATGTATCTCGGTTGGGTGTCACCTAAGTTTCTCTTAAATTATAGAATGTCGTAGAAACTTCTAGAAAGGGACTGCCTCGGCACTATAAAAAGCGTTAGAGAAAGGAACAAGTAATGCTTGTAAGTTTATCAAGGCATCTTTCATGAATCGGGCGGAAATATGAGCCACATGGAGCAATAGTAGATGTTAAGATCGAGAAAGCTTTTGTTTATAGCATTCACAGCTGTAAATTCCTGTATAAAGACTTGACACGCGAAGTCTGGTTGTGAGAATTTGAAAATCAACATGAGTTACAGTATCTTACATTTCCAAGAAGTATGCCCTGAAGTTGGCTTTCTGATAGTTCTCTTGTCTATTTGCTATCCGTGTGCAGTCGTTTGTCGATTTGCAATTTCCGAATGGCCAGTTAACTTACATATCTGGTGAAGGTCTAACGACAAGTGCTTTTCTACCGGTCTTTGGGGGACTTCTGCAAGCTCAGGGTCAATATCCCGGTGAAATGAGATTTAGCTTCTCTCACAAGGTAGCTATTCATGGTAGCTGACTAGTCTTGGACATGTCTTGATACTTAAACGATGTTATGGTTTTCACAACTCTGGGATTGGAATATGCATTGTTGATGTCATCAACTAATTAGCTGTTCTCATCTTACCAGAACAAGTGGGGAACCCGTATAACCCCGGCGATACAGTGGCCCGACAAGTCATTTTCTTTGGGTTTTGCACAAAACTTAGCATGGCATAGATCTGGTCTTATGATGAAACCAACACTTCAGTTCAGGTTTGCACTTATTCCCATTCATTTTTTGTTAGATACCCCTAAAATGGAGCATTTTAATTTCATCATTAATGTAAACTTTGCAGTTTGTGCCCTTCGTTTGGTGGTAGCAATCCTGGCGTGCGAGCTGAACTTCAGCATTCACTGAACGAGCAGCTGAATCTGATATATGGCTGTGCGTTTGTCCAGCAGCCTTCTGTATTTGCATCAGTTTCCGTAAGTGCACTAGGACCCCCAAAGTTTAGTGTACGTTTATGTACGTTTAGGTACGTTTAGTGAAGTTGAAAAGGGTTTTTGAAACTGTCCACGCCTTTAATTCAACGTGTTTGTCGATTGGATTGTGTTTGCAGATTGGCAGGTCTAAGTGGAATGGTAACGTCGGGAGTTCCGGGATCGTTTTGAAACTAGAGAGCCCCCTCTCAGGTGTTAGTCGACCAGCCTTGTCTATGCAGATAAACAGTGCTGTCGAGTTTTGAAGGTTGCATTCAACAGTGTAAACCTGCAATGTAAATATGGCTGTAGAATTTACAGCCACAGAAGATGTGAATACAGACGAACAGACTCTTATCTTAAATCCAAATAACCCATCATGTAGCTGAAATGGTCTCTCAATTTTGAGGTTTGTAGCAAAATGGTCACTTACAACTTCAAAAGACAAATGAGTACCTAAATTTCTTCTTGCTTTTAGCAAAATGATCACTCGCATACACAAACCTTTAAGGATTAAAACAACTATCTTCATGTACATACCATAACGATCTTTCACCAAATTTCATTTGCAAACAAAAGAACGAATTACAGATGGTTTGAGGTAAAAATTAACTGATTAAGTTAAGAACGAACTCCCTGTAACCTTCCTAAAGAAGCCTGGTGGAAGAGGAAGGTTGAGAGAGATGGCTAGCATCATCATCATGGTCATCTTTGCTCACCGCCGATGAATTCATTGTCCATGGTGCATCAACCATCGATATGCTCTTCTGACCTATATCGCTGCTCTCCCACGACACGTTTGAGATGTTGGTATGGCTATCCTGCGACAGTGTCTGGAACGCTCTGAATCTCGCGTCTGCGCTACTGGCATCACTCTCACCTCGCTTGATTATTGGAGCTTGCACAGGAGCTTTCCCTTCCATCATCTTAACAACAGAGGTCATCGGCGGCCTTAGCGTGGGAGATGGATTGGTGCACAACAGAGCTAAGTTCAGCAGCTTCCTTGCTTCCTCTTTTGAGTACTTTCTGCCTAGTTCTGGATCAACTAGCTCTAGCAGGTTGCCTTGCTCTTGGAGGACATAAGCCTGCATTTTGGCAATGCATGTGTTTTGTTTTAGAAGAGATGCATATTGTTACTAACAGATTAAACAGTTTTGATATGAATAACCTACCCAATCAAGAAGGTACACAAATTCTTCCTTTGGCCTGTAGTTGGTATTGCTGGTTCCACTCATGGTCTCCAGAATAACAATACCAAAGCTGTACACATCTGCCTTGTCCGTCAAGTAACCCCTCATTGCATATTCCGGAGCCATGTAACCTCTGCAGAATGAGAAACAAGAAAGAAAATACATATACAAAGAATGAACAAGAAATTTCAGAACTCTTGAAAAACTGAAAATGGTACATGTTTTGACAGAGGGTGGTGGACTGCTACTTACATGGTTCCAGCAATTCTTGTGCTAATGTGGGTGTTCTCTCCTTCATCAAGCTTGGCCAGCCCGAAATCCGAAATTTTGGCATTGAGATCTTTATCGAGCAAGACGTTAGTTGCTTTTATATCTCTATGCACAATTTTCAGCCTCGACTCCTCGTGAAGATAAGCCAATCCCTTTGCAATTCCCAGCAGTATATTCTTCCTTGTTTGCCAGTCCAGCTTCAGCTTGTTTTCCTGCTTACCGAACAAGGCACGAGCCAGACTGTTATTTTCCAAGTATTCATACACAAGCAAGAGCTGGTTTCCTTCAATGCAACATCCATAAAGCTTGACAAGGTTGGGATGTTGCAATGCAGATATCATCCCTATCTCGTTCACGAATTCACGGTTGCCTTGTTTCGATTTGGACGAGAGCTGCTTCACTGCAATCACACCTCCATCTGATAGCATACCCTGAAAATATAGCAGTGGAAAAAAGAAACTCAGTGTTTGATCATAGCATTACTCATTTGCTTGAGAATCAAGTAAAACATGGAAATAGATGTAGCTTCACCTTATAGACCGGGCCAAAACCTCCTTCTCCAATCTTATTTGCAGGATCAAAGTTATGAGTGGCATATTTGATCTGTCTTAATGTGAACATTCCAGTTTGAAGATCAAGCCCACGTAGTTCTTTGAAAGCAAAGAAAATTCCATAAGCCATCTAGAACGAAAATCTAAAGCGTTTATTTCACGAGAATGTTGATGTGTAATCTAACTGTACCACTATTTCCATCATCCTTTCTTCTTCTTCGCATGAAGATGAACACACAAATCAGGAGAACAACCAAAAATGAAGAAACAACAATCCCGGCAATGGCTCCTCCAGATAATCCTCCACCTCCTTCATCGACCTGGAAGTCTGCAGATCATGCACAGCAGCAAAGCAAGCAGTGTTTCTTAAATGCAATCTTACAAAGATGGCTAAAAAACTCATCATATCTTCTTCATTACTATGAATCACATTTCACCTACTTGGAGTTATCGATATGCCAGAAATGAGAGGTCCATAGACACCTCTATCAGGAATAGCTGTAGTGCCTTTCCCAGACCAGAAGAGGTGTATCTCCAAAGTGTTACCCTCCACAGTTACATTGTCGAAAACCTCAGTGATACCACGACCAACTCCTCCTGCTTCTGTTATGATATCAAAGTCCGGTCGGACTACCTCCCCCTATATGAAAGGTATAGACTAACCTGTTAAATGCTGAACCATACAGGGAGATATATTTACCAAAAATTATATACAACGATGAAATCTCCTCACCTGAATTGAGATGTCAAATATGCGCCTTCCAAGGCTGCTAAAAGTCTGATCATTGGAGTACATGATCTCAGCGAAATGAAGCTTCACGGTGTAACTTCCTCTGATCATGCACAAGCCATAGTACTTGAGTGATTGAGGAGCGAGGCGTGCAGTTGAATAGACACCAGTCACATTGTGGCCGAAAACGTTCCTTGCTAAATAATCAGCATCAACATTGCCTAAGTAGATTCCAGTACTACTATAACCCCATCTTTCTGATACTGAGAAAAAGTTGGATCGACCATTGGCTGTTAGGTCTTCTTCATAGTTTTCATCCTCAAACCTTTCCCTGGGACCCCCACAGTTTATAAACAAGGTATGTTCTGCACAATACAAAATCAATCACCATCAAGTCTCTAATCACTATTATGTGTTACTTTGGCAAATAGTAATTAGGATCAGAGGTAATGTGTACCCTTGGGATCCCTAGGGCAAGGCAGGTCCTTTCTTAAGCACCAAGGTACCCTGCAATGCAAAAGGTTAAGGAATTTTTATTCTAGCAGTAACAGAAAGAGGGTAGTAGGAACTTTTTAAAAGAGCAAGTGGCTTACGAGTTGCTCGCAGAAGGTGAATAGCTGGAAACCAAGTTCCTGTAAGATAACAGACACATAATGTAAGCAGTTAGCTTAACTCCTTGCTTCTGCAAAATGAGGAGAGTATCATTGAGGAAAATAAATGAATGCTTACACGTCTAGTTGCTGACAGCTAGGTTGAGCTCTCCCGGTAAAATTGTTGTAAGACAAGTCACTGGCAATAAAATTTCATCATCTTAACTAGGGTCTTACAAAGAGGAAGAGTAACAATCTATCCTTGAATTTGGATTTCAATGTAGTACATATCAAGAACAAAAGACTTACAAGTTTTCCCTACTGTTCAATACCCAACCAGGCACTTCTCCAGTCAATGAATTGTTATTCAGAAACCTGTAAGGTTGTGAAGCAAGTAATAACTTCATGAACATGACAGTACACAACTGGAAAGAAATGTCATCATTCAATAAGGTACATCTTACTCACGTGTATTGCAGATTTTCCAAACTTTGGAGGGTGGGTGGTATGGTACCTGTCAAACTATTGAAGCTCAAATCCCTGCAAAAAAAGTTGAACATGAAGAACCGATGATGAAAGTACGCACAAGAATAGAAGCACACTTCAAAATTCAGAACAAGAACAATACTTAATCTTATCAGCTGCAGATATCAGTTTTAAATCCAAACTTATCAGGAAACTGCCGAAAATGAAGCAATTCTTCTGGAGAAAGCTGCTCACAGGTGACTTACAAAGTTTTTAACTGTGTTATTTCCCCAAAGTTATCTGGGATTGAACCAGTGATCAAGCAGTTCCTCAGTACCCTACAAGAGAAACAAAATTTCATGATTTGACATAGTTCAATAAGGGAATGGCAGAGTTTGAGCTTCAGATTTAGTAGAGGGATTAACAGCACAACTCACAGTTCTTCCAGCTTTGTCAGGTTCTTAATATCAGGGAAAACTGAACTTGGTCCACTCAAATCTGATATTCTCCTGTTAAACATGACTGATCTCAGGCACCACAGCAAGAATAAGAGATATAAGAAAGAACCAGAAAAGGAAGCGCAAGAAGATACTCACAGCTGTGTCAAGTTTGTCAGCGTGGAGATGGCAGTAGGAATCGGACCCTGCATTGACGTGCCTTGCAAGTCACTGAACAAAAACAAGGTAACATGTTTTCCCAACAAGGGTGTAAGTTATAACTAAGAAAATGGAGGAAGAAAGGAAGAAACTTGTGCTGTTAGAGGTATAAATACTCACAGTCGATCAAGATTGGTCCAGTTGCCTATAAATTCTGGCAGATTTCCGGAAAGACTGCTCCCATCTATCCTACTGAAATGCAGCATAACTCTCTAGAGTGAGCATAAGGTGAAAGATGAAATTTAGCTTTCAAGAGAAAACGGGAAGAAGATCAAACTTACAAGTCTTCTATGTTCTGTAAATTCCCCAAGCTATCCGGTAACGAGCCCGTGAAATTGTTTGCAGAAAGAAGGCTGCAGCAAACAAGAAGCACATCAATCAAATAACCCTATGACCATCAATGCTGCATTCTTTTTATTAGCTTGCTGCAAAGTTTAAAAAAAAAAAAAGCAAGAGGCTTTACAGTCTCTTCAATCTTCTCAAATTCCCAATGCTTCTTGGAATTGGTCCACCTAGTAGATTATCTTCCAACACCCTGAAAATGCAAACTCTCTATTCAGCATCGACTCTTGAAACTCTGACTAGTACTGATCATAATAATAACAAATCCCCCTAATCAGTTGCAATGAACATACAGTGCCTCCAAAGTAGCAATGCTCCCAATTTGTGAGGGGACAGATCCACTTAGTCTGTTACCCAAAAGAGACCTGTCAAAAAACTCAGCACACAATTAATCAATCAAACTTGCAGGAGGAAAGCAGCTTATGGTTAAGAATCTCTTCAAAACAGCGGGCATCGATCCTCATCACTTGCTTACAGAGTCGTTAAGTTGCGAAGCTGTGCAAGACTCGAAGGGAGGGTTCCATTGATGTAGTTGCGGGTAAGATCCCTAGAGAAAACAAAACAACAACAGAACACAAAAAAATTATGTTTAACATGGTGTATCAGAGCTTTTGCATTCCCCCTCAAATGAGAGACTTCCCATTTCACTTACAGCTCGGTAAGACGAGTCAGGTTCCCAAGTTCAGGTGGCAGAACTCCGGTCACATTGAAGCCTTTCACTACCCTGTGGAGAAAAAGACAGACGATCAGCCATTGATACAATTCAATACACCATTTCCCTTCAGTGGCCAATGACTGATCGAGCAAGATGAAGAAATGGAAAGAGATGATCATCAAGAAGAAAGAAAGAATGCTTGGCTTACACGTTGGTGACATGACAAATGGTGCCACTGCCATAAGAACAGTCGCAGGTAACATTGCATTCGATGTCGTCGGCGATTCTGCGGCTCCATTGAGGGCTGCCGCAGGAAGTCCTCTCCACATTCCATCCGGTGTTCTGCAGCTTCCCAAGTGCTTCCACTGTTCAATGTAAACATCAGTAATTCCCCAGACATGGAAACGAACTTTGTTCTCCATATTAATGTGTATTCTAGATTAATCAAAAAGTTCAAACATGTGGTTATACGAAAAGAAAAATCTATATTTTGAAACCATTCATAAGAGATAACACAAGTTAGGCAGCACGTTGGTTGTGCCAAAAACAGAAAGGGATAGCACATGTGTTGTTCTTCCTTAGCTAAATTATTCTGGCCTAAGAAGAAGACGAAGTAAAATGGTGGTAATTGATTCCTGGTTTGACCGGCGGTAGGGCCCGGTTCATCACCAAAACTCCTAACCACTCCAATAATGAATTCGGGAGACTAACATTACCACCTTAATCAGCAATTTAGTTATGGATTGGACCGGGTATTATTTTATTTCCCAAATCGGGGTTGCGGGTCAGAGACCGAGTCAGCACTGGATAAACCCTTGTGCTCGGATTTTCTCCGCTTTCTTAACTACTACTTCATGCATGCAAAGTTGAAGTCAAAGGAGGCGTTTTATCGAAAAACCAACCCCCAAGAAAGTTCATTAATGTTGGTCAAAATCGCCATACTGAGTAGGGATGGCAACAAAACCCGAACCCATGGCATGAATTGCTGATTAAGGTGGTAATGTCTAGTCTAGATCAAACTTACGTAAATATTATCCGACTTAACCTATAATTTTCTCAAATATCTAACTGTATTTATACTGCTTTGGTTTTTCTGAAAAAATTTCAATAATTATGGTGTGAATTGAGCGACCTAATTCAGTCTAGACCAAACTTACGGATAAATATTATCCGACTTAACCTATAATTTAGACAATGCATAAATAAATTTGAAATTTTCATCTCGTCTCATTATCATCCCTACTGCTTGGATAAAATCCTCTTGATCTCAAGTAAATTTCTTTTTACTTTTTTACCACCCAAGATTATTATGATTGTCAATTGTCATTATCAATTATTGTACAGCTGAGAGCCAGAAAATACTACCCAAAAAACAATTAATACAGGAACCTACCCTACTCTGCCCTACCGTTGTGCTAGCAGCCAAGAAAGACTGGTTTTCCAGAAAACGACTGTCAATTCAGATTTTTTTTTTTCTTCCTTTCATCAATCAGTTTGCATTTCCAGTCCCATAACCCTATCCATCCTTCCTCTATCGGAATTTTGCACATTCATTCTGAACTGACGAACCCAAACGGAACCATCTTCCTTCAGAAAATCGTCGAATTGCCGCAGCACACATGATGCATTTCGGCCATTAACGGCCAAGAAATGATGAGTAAACCACCAAGTAACTAGAAGACGGGGATAGAAACTAACAAAACCCACTTTCTGAACCACTAACGCAAGCCCGGGAGAAACAGAAATCTGAGTGAAAGGGAGAGAAAGAGAGAGAGTTTGGGTTGCGTTGCCGTACCTTCTTCTGGTGGAAGGAGAGGTGGGGAAACTTGAGCAAGAGATTGCAACTCTACGAATATGGACAGGCAACTCAACGCCAACAGAACCGCCGTCGCCGTCGGGAACGGCATCGTCTGCAGCGTTTCCCTCCTTTGTCGGCGCGGATGGCACTAATTACAACGATGAATGGAAGGGAATTGGAAGGAGTAAGAGATGGCGTCGAAGGCGTTACTACTTGCTGCAGGTAGCAAGCAGAGATAGAGAATTTAATTTCTAGGAGGGAGAGAGGGATACAGAGACAGAGAGGAAAGTGCAGGAGGCAGAGTACTCTGTTTTTTGTGCACAGAGAGAAGGGCAGGGCAGGGGAGAAATTGCAATGTGGTTTCCTTTTTTCTTCCTTTTTGAGAGCATTGAAAAAGGAGGGTACTGATTTGGCGACTGCAGTGAAAGAGTTGTTTTTTTTTTTTTTTTACGTTTTCTCCCGCCACGTTCTAAATGAACATAGAATGGTAATAAATCTCCTAGAAAAAAGATAGTATAATAATAAATAAAATTAATACTTCATTCGAAACCGGACAAGCTCGAAAATGGCATGGATAGATACCCGAGTCTAACATGTGACTACGGTTAGCAATAAAATCAGCACACTTAGACACAGGATCAACTAGCACTGTGTCTAGTTATTTTATGGAGATGGTGTTGAAAGAGGTCGTCGGTCAAACAGGATGAGCGAACAACGAAGCGATGTGAGCCTTGAGCAGATGGGAATCGGTGTAACCGTCGCCGTTTTCATATATCACGCTGATGGAGCGCGCAAAGTTGAGAACACGATCCATGAGAGCGACGGGCAACGGAGTTGGTCTCCGACACTCTTCAGCAATGTCTTTCCAGGCCTCCGAAATCTCCTTCCGGAGGAATTCAACTGCCGCCTCCTCGGGCGCATCGTGCTCTTTCATGTAACATTCAACTGCCGAAGCAGCATGCTTCCTGTTCTGCTCAAACTGTGAATCAAGCAAGCAAGCAAGCAAGCAGCATCGGCCTCGTTACAATGAAATTTTTGGATCCAACTTCGAATCAAAGAGTTATACCTTGTGAGAAACGATGTCGTTTTGGAGCCTGCAAATGACGGAAGCAGCTTTGACCATCTTGGGTTCATTGGTTACCCAATCAAAAGCTTCTGTGGTGGCTATTTCTGCTCCCATGCCCACAAACGCAGATGTGCAGAGGATGGGGAAAGCGCTGGTCACATAAGCCTCCTTTTTGTACTCTTCCAAAGTTGGAACATGGCCTTTGGTGCGCCACCGGATCTCAGCCAAGTAGGATCGACACAATTTCTTCAACTGTAATACTTACAAAAGTACTACATTTGTTCAGTCTTACAATGACAATCGTCGATCGATCGATGTTCTGATTGAGTTTTCCTTACCTCTTCCTTAGCATAGTCAACCGCAAAAGTAGGTCCTGATTTCGATAGTTCGATCCCGATTTCATCGTATAGGTCAATAATGACACGATACATGTTCTTCATTTCGTTGGGTAGTGATGATTCAAGCGGGCTCGGATCCAACCTGGAATGATTAAGCATATGGGTAACTTTTAGTTGGGTTAGGTGTGTCTCCATCTCAAAAGTGAGCATATGATGTGCAAATTGACACGTGCATATACGATGCTCGTGACGAATTTTATCAAACCTTTGAATGACCGTTGTAAGGATTTCAACCTCGTCGTACGTGCCAAAATTATCGTACGTGTCGTCTAAGAGGGACAGCATCGATATGATCTTGGTGAGTATGATTCTTGCCGAGTGATACCTGGGCTCGAAGTAAACCGCGTAGATCCAATAATAGCACTCCACAACTCTGTCTCTGGCGTACCGAAATTTGGTGGGTACTTGCAGGCCTCCCCACCACCTAGTGAAAATTAAACAAGTTGTCCTCTAAGTGTCACACGTACATATAAACTAACTCGATCATTGGAGTACGTAATACATGTTGGTCACATTAGGGCAACTCAACTCACTCTGTGATCTCGCGCAGCTCTCTCTGATGGCATTTCTGCAGCTTGTTGAAGTCCAACTTTGCGAACCTTAGGAGTTTTTCATTGTTGATGAAGCCATGGTCCTCGGAATAGAAGTCGATGTAGTGCCTAGTGAGTGTTCTGGGGACACATTTCCACAGAGGAAGGCTAAGGGAAAACTTCACTTGCTTTTGGAATTGGGGAGTGCACTTGGTGGTGAGAATGGAGTTTAGGTTCTTCGTTGCAAAGACCAGGGCTTTGTCTAGTATGTCTTCTCCATGGACGGCAACATGTGCTGCCTCGTACAAACTTAGCAGCCCTTGTTCGTCCGATGCCAACGATTCCTTCAACTTTTCTTCATCATCATTGTCCATGAACTTTGTAAACATATCTGCAAACCATGATCGATCGTTATAATTAGTAGAACAGCGTTTTGAAAGAGGTTTTGAACATTTGTTTATGTACACCTGGGGTAACATGAAGGCCTTGTTGTCTGAGAAGACGAAACCAAAGAGCCGCATGGCAGAGATCCGTCTTCTCGTGGGTAAGGAATTCCTCTCCAAGTCCATGGATTTTCTCAAGTGATTCCTCAATCTCAATCTCGTAGTGATATCCCACACCTAATCGTTGGACTGCATCTATCAACTGGAGCTTGAGCCCGAGCCCAACAACGGTCTCCTCGTCCTCATCATCAACTATCATCACCATCTTCCTCACATCTTCCTTTAAAGACTCGTATTCGGTTTCTAGCAGAGCTCGATGAGCTATCTAAAATGTAACAATTTACATAAATGATTCAGCGACAAAGAAAATAATTGAGGGTACTTTTGTGATTCAAGTCGCGCGGTTGAACCGCTGGTTCGATAATGGTTAAAACAAAGTGGATGGAAATTCTAATAGAAGTACTGCATATTTGATAACATGTATACTATAGGCAAAGCAGGCAAAATAGGGATTTTACGTAATATCGAAAAAATGTGGATAAAATCATAATCGTAAAATTGTAGAATCTTAAGGTCCATATAGAAATGAAGGAATAATATTAGTAAGAAAAATCTTGAATAACACAAGAACACATAGCACTTACAATGATAATTTTTCAAGGTTAATGTTCCAATTTATCAAGGTTAATGTTAAGAGGTGGTGAATCGATGATGATTAATACATTTATGTGGATTGATTATAGTCTATGGTGGTTGTTGGTGGAGGGATCGAAGAAGAAAGAGAGGCGTAATTTTGCAAATTCTGGAGAAAATAAGTAAAATTGACACAAACATTTGAATCATAAAATCGTAAGACTTTAAAGATTTAAATCGTGAATAGTGTAGGATTTTAAGGTCCATAGCTTTTATAGTGAAATCAGAATCGGAATAGATAAGTTAAATCGTAAAAAAAAAAATGTAGGATTTTAGGATTTAAGTCGGGGTTTTGACTACTCCGATTGTAAGAAGGCAAATCACACTGTAATAAACCAACTAGTTTCAATACTCTAATCACATAGTGACGCGAATAATTCACCTGAGCATCATCAGCTAAATCATCATGGCAGAGGAAGCGATCTCCCCATAGTGTGAGATGATAGCTAGCCGAGATACGATCCATGGCTTCGGCGGCTGCGTTTTCCGGCGGTGCTGCAACGGCGGCGGCTGGGAGGGATGTTGCAGCAGCCATTTTCTGGTTCTGTCTAAAGATTTCGAAGGTGTGTTTGTTTTTGGGTTTGGATGTGTTGTGACTTAGATGTCGATCGATGGCCCAATATATATAGAAGATAGATATATTGTCGGCGGGTGTGGACTGTGGAATACACTGCTGAGTGCTGATTCACATGGAGAGTATTTATATGATGATAAGAATATTAATTTCCACAATTGTTGAATAAACTATAAACACTACCAATAATGCCGTAATAAACTATTAACACTACCAATAATGTCGTGAATTAGACCCCACAATCGGATCGGGTTGGAGTAATTTCGGATTGTAACAAAGTAACATATTGTCAAATCCTCTCATGCTTCAATGAAATGAAATACAAACTGCGCAGATCGTCAAAAAACAATCACAAGAGTAATACTATTACAGGAAACACATGATATTTGATTATCCTTAAACTCCAAACATGTCATTTCAAATTCTTATGAATTTTTTTAAACACATCACCAATTTATGGGTGATTTTATCATTTTGGGAGTGATCTAAAATGGAACGGATCGACCTGCTAACTCACCCAACCCGACCCAAAAAATCACGGATTATCGAGTTCACGTTGTAATTTGACAGCTCTCACCGAACGCATAAAGACAACCCACAACCAAACAACCGGCCGGCCTGTAATCATTTCTACTTGTCCAGGCCCGTCTGGGCCCAGTTATGTCCAGACACATGATTCGTAGGAATACGTTCAGCCCAATCAAAAGGTGAACAAATTGGAACCCTGCAAACTAAATCTAGGCCCAACCCAACTTTGTAAATAATTGGACTGCGTGGATCCAGTGATTCTGCGATTGTTTATTTTACGAGCATAATAAAGTTTTTCTTTTGAGGACCATAAACTAGTTTAATTTGGTACATGGGTTGATGGGAACAGTCACTTATAGATACAAATGCGGCGTTGGTACCGGTATTTGTGATATACCAAACATCGTATTGAATTTGTTGATATTTGGTATTATCGAATTTACATTTTTTGGGGGATTGGGAATGATATTGAATTTCAAGTGTTATTTGATATTAGAAATTATGAAATTGAGATTGGTATATACCGAAAACTCGATCAGTACTGAAATATAAGCTAGTGTATATTTTATCCCTCTCAACTAGACTCACTCACTCACTACTACCATACCTTCAATAGCCAAGATGGTCGCTTAATTATACATAGTTCATTCTCTCGCTATTTGACAACTCATACCAACCTCATTTTGTTTCTTATATAGTGTTTATGGGTTGCTGAGTCGTTCCTTGTTTGAGTTTGTTGGTTTAGTTGTTAATTTGCTTCTTAGGCACCACACTTTTCTAGTGTGTTGTTAACTTGTTATTATACTTGAGATTTTTTTTTCCATTTTGGTTTGTACTAGTGTTGGCACCACATCATTGTTTGTTTTTGTATGTTTTGAGAATGGTTTTTGTAGGGCTAGTATTTGCTATATTTGATTTGTAATTTGAAGAAAAGTAATTTGGTATCTGGTATATCTCGATACCGAACAAAATTTTATGGAGTGAGGATGAGACACCGAATCTATTTTTTCGATTGAAATTGTAATTAATTTTAGAATACAGTTTGATATTCATAATTTCAATATTTGGTCTGACGATGCTATTCGATTTCCACCCTACATACGAAAATTATGATTGCCCTCCACGTGTGACCAATTTTTGGTTAAGGGTAAACTCCTGGCATATCAGACTGACATTAAACTTTTCTCGTTGAGCTAAAAAACATATGATAATCTCATATTTCCCCCACAGATTATTGAACCCAGATCTAGCCTTCCCCATCACTTTTGACCACAAAAAGATTCTGGTCAATGTGCCACCCACGGGCAACGATATAACCCATTAAATAATTCAGATCCTAAAAGCAGCACAAAATTGTCTAAAATAGAATTTTTCATCGGTAGTTTGATTGTATAGAAACTATTGTCTTTCATTATAGACCGTCATGTAATTCGATTTTCTTGGTTACCGTCTTCTTCACATATCTTGGAGAAAAACATAGGGAAAAGAAAGAAATTAAGCCAAAACAAGAGGGAAAGTTAGGCTGGTCCGATATAGACGTCTACATCTATAAAGAATGCAAGATGCCTTCACTGTGGATTATCGATAATTTGATTGCATAGAGATAATCGTGTTTGGATATATATAATCATGTAATATGATTTTCTTGGTTGGACTCTCTCCAACCATGAGAGTCAAAATCCCAGAAATGTAATTTTGAGAGGCCATTCTTCTCCAACCATCCAAAAATGATGAGCTAAAAATGAGAGAGATCAATTTGGGGGGAGAGTGTGCAAATGTGTAAAAAATAAGCGGTCATATTTTAACACCTATATTTCAAACGCCATATTTCACGGTCATAAAAATGGCTATAAAAAGACGGTTATAAAATTTCATACATCTCTTATGTCTTTCTCATTAGTTTCTGCACAACTCATTCAAGCATAAACCAAAATTCTTTCAACTCTCACTCCTACACTCTCTCATTCTTTTCCATTTCCGAAAGCAAGCAAATGATGTCCTCCAGCAGAGGAGATGGTTTTATCGGGGAAGAATACATATTATTGTCTACGGCTTGAATAAGAGTATAAGAAGATGCGACGGTCGACCACCAACCAAAAATGCTCAAAGTTTTGGGAAAGAGTTTGAGAGGAGGCTAATCAGCTTGATATTGGTACTAAATATCTAAAGGATCACACTCAAGATGCATTGGAAGGTACTTATTAAGAAATCATGCACCCTTTTGAAAAATGCTTTGGCGAAGACAAAGAGGAGTCAACCGAATGGCACAGTAATAGAATAATAACTATTTTCGATAAAAAAAAATTATGCTCGAAGAAAAAAAAAATACTTTGGAAAATTTGTTTCACTTAATAATGACCAACTATTAAAAAATTAAAATGAAAAAAGTTAACATGTTTCGGAGAGTCTTACCATCTTCGAGAGTCTTACTATCTTCTTCACATATCTAAGAGAAAAACATAGGAAAAAAAATGAAGCTGGGACGAGAGAAAAAGTGCATGACGAACGACCAGCTGCGTGTCGCCACAAAAGGCCAACAACCAAAAAATTATGCGTTGGACACCAGTTCCTCAAGGATTGTAAAAATCGTTGTACCGAAAAAGTAAGTAATATGATGTTTTTATCGATATCATGATTCGACCGTTTCATATACCAATCTATTGACCTGAACTCCAATGGACAAATTTTTCGGTCACATCACCGGTACCATACATTTTCTTACAAACACTACATTTCATATCATCTCCTAGAACAAATAATTCCGCAATGAATACTTCTGAGATGCCCTCATAAAATTCTCGAAAAACAAATAAAATTAAAAGTCATATCATCTTACAATCAAGCCAACAAAAACTATTGCATTTCCTTTGATTAGTCTTCGTTTCTTGTTTAATTTGCTAAATAGGCAAATACTTAACAGTATTAAGGGCAAACAAAATGAATAATAACATACAAACAAGAAAAGCAAAATGGTGCATTCAATGATACACAAACAAACAAAACTGCAAAAGTGAAAGCCAAAACAAGCTCAGATAACAGGAAAGAAAGAAAAAACAGAGGATGTAATGCAAATAAAGTGGAGCTAAAAATGGAGGAACTCATGTAGTCTTCCCCTCCTTATAGTCATCCACCACATTCACTGGAATCGATAACGGTGGCTTTCTCTGAGAAAGAGAAAGAGGAAAGGTTGGGGGGTTTGAACTTTGAATTCACGCCCTGTGCTGTCACTGTGTGAAGAGAAAGAGATAAAAAAAAGGATAGGGGGAAAAAAAGGTCTAGAGAGAGAGAGGAAAGCTTGCCTTAAATTACGTTTCCCGTCTGCTTAAGAAAGGGAGAGAGAGAGAGGGAGAGGGAGAGAGAGAGAGGGAGAGACGATGGTGGGCTCGGGAGGTGGAGGAGATAGGAGCAGCAAAGAAGCGGTGGGGATGATGGCACTTCATGAAGCACTCAGGGCCGTCTGTCTCAACACAGACTGGATTTACTCTGTTTTCTGGACTATTCGTCCTCGCCCGTACTCAACTCTCTCTCTCTGTCTCCCCTGCTTTTTTCTCTCTCGATTTGAGCTGTTTCCTTAAAATGGGTAACCAAAGTAAGGGCTAAAAAGCGTTCCTTTCTCTTTGTGGCAGGAGGGTCAGGGGAGGCAATGGTTGCAAGGTTGGGGACGACAATGGAAGCTTGTAAGTTTCCCCTTCCCCTTCCCCTGCACCACTAAGCTCTGTTTTTTTGTTCCCATTTTGCTCTTTGTGGGTACCCATTTTTCCTGTTTTGTTTCCCCATTCTTTTGTACTACTCTGTTTGGTCTACAGAGAGAACAGAGGCGACCCTCTGTTTGGTACTGGTTTAATCCCACAACCGATTAGTACGATATGGTATCGTACTAATTGATCATGATTAACAGAAAGTTTTTGAATTTGAAGGATGTTGATGTGGGAAGATGGATATTGCCGAGGAAGAACGGGAGGAGATGGATTCGACGACAGCATTGATCATGGGGAAGAAGATCCTGTGCGCAAAGCATTCAGCAAAATGTCTATCCAGTTATATAATTACGGAGAAGGGTGGGTACTCCGTAAAGTGTCTTTCTTTCTCTTTTCTATCTTTGTTGTGATTGATTGAGTCATTTGGGTTGTGATTCTGTGTTTTCATGAGCAGGTTAATGGGGAAGGTTGCTTCAGATAAGTGCCATAAATGGGTGTTCAAGGACCCATCTGAATCTGAACCAAATGTCGCCAACTACTGGCAGAGCTCTTTTGATGCTGTATGAATTGACTGATTATATAATTAGATGTTGGGATTTCTTTGTCTACAAGTTTCCATTTGTGATTTGGATCGTATTTGTGAACTCTGTAATGGAGATCAAGCTGGTGAGATTAGCCATCCAAGTTATAGTAACAAAAGTACCAACTTAACCATCTGTATGCAATTTAATCGATACAACCGGTCGGTATGTTTTCGCTGTAGCTTGCATTAGTATAATTCTATGGCTGAAGCTTGACTGAGGTTGGCTTGTTGTGGCATTTCTTCTGCAGCTCCCCACTGAATGGACTGATCAATTTGATTCTGGGATTCAGGTCAATCTCAAATCATGATTGTGTAAACTTGATAAGTGTGTTCTGTAAACTTCAAATCTGACATGTTTTTTTGGTGACAGACCATTGCTGTGATTCAAGCTGGCCATGGCCTGCTCCAGTTGGGTTCCTGCAAGATTGTGAGTACTCTTTTATCTTTCTTTCTGAATGTTCTGTAAGTGCCATAAATTTGGTGTGCATCTCATGACTGAAATTTGGTTTCTTGTTTGCTTATCAGATAGCTGAAGATCTGCATTTTGTGCTGAGGATGAGGCACACATTTGAGTCACTAGGCTATCAATCAGGCTTCTACATCTCTCAGCTCTTCTCCTCCACCACCACCAGAAACAACAATTCTTCATCACCTTCAATCCCATCTAAGCCATCTCTAATGATCCCCACCCGGGCTCCCCCGATTTTCAACTGGGGCCATGGCCAAAGGCCACTCCCACCATCTGCAGCAGCTCCCATGCTCCCCAATTTCCACAACCCAGAAGGTCGATCAATGGGGTTCCCACCACAAGGGAAAGAAGAGCCACCACCACCACATATGTTCCTGCTCCCACATTCGTCGCCTTCCCCAGCGTCGGAGCACAACAGGATGGAGGGAATGATGATGGGGACAGGAGGGGAGCATGAGAGCGACATCAAGTGGCCTAATGGCTTGTCTTTCTTCAGTGCTCTAACTGGAAGAACAGACGTGGATGCCAAGCTCTTGTCCGGAACCAACAACAGCTCTGAAGCTTCTGAAATGCATGATAGTCATCCATTTTCGTCGTCTGGCTCTCGACCGGATGGCTGTCCCAGCTCAAGAAGCTACTTGGAATGATTAAGGAGAGTACTGTATTAGGGTTTCTTTGTTGTTGAGCTTTTGTTTTCAGGTTCAGTTTTAGACGAACTGTAGCAGTAGTACTGTACTTTTGCTAGTTTCTTATCATATAGCTGGTGTTTCTAATCTGATAATCCTAAGCTTAGGGGTTAATACCATTATGAATGTCTGAATCATGCTCAGATTATCGTATGTAGTGTGTCAAATTTTTGAAACGAGATGAAAGTCCAGAATACACAAGTTACATGTCGCTAGATTTCAACGGTTGACCAGATTATGATCTATTTTCTTCGTTGAAGTCGATGTATCATATGAGACGTGACTCGAACATGTCTAGTTTCGAAGGCTCTGTGGCTAGGGAATGAATGGTGGAGGAAATGATGACACCAATACTGATCAGACCAATTCAATACTCAGAAGAATCCTTCTCTTTGTTATCTAATTAGTATAATAAAATTAGGGTTTTGAAAGTTTGTTTTAGATCAAATTGGCATTGGGTTTCTTACTTATGTAAGTCGTCCACATGATGTTGTTGCAAGGACCAGTGGACGACACAGCTCCCTAAAAATACTCTTTTGAGTTTGGATTTCTATATAGAAAGCTAACTAGAGGAGAGACAGGATGTGGATTGGATGGTCAAAGCAACAGAAAAAAAAATGAACAAGTGTGCTAAATCTTAATTAATTAGGGTTATCATGAATCATGGTGATGTCAGGAATCAAAATCCAGTAATACTATATTGGATGTTGTACCGGATAAGATAAATATTTGCGAATAATTCGTGGTTCAATCATAGTTTAATGGGTTAATATTTTCGTATGGCCTGAACTTTGACCAAAATAAACATTCTGGCCAATCTTTTCGATCTATAACATCTTGGCCCGAACTATACACCAAAATAAACAATTTGGCCAAACCCGATGTTTGACCGTTAACTTGGATGGTCAAACGCGTTGACTAACGGTCAACGCGCCACGTCACTGCCAAGTCAGAAGATCTGATAAATATTTATTTTTTTTGTTTTTTATTTTTGGTTTAACTAAGGTATTAGATGATTTTTTTTAATTTATAATAATTTAAAATTAGGGAATGTGTGGAAATTGTGAATTATTTTAAATATTTTATGCTGACTTGGCAGTGACATGGCGCGTTGACTAACGGTCAACGCGTTTGACCGTCCAAGTTAACGGTCAAAATCAGATCTGGCCAAATTGTTTATTTTGGTGTATAGTTCGGGCCAGGATGTTATAGATCGAAAAGATTGGCCATGATGTTTATTTTGGTCAAAGTTCAGGCCATACGAAAATATTAACCCTAGTTTAATTCATTCATATCGATAAAATTATACACTCGCTTGAGCTTTAATAGCCGATTTTTTCAATCGGACCGACCGATATAGTTTAGCAAACATTGGTTTGTATATTGCCATTATTTTCCTCTCTTTTGCAGATACATGTAAGAGATTCGAGTTTTTTTTTTAAATGTGATTTATCATAACAATTCGAGTTATCTGTTGGAACAACTAGGTGAGATATTGGCAGCAGGTAATATTGTATTCGTATAGAACACAAAGCGAGTTACATGACTTAGATTCTCTTCCTCAAGGTTCTAGTCTTGTTAGTTGTTACTTTAAGTACCGTGCTATTCCAATAACTTAAGTTGTTGGGAGATACCAATAACAATTATCTTGTAGGGATTCGAACTTGTAATTTTTCCGTTTGAAAAAAATGATGCTTTATAAAAAAAAATTGTGTTGTCTCCCCTTTGGTCTTCTTTTGGGAGACGTTAGGGTCCCATTGCAACTCACCATGCCCTAATGGACCACCGGTCAGCTCTAGATTCTTGGTCCACACTTCAAACACTGCCTTCCCTACCAAGAAACCCCCACTTGTTTCCCCTATTCCATTTTATACCATCCACATCCCAACTCACACACCAAACATATCGTAGGCTTTTGACTACTCTCTTAACAATACGTTCGGAGATTCGACCACGATTTCCTCGTTTACCACCTCATATGATGGTCGTTTGGATTAGTGAATGTGATGAGGGATTTATGAGTAATTTTAAAACAATCTCTCGTTATGCAGGATTTTAAAACAATTCTGCGTTTGGAAATGTGAGAGATTGTGGACATGAGAAAATTCTAAATCTCTCATATGAGAGTTTTTAAAATAGCTGATGGGGATCAGCTATTTCACAATCACTCATTTTTTCTCATTCTTTTCCAAACTCTGCCCCTCCTTTTGTTCTTCCTTTCTTATTCTTCCTTAGGGATTAGGGATGGGTATAATTGTAACTTTAATTTTTAATTAAAATCCTTCATCTATTCCCAAACATGTTATTTGGATCAAATCCCACGTTTAAAATACCTGGGTTTTTAATTGAGAGATTTTAATCCAAATCCCTCATTTACACCTTCCCTGATCCAAACGAATTATAGAGAATTTTCACCAACATCATGTGACTGAATGATCAAACATTTTCTACCGCTAAGATCTCCTAACAATTTCGATTGGAGTATTTTTAATATCCGGATGGTACGATAGGGTTTGTTAAACATTGATCTTAGTAGATAAAAGATAAATAAAGCTAGTAAGAAGGAGACGGTCATTCACGTTCCTTTTCTCTGCATTACAGGCCCGCCTCCGTTACCCCAGGCCCAATCCAGCCTCCTTCATCCATGGTCCAGGTCCACCAGATATGATCCACAAGTCCATCCCTTTCCTCTAAAGCCCAATTTTCCTTCCCAAACATTTTATATCCGAATAAAAAAGTAGAGTTTGAGCTGTCGCGCTGACGTGGATACTGGATAGTAATCCAGTCCCATTCGACATCTGTCCTTCTCTCTTGCATTCCCCCAGGTTCTCCCTTTCGCAACACGTGTCCCTCTCATCTTTTCCTTTTTCCCTTCCTTTCTTCCTATCCGTCTTTCTTCTTTTGTCCTCTTTCACGTCTCTTTCCTTTCTCTCGTCACTATATCTCTCTGTCTCTTCTTCTTCTTTCCCGAAGTGGAAAACACACACGTATACCCAAAAATGTCCGAAATCATCCACAAGATGAAGGTTCTCTCCGATTGCGCTCGCCGGGATTTTGCAGTTGGAATTGAATTTCTCCGTTATTGAAAGCGATGATGAATCAGGTAATTAATTGCATTTTCTTTCTTCAGGAGAAAGTGGGATTGGGTTCGTCGGCGGCGGCGGATGCGGATTCAGGTAAGGGGAAAAGCAGAGTGGACAAGCACGTCACCCATGGCTACCACCTGGTGAAGGGAAAATCCCGCCACCCAATGGAAGACTACATCTTCGCCGAGTTCCGCAAAGTCGACGGCGGCAACGAGCTCGGCCTCTTCGCCATCTTCGACGGCCATCTCAGCCAGACGGTGCCGGACTACCTCCGCCGCAATCTCTTCGACAACATCCTCAAGGAGCCCAATTTCTGGACGGAGCCGGAGAAGGCGATAACCAGGGCCTACCGCGCGACCGACACCGACATATTGGATGGTGCAGGGGATTTGGGGAAAGGCGGTTCCACGGCGGTGACGGCGATCCTGATAAACTGTGAGAAGCTGGTGGTGGCGAATGTCGGGGATTCTCGCGCTGTGATTTCGAGGAACGGCGTGGCTAAGCAGTTGTCTGTGGATCACGAGCCCGGTCTGGAGAAGGAAGAGATCGAGAATCGCGGCGGTTTCGTCACCAATTTTCCAGGTAACGAAAGGGGGGAAAACTTTGGCTTCCCCTGTTTTAGATGAACTTGTCTAGCTTGTACAACGAAATAGTTTTAGGCTCTTGATACTATTTGGGGTCGTCCAACCAATCGAGTTATTGGGATGAACTAGTTCGTCGAAATGCTCAAAGTAGTGGATAGGGATAAGATGAGTAGTTGGTGGTGAGGGCATGATGCTAAGCTTAATGATCATCTCTTTCGAAACTGTAGATAGGTTCTTCCAATGGTGGAAGTGGTAACACTGTTGCTAATTACATTGGCCGCTTAAAACCCTCCATAATGTGGTGGTTTGGAGAATTGGGTTTGTGAGAATTTGGATGAAAGGTTCCAACTTTGGGGTTGATACCTATGTACAATGCAATCGATTTTGTTGCAGGAGATGTTGCTCGAGTGGATGGGCAATTGGCTGTGGCTAGAGCATTTGGGGACAAGAGTTTGAAGCAGCACCTGAGCTCAGACCCAGACGTCGTGGTCGAAATGGTCGATGATGAAGGCACCGATTGCATCATACTAGCCAGCGACGGCCTGTGGAAGGTATTACTAGTATCGTCTATCTATGTTCTTCGTTTGATTGGCACCATTACTAGTACCGCGAATTGATCGCACTGGCATTATACATTTTGCTGGCTGTATAGGTAATGTCGAACCAGGAAGCGGTGGATGCTATCAAGGACGTGAAGGACGCTCGTGCAGCAGCAAAGCGACTCACCGACGAGGCACTCAATCGGAACAGCTCGGATGATATTTCTTGCATAGTCATTAAGTTCTAGGCCTCTTGTAGTTGTAATATTACAGTTTGAATACTGCATCTCGTGTAATGTAATCTCTACTAATCGGATCTTTTTTTTTTTTTGTTTAGCTTTACACATGTAGCTTGTTAGTTCCATCACTGTCTTTTGTTCTTTAACTTTTACTCCCCTGTTTTCCTTGCCCTTTATGCCAAGTACTATCGGCCATGAAAGGACTGGTGTTTTGTACTATTATCAGCGAGTTACATTGTCCTTTTTCTCGAAGAGCTGAGAACTATATAAAGACAGCAAGTCACAGGTTGATTCATTGATGAAGTACAATCTTAACAGATAACCAGGCCTTACTGAAATCTTGTGGGTACAACAATACTGGAAAAAAGGACAGAGAAACGAGGAGAATGAACATGAAGCTCCCATCTTTCTGGGGCAAGCATCTCTCAATCTTCTCATCCTTTCATAGCATGGCAATGTCGTATGCTATTGGTATCAAGTGCAAGCTATGCTTTCTTCTGACCCCGGAGCCAAAACGCTCAGTCATGTCGAGAGTTTGTGGGGTGACTCCAGCAGGGAGCTGCCAGTCAAAATGATAAAGTAGCTTCGCCAATACAAGCTTCACAACAGCCAATCCAGACGACATTCCAGGACACATCCTTCTTCCGGAACCAAAAGGGATGGATTCAAAATCACTCCCCTTAGAATCACTCGCACGACCGAGGAACCGTTCGGGCATAAATTCATCAGCCTCTTGCCAACAACGAGGGTCTCGCCCGATAGCCCACGCATTGATGATCACTTTAGTTCCGACAGGAATCTCGTATCCCATGATCTCAACTCTCTCCCGAGCTACTCTCGGAAGAAGGAGAGGAAGCGGAGGGTGCAATCTCAAACTCTCCTGAATAACCAGATCCAAATAAGTCAGATCGTGAAGACACTCTTCGTCCACATTCTTCTCACCACCAATCGTTCGCCGCACCTCTTCTTGTACTCTTCGCATAACATCCGGACTTCTCATCAGTTCCGACATGGTCCACTCCACTGTTGTCGAGCTCGTCTCAATCCCAGCCAAGAATATATCCTAACCCACAAAAATTCGCAGTTCAGGATCAATTCAAGACGATGAAGAAGCTAAAAATGAAAGATCAAACTCACGAACTTACCAAAATGACTGCTTTGATTGCCTCTGTAGTCAAGGGGATCTCCAACTCATGACTTTCATCCTCCTGCAGATTAAGCAGAACATCCACCAGATCATCAGCAGCGCCTTCACCGCTTCTTCCACCTCGTTCTCGTCGAACCTTGTGTTCATCGACGATTTCTTGAAGCACAGCATCGGTAGCAAGATGCATCTTGGTGAGATGCGATCTATACCCAGTCAAGTATGGCAGAAATTTCAGAGAAGGGTAAACATCCGTCACTCTCAAACCTCCCGTAGCAACCACAATATCCTCAATCAGACCAGCGAAAGTCGCTTCTTTACTCATCGTCTCCTTCGCCATCCCAAACGCCGCCCTGAAAGTAATCCCACTCGTCGCCGCCGCCACGAGCCCGCCTAGGTCAACGCTTCCCCCAACTCCGCCGTAGACGGCGGCGGCCAACTTGGAGACCTCCGATTCCCTAATCGGCCGGAAGGAGGCGACCCTCTTGGAGCTCAGAAGCTCCATGACGCAGATCTTGCGCATCTGCCGCCAGTGCTCGCCGTAGGGCGCCAGGCCGATGTTCTGCGCGCCGTAGAACACGATCTCCGACACCAGCAGCCAGGGCCGCGTCGCGAAGTTGAGGTCGTGGGCTTTCAGCACTTCCCTGGCGGCCTCTGGGCTCGAGACCACGATGTAGGAGAGCTCCCCGAGCTGGAGCGCCATCACGTCCGGGCCGTGCTTCTGGGCCAGGTCGCGGAGGCGGTGGTGCGGCAGGTCGGAGACGAGCTGGTGGAGGTTGCCGAGCACCGGCAGCTTCCACGGCCCTGGCGGCGGTGGTCGACGACGTGATCTGCTGCTGCTGCTTGTTGCAGCAGAGTTTTTGTAACGGATTAGTACAGGTATCAGCAACGCGGCGGCGATTGTGATGATGATGATGAATGTGACGGAGATGATGGGGATCTTGGAGACGTATTGTTGCAGTAATGGTGCTAGAGCCATTGTTTTTTGATGGGTTCGAACTTCGAATTCAAACAACAGTCGATAATAATTCAGAATTCCTCGAGACTCCTTCCAAATGGATGGAGCAGCGGCTTGGAGATCTTGGATCAGACAGAGCAGATGGTGATTGGTGAGGTTTTTGTCGTGTTATGTCATGAGGATATTGATATATATATATATATATATGGACAGGGACGAGTGGGTAAGCTTTCGCTGTCAAAGAGTAATTAAGTACTTGATTAATGATAAACAACATGATTAATTAGTAGTCTTTCCCCGTCAAAGACTAATTAAGTACAACTTGATTAGTGATAAGCAAAAGCAATGTGATTAGTCGGTCAACCATTACACTAATCGATGCTCTGTTTTTTTTTTTTATTGTTTCAAATCCTTTTGAGCAGAAGATAGAGAGGAATCGCCGGCCGATGGAAGAGAACGGCACGTATTGGAGACGGAGAGTTTGACTGTCTGACACGTGTCGGTGGCCGCACCTTTTTCTCCCGCCGTGGCGGGAGGGAGAATATTGGTTAGCCCAATAACAACCAATGGTAATGGCCCAAGTCCATAAACACTGTCCGGTTTGATCGAGCTCATTGGGCTCCAAGCACGAGACAAGCCCACTACAGCTCCGTGTACCTCAACTACCTGGGCCTGGAAAGAGGCTTATCAGCCTTGGTTAGGTTTATTAATGCCTCCAGGCTCCAACGTAAATTGTCTAGAATTTTTTTTTTTTATATAACCATAAAATGTCTAGAATTTAGGTCACCAAACCAACTACTCTGACTGTTAAAAAATAAAAATAAAAATGGCAGAAACTTTGAAAGATCTAACAAGAATAAAAATATGTATTTCGTGGTTTAATCGTGATTGAACCGTTTCCTGTTGTTAAAACCGTCTATCCTTTTGAGTCCGGTATCCGATATTTCCTGTCCAACCGGACGGTACGGTAGGGTTTCCTGAACCTTGCTTTGTAGAAGAAAATGAAAAAGGGATAGACGTGAAAATTTTGTTATAATTAATAAGGAAATTCACATATGAAATTACCTATAAAATGGAATTTGATAAATCTTAACCATCATCAAATGGATCCCAATTTGTAATTATTCATGACACAAAAAACCCAATGAAATTTCATCGTCCAATGCAATAGACTAAATAATTTTAAACTAAAAAAAAAAAATTTAGAATTCGAAACGATAGTCAACAACAAATCGAAGAACACCTCACCCAACTCGTTGAACTATTAAATGGTTTGTTGGGGGGAGGGAGGTGAATAATCAAAGAGGTCACATTCCACTCATGACTTTTTTTTCTAGCTTCATTATCATTTCTTCACCTCACCAATTACTTTTTCCTACTACTCATTTGTTTTCTCCCCCATGTTTCGATCGTGTAGTGGACTAGTGGGACAATATTAACAATGATCTTAATCCTAAAAAGTCCATTTTCCCCCTCCACTTGGCCAAAATTCTTGCCAGTTCATGGGGAAGAAGAAGAAGAAGAAGAAGAAGATGGTGGAGGAAAAGATAAAGAAAGTCGCCATGAACATCAAACAAATGGGACTCTGACCAATCTCCACTCTTTGTTTCATGGCATAAGTCAAGAGGGAGGGGAAAGTCATAACTATAACTAATAACCTCAATTGCTCCAAAAAAGGTCCTTCCCAACAAGAACACCAAACCAAAATGATTGTTCTGTGGGATCCTCCACCACCACCACCACAAACACACATGATGATTTCATTTTATCACCAAACATGCAAAGTCCTACACCAACACAGGAACAGAGCAGGCCACCAGATCATGGAATCCTATGATTATGATGATACCTAACAAACCACCATTGTCTTTTCTTTCCTGAAATGGCTGCACAGCACAGCAGTATCCCAGTACCTTCAGCATAATCTGCAAGAAAACATTAAGGGTGTATATCGCGACGTAATCAAAACCAAATCGTAACTCGGTCACTTCCTTTTCCACTAAGTTTGTGCTTAGGGACCTTAGTGTACGATCTGGGTTGTCTAGCTCTCGACTTTGGATCTTAGCACCCCCCCAAAAGTCTGTTGTTTCGCTTTGTGAGTGGGTGTATGAGATAGTTTGGCCAAGTAATCTGCGACAAAGTTTCCCACGATATAGGTAAGGCGAAAAGAGAAGTCATTTAGTGTATCTCTACTCTCCAAGGATAGTGATAAAGAAGGTAGGGATGTAAGGATATGATCTGTTAGCATTGCTGCTAACTGATACCTCTCTAAAAAAGTCGAACGAATCATCCACCAGAATTTGGTTGGATAATGCATGTTTCCTTGTTGGAGTTCAGTCCAAATGAAAATCAAAACAGAAAAATCATCACAGTTCCTTGAACTGGTTGGTATTTCTTACTGCTGAAGCTGAACTACAAGCACATTTCTTACAGCATATCAACTCTCTTCTAGCTATTGAAACATTTCAAATGGATTCATACAGCAATGCAATAACAGGAGATCTATACAAAAGAAGAACTAGTACATTTCTGTTGACGTTTTTATTGCAGACTGAAGAAAGACACAACACATGTAAGTATACATAACTTATAACTATGTGTTTATATGAGGAAAAAGAACTAAAAAACCAAACAAAAAATGCAGTCACCTGGTCAAGAATTTGTTTCCAACTTGAACTACAGGTAACACAGTCACATTCCAATCCCATCAAGGCAGGAAACGACTTCATCGATGGAAGGTCTCCGTCTCGGATCACGATCCAAGCATCGACAAGCAATCTCAAGCATCCCGAGTAGTTCTTTCTCCTTGTTCTTATCCCAGATCGAAGAGGCAATAACCTCAGACTCCCTCTTCTCAAACTTCATCTGGAAAACCCACGACACCAGATCCCTACAGTTCTTCCCCTTGCACACCTCCACGGGCCTTCTACTTGTCAAAAGCTCAAGCAACACAACTCCGAAGCTATAAACATCGCCCCTACAAGTGGCCGTCATCGTTTGACTATACTCAGGTGGAATATACCCCAACGTCCCAACCAAATCTGTCGTGACATGGGTATCATATGGTCTTAGCAGCCTCGAGAGGCCAAAATCAGCCAAATGAGCCTCGAAGTCGTCGTCTAATAGTATGTTACTAGACTTCACATCTCGATGCACAATATGGGGCTCACAGACTTTATGAAGGTAAGCTAACCCTTTGGCTGCACCTCTAGCTATCTTCAGCCTGGTATCCCATTGAAGAACAGAGGACTCATCCACACATTCATGCAGCCAATAGTCCAAGCTTCCATTCTCCATGTAAGAGTAAACCAACAACCTGTCATTGCCATGCAGACAGTATCCCTGGAGAGAGACGAGGTTTTGGTGTTGAGCTCTCGAGAGTGCTTCTACTTCTGCTTGGAACTCCCGCTCTATCTGGCCACAGTCTCCTGAAAGCTTCTTGATTGCAGCTTTTTTCCCATTAGGGAAATTGGCCTTGTAAACAAGGCCAAACCCTCCGCAGCCAATAATGTCCGCTTGGCTGAAGTTGTTTGTAGCTTTCAACAAGTCGGAAACTGTTAGATCCCTGCATTCAGCGCTCGGGAAAAGGACCAACTTTGATGATGTCATAAGTGCTGCTGATGATGACACGTGAGATCCGGTCTCTTCCTCGTTGATAGGATCAGATCTTCTCGACATCTTAACAACCAGAAAGGCAAGTATCAATGACAACCCGACTCCTACAGCTATGGTGATCCCAAGGATATTGGATTTGGTCCTTGAACTGCCAGATGGTCTCCTGGGGGTCATGGCAGTCTCTATATCCTTGCAAGGAGAGACTACTCCTCCACAGAGTCCCGAGTTACCTTCAAAGCTTGAGTTTGAGAAGCTGGAGAACTGCCCTCCAGTTGGAATTTGTCCCTTCAAGTGGTTATTAGCTACATTGAATCTCGAGAGGAATGTGAGCCTCTCTAGTGAAGGTGGGATTGAGCCATACAGATCATTTGAACACAAGTCCAACACTTCCAAATTGAGCAAATCGGAGATCGAGCTCGGTATGACACCTGTTATGTTGTTGTTGCTCAGGTCTAAGACATGGAGTTGCTTCAACTGACCGATCTTGGGTGAGATTGTTCCATTGATCATATTATAGCTCAAGTAGATTGAAGGAGGGAAGCTTGATACTTGCTTGTACTGCAAGCCACTACCAGTCTGGTTTCGCTTAACATAGAGTGGAATGCCAGCAGAAGGTGAGAGTCCGATCGAACTTGTGCTTGCTGAAGTGAGGCTCTTTAGCTCCATCAGGGTCTCTGGAATTTCTCCTGAGAGAGAGTTATTGGAGATGTCTAAGTAGAACAGTTTCTCCATCTGGCCAACCCATGGGGGAATGTTGCCATCCAGATGATTCCATGACAAGTCAAGAACCTGTAACTTCTTGCAATTTATCAACCATGACGGGATTTGGCCCTTGAGAGCACAGTTTCCAAGTGCAAAGACCGACAAGCTACCAAACCCACTCACATTCACCGGGATTTCCTCGTCATGGAAATTCCTTGTGAGGATTAGTGTGGTGAGATTCTGACAATGCTGCAGCACTGATAATGCCTGATTCAAGTCAACAATGGAGTTGTTCGACAATGAGAGGAACGAGATCGACGAGAGTTGGCCATAACTCTCTGGTATGCTTCCATTCAAGACATTTTTAGCAAGGCTCAAGGTCTTCAATTCATGGCAATGAGACAAAGACTCTGGAAGTGAGCCAGAGAACCTATTGGTGGCCAGATCAAGAGTAGTAAGCAGAGGCATTCTGGAGAAGTCGAGATCAATTGGACCGGACATGGAGTTGTTTCTAAGGTCGAGGACTCGCAGACTGGAGCATAATGACAGAGTTGAAGGCAATGGTCCAGAAAATGAATTCGAATGAACATTAAATTGTTCCAACTGCGTCAAGTTATGGAAAACATCTGGAATCTGGCCAGAAAATCTGTTCCCATAAGCAAGAAATGTAGTAAGGTTGGCGAGCTTACTCATTTCGCCACTTAATTGACCAGAGAAGTTGTTGTTGGAGATCGATAGTTGCTGCAAAGAAGGCAATGCAAACAAAGCCTGAGGAAGAGAGCCTGATATCATGTTGTTGTCCAAATGCAGCTGCTGAATCAACGAGCTGCAATTAGACAAGGTTTCAAGGCTTCCCACGAGATCATTCATCGACAAATCAACAACCTCAATCACATTGGATAAGCTGCAAATCATGGGACTTATCCGCCCACTGAATGAGTTGTTGCTTATGTTGAACACAACAAGTTCAGGAAGCTCCTTCATACCAAACAGATCATTGTCATCAAAACGATTGCTGGAAATGTTGAATGCCCGAATGGAAACCAGACCAGAGAGAACTTCAGAAACCTGTCCTGATAACATATTATAGCTCAAATCAAGAACCTCCAACTGTTTCAAGCTGGAGAGCTCCAATGGAAGCTCGCCTTGAAGACGATTACAAGAGAGATCGAGCGATTTCAGCTGATCCAAACCAGCCAGAGCTCTTGGAACCGGGCCTTGGAGGGCCTTGCTTGGTAGACTAAGCATGGTCACTCTACCGCCATTAGGCCCACAAGAAACACCATTCCAATCACAGCAATCAGTATTATCAGGCCAAGATGTGAAGAATGACGAACCATCTTCGAAGCTGCTGGAGAACTCATTGAGCGCTCTCAAGTCTCTGGGATCACAGGATGCAGCTAGAGTGCAATCAATTTGAGAGGACAAGAGAAGGAAGCAAAACAAGGCTACCCATTTGAGGAAGCTTAAGAGAAACCCCAACTCCACCATTACTGAACAAAAATCCCAGCTTCCAAAATGTTAGCAAATTGGCATAATTTCAGCAGCAGAGAATGGAAACCCAGCAGCAAAAGAAGCTTGCTTTGTTCAATTCCCCAAAAAGCACGAAGCTTTGCAAATGAAGCAAACTGAATTCAACGAAAACCCAATTTTTCTATATCACCGATCCTCGAAAACCCAATTACTCAAATCTCAAGAACCAATAACTACTTTGGATTGGGAAACAGAAACCCGCAAAGTTTGCTTCTCAGCACAGAAACTGAAGCAACACAGAACGAGGAGAAGAAGAAGAAGAAAGGGAGAGCCGAGAGAGAGATTAAAAAAAAAGTTGGTCAAACCGAAAACCGGAGGACCTTAACTTTAGTTTCGTCCCCACCTGAAAGGTCCAAAGATGGGGAGAGGAAGGAAAGCTTCTCGTCAGATATGAACAAAACAAAAACTAAAGAAGAAAACCCTCCCAAAAACCCTTCTCTCTGCTATAAAACAGAGCAGAAACTTCCAACGCGAATCCCGGAGCTCCAATTGTCTGTTAAAATTAAGAAAGCCCACCGTAGAAGGAAGTAAACAAACCGAGATCAAAAGCCAACTAAAGAAAGAAGCAGAAGAAGATAGAAAGATGGAAGCTTTACCAGTCTGGTGCGTTGTTCTGTGCTTTTCTTTTTCTTCAGCCCTTTAATGAGCAACTATAAACGTCACTTGGAAGTTAAGTTAAAGCTTCCCGTGAACCCAACAAGACATAGTGGCTCGCTTTTTGCAGCTATAGAGAGATGGAGAGGAGAGTGAATGAGTGAGATACTGAGATGGGATTGCTTCAGTTCTCACACTCACTGGAGCAACCTTTTCGACGAAGGGAAAGGGAAAGGAACACTGGTGTGAGAAAGAAGGGAAAATATATGATGGGAATCTGGGACAACGGATTAAACAAAAGAGAAGAGAAATGCAGGGAAATAAGAGAGATCATCAATACAGCGGTAAACAACATCAGACCATTATTTAAGTTTGAAAGGGAAAGTAGTCTCTCTTTCAGCAGATCCTGAAATATAAGAAAATAGTAATGACAACATGGTTGGTCAACTGCACAAAATCTCTAATACCAATGTTTTCATCTTGCATTGTTGCTTTGAATTGAAATAAATAAATAAAAAGTCTCCACCACCTCTATGATACATATATATAAGGATAAATCTTGAGATTCTTTGCTAAGTTTGTTTTCCTGTTTAAATTACATTTCTCGACATTTGAATCGAGCTTTTGTTTGCTCTTGCGTATCGATGTGGTGCAACGTTTTGGCGTAGAGTAGTGTAGTGTAGTGCAACAGTCAATAAATCAGAAGATACAGTGTTGTCAAGTACAAGAGTTTATGGATGCAAGCATCAGGGGTGAACAAACACACCCGCAAACCGACCCACCCTTCCAACCCGACCCAACCCACCCGTATTTGTCGCTAAATTGAAGGTTTTGGGTTGGGTGAGGGTTTTCTTTTGTACAACCCGCCTCATTTGGGTTGGGTTTGGATTTTAGATTACACAACCCGTAGAACCCGACCCAACCCGTGTTCCAATTATTGGTATGAGTTCGTATCCAAAAAAATATGTATGTCGTATATAGTCATACTTATGAGAAAATTAAGATATTTTGCCATGTTTTTCTCTTAAAGTCTCACTAATCTAATGCATTCTTTGACTTAAAGTTTAGACATATATTTAATATAGCTATGATTCACGTAACTTTTTTTCTTGTGTACAATTTTAAAAGAATATCATATTATAGATGCGTGCATTTATAACCTTTTTAGCCTATTTCAACAAATGTCGTGAAAAAAACTAGACATAAGTTGAAGTAAATCAAGTTTTATCAAAATTCAAACAATATTTGTGAATTTTGATACCTTTCACCTCGGTTTATTCGTTTGTATTTTTAATTTGTTATAAAATATTTTTATGATGTAGAATAATTACATATTTTGTGTTGGGTTGGGTTTTTACTTAAAAATATCGCCAACCCGACCCAACCCAATTAGAAACAAACCGTAGGGTTTAAATTTTTTTGGGTGGGTTTGGGTTTAATATTTCCCAAACCGTAGTGCATGGGTCGGGTGATTAAAATGCCTAAACCCGGACCACCCGACCCATGTACACCCCTAGCAAGCATAGGCGTTCCTTAATCTGGAGCAACAGGCAATGAGTATGAACTTTAAGAGTCTTGATACACTAATTATTTGTTTGGGAATCACAAGGCTGTGTTATCCATATTTACCGTATTTTGTTTTCTTATTTGTTCACCATATGTATTTTTCAACACAAAAACATCAAACAAATACTTCCTAAATAAATGGTATGACATGGGAACATAAATACCATGTCTAAACGACATGAAAGACTTACACCTCAAATGTAATCCATCCCTCTTAATAATACGATGTGAGTTAACTACAAGTATGACGATTTATAGTTAGCCCATTCATTTCAATTGTAGGATACCAAATCCAGTAACCTCTCCTGTAATTAAGTGTAAAACCTAATTGTGACCCAATAGAGGAACTTTGGCCTGGACTTGTATGGTCATTAAGCTCACCAGCTCCTGTCTAATTGAACAGAATAACCTAATCCTTTTGTCTCCTACGAAAACAGAAACCTAACCCTTTGGACAAACCAAAAATTTCAAACTTTTTGAGTGGAAAGTTTTGACACCCACAGAGTTGATTATCGAGAAGGTCTACAGACAAAAAAAAAAACAGGTTATCAGGAAAGCTAGCTATCCAGTTGGTCGTTGTTTGGTGAAGAAGCAATACGCAAAATGGATGTCCAAACTTTTCTCATTCCACATTTCAAACAAGCGCGTGAATACAGTGGATTCTCATACCACAGCTTTCCTCCTAGTTTTGACTTTTGATTAGGGCTGGAGGTTCGGTTATCGGTTATCGGTTAACCGACAACCGAAAATTATATTTGAAAACCGGTTATCCGGTTAACCGAAAATAACCGACCGACCATCCCCTCACCAAAACGACGTGAAAATACCCGGTTATGAAGTTTATAACTTTATGTTGTTGAATTTGAGACATTAATTTGGTGATTTAGATGTATTTTCTATGTAAAAGTGATTGAGACTTTACTTTGGGTGTGATTTAGATGTAGAAATGTAAGTTAGAACCTTTCATTTTAGGCGATTCTAATAATTTTACCCAGTTAAAACCGAACCACCATCATTTTTTCGGTTATCTCGGTTAACCGACCAACTAACCAATAACTGACCGGTCGGTTATTAGTTAACCGAGGCATTGACGTCGGTAAGTGTTCAGTAGAGGGAGATAGTGGTTCGGTTAAATATCATTCAGCTCAGTGTGGGGATTTGATAAATGGGTGGATTTGACGGTTAAATATCATTCAGCTCAGTCCTCTCCCCTTCATTTTCATTTCGGCCCAATTAACTTTTAAGTTTACCCAGCAGCCCAGATCGAGCCCATTCGATACCCAGCCCAACTCCAGCCATTCGAACTCCTTCCACCTCTCTTCATCTTTGCTCACTGAAGATAAAGCAAGCAAGTAAAAGGAAACAACAGCCAAGAAGAAGAAGAAGATAATGAGGCATTTCGTGCTAGTCCATGGCGCCGGCCACGGAGCCTGGTGCTGGTACAAAGTGATCGCCGAGCTGAAACAAGCCGGCCACAAGGTCACCGCCCTGGACATGGCCGCCAGCGGGATCGATCGACGGCAGGTGGAAGACGTGCATTCTTCCGTCGTCGAGTACTCGGAGCCGCTGTTCACCTTCATGGCTTCTCTCCCGGCGGGCGGCGAGAAGGTGATTCTGGTGGGCCACAGCATGGCCGGATTCACCTTGTGCATGGCCATGGAGAGGTTCCCGGAGAAGGTCTCGGTCGCCGTCTTTGTCTCTGCCGGAATGCTGGGGCCTGATTTGACCTTCGAAATGGCGGATAAGAAGGTAAAATTGGGGTTTACTGTCTCTCTCTCTCTCTCTCGCCCACTTCTCCAAGTTGTAGAAATTCGTCAATTGACTATTTATATCAAAATTCAAAAGCAATTCCTCTGTTTCCTCAGTATGCTGAATTTTCGGTAATGGCGGACCCAATGGATTCTCAAGTGATATATGGGAATGGCCCGGATAAGCCTCCAACAGCCTTTTTGCTTGGCCCCAAGTTCATGGAGACACAGTTCTACCGCTTTTCTCCCCGCCAGGTAAAACTGCCCTCTTAGAACCAACCCAATTCGTACCATTTTCATGCTGCAAATGCATATCTCTAAGTTCAGAAGAACCAAATGAGTTCCACAACAACGACTAGGCTAGCTAGTCAGGGTTTCAAGACGTTGATTTTCTTGTGCACCTGTTTGTGCCATCCGATCGAGACCGGGTTCGTGGCTCTACGATCCTTAGATTGGATGCAAGGTGGTGGGGCTGGACGGCTGGTTGTTACAATGGCAGCATTTCCATAGTAGGCTGATGTTATTCATGTATGAATTATGATGATCAATGCAGATGGGAGGAGACGCATTTATAGACTGATACCATGCTCATGATTTCAGCAGACTGGTTTAGCTTGAGAGATCGATCCTTTCATGTTTTCCTAATCTTAGATAAGGAATCAAACCCTAGTCAGTATTCCCTGACTACTACAAATCTCAAGAAGGAATGGTGTTTTGTTGGTCGAATTGCATATATGCAGGATCTGGAGCTGGGAATAACGCTGGTGAGGCCATGTCCAACATGGGACAACGAAGAAGCTAGGAAAGACACGGTCTTGACAATGGAGAAGTATGGAACAGTTCCTCGTGCGTATGTCGTGTGCGATAAAGAGAAAGACGGCGCCTTCCAGTGGTGGCTGATCGAGAACAACCCTCCGAAGGAACATGTCGTGATTCCTGGTTCGGATCACATGGTCATGTTTTCCCAACCTCTTCCACTGTGTCAGTATCTCCTCGAACTCGGATCCAAATACTTATGATCTCTCGTGATATATTAGAACTGTATCGATCGAACTAGCTTTTTTGTCTTTGCATTACATTCCATTTAGTTTCTGCATCATACAAATTGCATCCATTTCCCAAAGAGATCATCAAGTACAGTTCATTCGTTTTTCAACTAGTTTTGTGTGTGTTCATCACTGGATGGTGGTAAATTGCAACTACACCAGTTCTCGACACATTTACATGTAGTGTTGGGAGAGCATATAACTGAGCATATGTTGCCACAATCTCTATCCTGCTTGCACTGGCTCATGGGATGATATCCTGATCCGCTCGCCCTCCCCTCCACTCCTGCATCTGCAAACATGAAACAACAACAACAACAATAGTTTTTGTAAATTAGCAAATCTGTTTCGAGTTTATGCCAATGGAGAAGAGATCAGAGAAGGAAGGGATTGGAGAAGCTATTCACTTTGTGTAATAAGGAAGAGAGCAAGGAACAGGGCAATCAGCATTCTGGATGTGTTCTTCATTTTTTTTTTTGGGGTATCTGGATCCTTTTATGCAGCAGTGAAAAGGTGAAGAAATCTGCTGGTGGGAGGTTTTTAATCTGTAGTGTGGGTGTGTAATGACTAATGAGGATGATTTCATGTCAGAGGAGAGGATCTCTGCTATTTATAAGCCAAGCTGTTGTGTGTTTCTTGATAGCTGTATGATTGTTCTTTGTGATAAGTGATAGTATTATTGTGATTGATTTATTTTACAAAATTAGATGGTTGAATATGGTATTCGAGATATTTAATTATTAAAATTAACAAAAAAATTATTTGTAATTTAGGTATGAAATTGGTCCAGGATTTTTTTTTATATAAATAGTAAGTTTTTGGACCAGAAAATTATAATTAACTATATATTTCATCATGTTATATAGACATTTACATGTATCCCTAGTGATAAGAAGGGTGGTAGCAAAATAGGGGATTGCTATCAATAAAATACTACAAAAAATATGGTCTCGGATAATTATTAGGGATTGAAGAAATATTAAATAGAGATATATAAGAGATTTCGTCGTTTAGAAAAGAATATTAAAATGAGACATTTGAGTTATATAAAAATATTTTCAAGTTTTACACAATTTAGAACATATATCTCCCCCAATACATTTCATCCGGTAGATATATATATTCGAGATATATAATACATTTTTTTTCCTGTCTCGATATCTCTTCCAATTACAATTTGCGGTTTTGTCTCTTAATTGCATTCAATTTAGTTTACATCTCATGCAAAGTACATCTAGACTGCGAAATGACCAATCATCCAAGTCAATAACATGGTCTATTAACATAAGTAGAATGAATTCACTATTTTGAATAAGGTACAAAGTAGTTACTAATTAGAAGGTTCATATAAGTCGAAGCCTGTAAAATCATATCGAAAATTGTACCGAAAAAAGTTAGTAATTTATGTTGGGACAGTGGTTCCACTATTTGGGCACCATACATTTCGCTGAAGATAAAGCAACTAGACAGACAGAAAAAAACGAAAAGATGAGCAGGCATTTCGTGCTAGTCCATGGCGCCTGCCACGGAGCCTGGTGCTGGTACAAGGTGATCGCCGACCTCAAACAAGCCGGCCACAAGGTCACCGCTCTGGACCTGGCCGCCTGCGGGATCGATGGAAGGCAGGTGGAAGACCTCCATTCTTCCATCGTCGAGTACTCCGAGCCGCTGCTCACCTTCATGGATTCCTTGCCGCCGCCGCCGACGGCCAGTGACGAGAAGAAGGTGGTTCTGGTGGGTCACAGCTTGGCCGGCCCCAGCTTGTGCATTGCCATGGAGAGGTTTCCCGAGAAGATCTCTGTGGCTGTCTTTGTTGCTGCCAATATGCTGGGACCTGATTTGACCTACAAAATGGCTGATCAGAAGGTAAACTGTTAATCGGCAGCAATTCGAGTTATTGAGATTAGAAATTGGTTTTTGACATAGTACCAGAATGTTTGAGGTAGCGATAAAGGGTCTCGTTTTTCGTATTATTTATCGCTCCCTAAGCAGATTAGTACATACTGGTATATGGTGAGCTTGTTTGGCTCTACAAACAACTCGAGTTGATTTGGATGAGTCGGATTTTGGTAACGAATGTTACTCTTTCTAAACTAATATAGTGCTTGAACCGCTCTCAACAACTCAGAAAGATGGATTCTTTGTGTTCTGCAGTATGCTGAATTGTCGCCAACGGCGGACCCAATGGATTCTGAAGTGATATATGGGAATGGCCCAAATGAACCTCCAACAGCGTTCTTGCCTGGTCCCAAGTACCTGGAGAAGCACACCTACCGCTGTTCTCCCAGCCAGGTATAACACAGTAGTACAAGCTAGAAAGTAGCTGTTGAAAAACAACATGAACTAAGAAGGACAATTTCAAATGCAGGATCTGGAGCTGGGAATAACGTTGGTGAGGCCAAGTCCTGCGTGGGACGCAGGAAAAGCTGCAGAAGAGACGGTGCTGACGATGGACAGGTATGGAACGGTTGCTCGAGCGTACGTTGTGTGCGATGAAGAACAAGACGGAGCTTTCCAATGGTGGGTGGTCGAGAACAACCCTCCGGATGAACACTTCGTGGTTCCTGGTTCTGATCACATGGTCATGTTTTCGCAACCTCGCCTGCTGTCGCAGTACCTCCTTGAACTCGGATCCAAATACATTTGATCTATGAACATATATCATCACCATGTAAGTTCAGGAACCATGAAGAGAGAAACAATCTTGAAGGAAAATAGACAGTTGAAGGGGATGGATCTTCCAGTCCATGGATATTGATTCTGATTGAACTTTCTTCGGCGGGCAGTGTTACAGCAATGATCGATCGAGTTCTGCTGTATTGTACGAAACCAGGTAGGGGAAAAAGTTTGACGGTAAAAAAAGAAAAGGATTGCAACCACAACCACCTAGTCTAGTTTTAGTTGTGCCACACAGCAAAACATGGATTACAAATCAAAATCAAATGACCAATGACCTTCCAAAAGATGTCAAAACTCTCAAAACCATTAAGCAACCATCCTTGTGCATAACAAGTCATCCATAAACAAACATCAAAACACAAATAAATAAAGTAGAAGTCTGGTCTCAAAATTTGGAAACAACAAAAGCAGAAACAAAAGCAAAACAGAAACTCGATATAGTTACTGTCCTTCTAAATGGTTCCTTATTTTGTTTTTCTTCTGTTCATTAAGTAGTGTTTCTAAATACTCTCAACTTAAGCTACTCGCTGGTCATCATAAGTCTCCTCTAACCTCCAGATGAAGTTCTCTTTCAACAATCACCACTGCAGATGCAAGCTGAATGAGACCAAGTCTCCATCTCTCTTTCTGTAACACAACTCCCTTCCAGAAAGAGGGCAGTAGTTGGTAATACCATAACTACTACTGCTGCTCACGCCGCTTCATTTAGAGGAGATAGTAGTACGCAAGGAACGCCAAGAGAACAGCTACCACGGCAGCAGGAGCAGCCCACAGCCAGTAGTTGGTCGACTTCTTCTTCTTCAGAAGAGCTCTGGGTACAGAGTCGGTTCCCCTCGGGCGGTTCCTGTACCTGACAGGATTCTCCCTCTTAACTTGCTCTTTAACAGGGGCAGGGACAGCAGCCCCTTTTGCTTCTTCTGGTTCTGATCCCTCAACAGATTCTTCACCCGCTTTTTCGTCCTCGTTCATCGATCCAGGCCCTCCGGCCTTCTTCTTCATTTTCTTCTCCCGTTCCTGAATAAAACGAGCAAGGATCAAGGTTTAATATGGGGCAAAAGGTGAGAAAAAACATATGAAATCAGCAAAAGAAGACAAAATGTAATAATTTCCTTGAGCTTTTTCTCAGCTTCTTTCTCTGCTCTCTTGGCAGCTTTAGCAGCAGCTTTCTCGGCCAACTTCTTCTTCCTCTCCATGGCTAACTTAGCTTTCGCTATTTCTTCTTCTCTTTTCATTTCCTTCAACTTTGCTGGATCAACCGGTGGTGGTGAAATCTTTTCCTGTGTCTTCTCTAATCCCGCCACCTCTTCTTCGACTTCCTCGAGTTGCTCTGTCTTTTTCTGTACCGTTTTGGCAGGCAAAGATTCCTTCTTCGCAGCAGGTTTAGGGGGCTTGACCAACGGTTCATCCTGGGAGGGTGGCAGTCTAGTGACTACCGCTATCGGCTTCTCGTCCGGGTTCCTAATTCGACCATCCAGGGTCAGTGATCGTCTGTCGAGTGACCCGCTCGATACAAGTCGCTTCTTATAATCATCCCTAAAAGCCTTCTTGCGCCATTGCAACATAAACTTCTCCATCTGGCAGGTAGAATTGAGATGCAAAAGTTAGTAACACAAAATTAATTGATATGCAAAAGCCACTTCACTGATAAAATTCCAATGCCCTCCCTGATTACTTGCTTTACTAGTAAAAATGTATCACCACATAAACATACCTCTGCATTTGCAAGGTGCTGAACACCCTTTACATCCTTCTCCTTGTCGGCAAGATTTTTTGCTCGGTTCAGGATCACCGTCAAAGCATAAAACGGTGCGTTCTGGCAAAGACGAGAACACGATGTTGAGTAAAGTGCCAATACATCATAACCACAAAAGAGACTCCAGTAAACAAACCAAAAAACTTTCTGGATTTTTAGAAGAAATAAAGAGGAGAGATGCAGCATCAAGAAGTCTAGCTGTTTCATTGAATTCATGCAATAGGTCACATTAAGGTCATTCTTCTGTTGTAGCACTTGATAAACTGAAACTTTAGGTTCGAACTGCAAAGCTCAAGGCATTGAGACTCTCAGACACCGCAGAAGTACAGTACCAAATTGTACAGCACAGCAGTGAAGCCAAACGCGAGACTATAGACCAGAAGGTAACTAAACTTAACCTTGGACCAGTTTGAGTTAATATGATAGACAAAACAAGCTGCTCTGAACCAAATGTATTTTGCATCTATAGGAAAACCATTCAGTGCTAGCACAATATGAGATCCAAAACAACCAGAATGCAAGTACTGCATCTAAGGCCCGCCCCCAGTTTGATGAGGATGGTAGAATGCCATAACCAACTTGAGAATGCACAAGGATCAAAATAAAATGAGCGCAAGGTAACTGAAGGGGAAAGATGGAGCTTGAAATGTTACAACTAGTTACTGAAGGAAAACATACATACCAATTCTTCACTTTGTGCCCGTATCTTATCTCTACGCTCATAAAGCTCATCCCTCTTATTTGCAATAGCTGTTTTTTCCTCTTCGATAACATCAATCTCTTTGTCTAAAGCCCCAATTCTTGAGGTCAGTTCCTTCATTTTACTCCACGTCTCGTCATGCTCCTTCTTTGCTCCACCAAAATCAACATTCATATGCTACAACACGTTCAACAACATATATAGCGGTGTCAGGGATAAGATATATATTATATAGAATGAATAGGACATCAGAAGGTCGGATTACATAACACTTTTTATGTTTTGTACAAGTTTGAATTTCATCATGGTTGCAGAAAGGTCATAACTGGTTGAATATATTCACGAGTCAAAGAAAAATTTCACGATCAGGCTACACTTACTTTGACCTGATCTTGTATGGCATCTTTCTGACCCAATGATTCCTGAATCTCCTCTCTCATGGCAGCATTGGCAATAACAATTGGTCTTGTTAACTCTAGCTGTTTTAATTCTCTGATTAGTTGCTTTTCCTCAGACAACGGGATGCTTTCATGCTGAATGCGGTACTCCAAGCGGCGTTTCTAAACATTAATTGAAATTATTCAGAAAAAGTAACAACAAAACTCAGAGCAATTATTTGTGAAACCCATGGAAATTGTTAGTCAAGATGATAAATTATCCAACAAATTCAAGATTACACAACGTACAGCTTCATCTAGCTCTTTCTCTGATGAGCATATACCACCATTATAATTGTTTCGGAGTTTCCCCAATGCCTGCTGCAGAGGCTGCATTTCATTTTTCTTCCCACTCATGGCTTCCTGTAATTCTGAGAGTCGAGTTCTTAAATCCCTTTTCTCACTTCTCAACTCTGATCTCTTATCCTGTACAAAAAATGCAAGCATGATCAAAGACAACTCTGCAAATTATGTGTGTCCTCTTCAGGCAATTTTTAAGCCCATGAACTTCAGATATGCCAAGAGTGTATACCTTCCCATTTATGGAAAATAAGAGATTTAGTTCACTAACGTGAAAAGTTAAGTGATCATCACCCCCCCCCCCCCCCCTTTTTCTTCAAATGAACGCATCAGTTTAATAACTTGCACATACAAACTTCAATAAAATAACACTACAACTACTTTTTTTTAACCGCACAAAAGCTGATAGTTTATTGCGTAACGTGTCTGAGGTTGTGTACGATCACCAGCTTCTGAAGCAATCATAGCAATAAATGATAACAATAAAGAAACAGACTTGGTGATCAATTACAAGTAAATAATGCACCACAAGCAACACAAAAAAATTAAACCGATGACTAAACAGCCAATGACTAAATCAAGCAGATAACACATGCTATAACATAAACCAAAACCAACCAACTTACCTTTTTTGTTCTCGCACGATCATGAGCCCGAGCAAAAGCTTCATTCTTCTTCTTAATCTCCTTAACAAGTTCATCGATTTGGGGACTATACTTGGGATCCTCGACCCTCTGTATCTTGGGGAAGTAGAAAACATGAGGATCAGGAGAGACATCAGACCAATCAGCAGAAGCGTTCATACGGGCTTCGGCATCTGCATCAGAAATTCCCTTCTCTACCTCCCTTTCATGAGAACCGAATTTGATGGCCTTATTTGGTCCCGACTCTTTACCCATTTTCCCATTCTCCTTCTCATGCAGAATTGACTTGTCAACAACTTCAGTCACAGCCTGAACTGGAACTTGAGGAGCCACATCCGATGCTACAACAACCTCAATGCCCATTGTTCTACGTTCTACACAGAAGATACCAGCTTTACAAAATAAGAAAACACCAACATCCACAAAACACTCCTCCATGTCGCAATACTTTCAACTACCCCTTCAGGCGGTAATCAGTTCTATACAGTCCAATCATACAAGTATTTGCACAAGTTCTTCTCACACATATACCAATAGATCAACAACATGCAATGAATAAAGATCTAAAACTAGCTAGATCCCCTTCATAGCCCAAAAGTCTGAACACGGTCCATAAGCTGAATTGTCAGATTAAATCATGGACAGGAAGAGATACAGAACATCAGCCGACTCAACTGATCATGCATCTGCAAACCCCCAACTCAGAACGAGAAAGGATTCTAATTGTATCGGTAATATCAATCTAAGACCCGAAACAAACAAAACCCAATCACCATAGATCACAGACCACAATCGAATCAGAGAAAACCATATTTCTAGACAGATCAACCATCAAGCATCTGCGATCTATTAGTCAGATACAATCAAATCGAACATAACGACAAAGTAACAAGAGCACCATTAAAGCTAAGAGAGAACAAAGAAGATCCAGTACCAGCTGATATACAGAAACATAAAGTGAATTAAGATTATAAAGCGGAAAGAACGAGATGCAGAAAGGGAAATTGGGGAATGATAAGATACCAAATCGCAGAACAGTGAAAGAGTATTACCAGCGCACAGCAGGGATGGAGACGGGAATCGGGAAAGAGAGATGCAGATAGAAGAAAAAACCCTCTTCACAAAACGCCCCAAAGTATTGAAATTTTGCCTTAAAAAGGCAGGCAAAGGAAGAGCAAGGTAGATCTCAGACACCCACTTCCTCTCTGACTCTCTCTCTTAAGAGGCTTAGATCCCTGCGTTTTTTTGCTTTCGCTGAATTTTTAGTTTTTTCCGTCCGTCTCTGTATATAATGAGAAAGGGGAGGCAAGAGAGAGAAAGGGCAGAGTTTGTTTCAGTTGAAGTTTTTTTCCCCTCTTTTCCTTCTTTTTTTTTTGCAGTAAATAAATTAGAAAGAAAATATCTGTTATCTATCCATCTAACCAGACTTGATATTTCTATTAAAAATAAGTGTAAAATAAAAAAAACTTAAAAGTACCTAAAAAACAGTACATGTCATATTATGAAGAAAAATCTGAAGAAAATGCTAAGTACTTAAGCATCTATCTAGTGTTCTTGGTTATTGTTTGTGTTTTGTAATTGGAGTATGTAATATTGTATCCGGATGTCTTTATTTTGGATTGTCTATATCAAAATAGTTGTGAAAAGTAATTTTTGATGAAAATTATTTTGATAATCTTTACATTTTCTGATTTTCTATAAAATAATTACCTGGCATAAATGAAAAGTTTTTTTTTGGAAAATCGAAGATATTTGTAAAAATTATACATTTGGTAATTTAGTTACACATGTCTAAAGAAAAGAAAAAAAGCTCGAAACTTATCCGGTAGATCTTAGGTGATTGATGAGTTGGATGGCGGTAGAGAGCAGTTCACGAACACACTAAGCGCTAGACTGCCACGTCTAGTTCGTCGGAAGCATGTGTCGCCGCCATCTTATGTCTCTCGCTAAAATCGGAAAAAACAATATGCGTTGTTATTGTTAAGTAAATATTGCTCAGTGCATGCACCATACTAACAATCATCCAACTGCTCCTCCCAATATGTATTCGTTGATGTTTTGGGTGGTGTGTCTTTCTCAAAGGATCACCTCTATCTCGAATATGATTAAATTCATCAATCTACTTAATTATACGAGAGTCACTTTGATAACTTCCTTATGATAGTCATTTTGAGAAAACTTGCACGTTTTCATGAAGCAGAACCTCTAACCTTGACATAACTAAATATGGTTTGTCCAAAATACTTAACAAATAGCTAACTAATGCATGTTTGATAACTTGGTAAATCATTTATATTCTTATAAAAACGAGGTTGTAAAAGATCATACGGCTGGAAAATTGCTCTATCAGCCTCGTTGACCGCAGGCCCGTGGGTTCTACAGAAGGCATTTCAACAGTTTGCTTTCGTCTAATCGTCTCTCAGCCGTTTCCCAAAACCTTCCAGCCTCGCTTTCCATGAAACCCTTCGCTTATCTCAGGTGGCCGGGCCTCCTCCGAGCCATCAACAACAAAGTATCAGGTTCGTGATTTCTGTTGTTGACCGCTAGCTCGTGGGTTTCTTCCTCTGTTCTTTCCTCGGCCTGCTGTGGTCTATAAATTACCCCCAAATCGAGGTTGCGGATTCCCTTTTCTGTTGAATTAGATATGGTGGTGCATGTTCGATGAAAGTCCTTTCGGGTTCAAGTTTTCACAGTCGCTTTTATCCCATAGTGATAAAGGGGTTAACTTTACACTGCAAGTGATTGCTTTGGCATATTTTACTTTTCAGGCGTTTGTAACTGAGCACAAGCTATGAAGAATCAAGTTGATGGGTTGGTTAATAGTGTAGCAGATAAACCTGTCATTGAAGAAGTGAAGCACATTCTTGAAAAATGGTAGTATTGTATCCTGAAAATGGTCTTGTTTCTTACATTGCATCATGCTTATCAGAAAGATGTCATCTTTCTTACCCTACTAACTATAAATTTCAGGTTCAATGGTATTCAGTTAGGGGACTCATGCTTGACGATTCTACATTACCTGAGCATCTTCGCAAGCTACAAGGGCGACACGTGATAGACAAAGTCTCCATACCGATTTTCTCAGCCCCCCTACAGTGAGGGAGTTGATGTTTGAGTTGGAGAAACTGGCTGACAGTAGAGCAGTTGGTCCAGGAGGATATCTGCGGGCTAAAGCTATTGGTTTGTGTTGTGTGCTGCTGCATCAATTCTTATACTTGGTTTACTTGCTCATGTACATCTGAAAACCTCATAGGCTGAGGTAATTGCTGATGACGATTCGGATGTGGTTGCAACATTGAGGTAAGCCACAGGCTACCTAAGTTCCAAGCTATCATGTCCTTCAATTTATATTGTCATGGATATTTATGCTTTGTTCACTACAACAGGAAACTTCGGATTCGTATCCTGTACTCATTGTGAGTTCTTAGGTTCAATTGTTGGTACAGGAATTGTCTGGGAAAAGGTTGGGGATGTTTTACTCTTGTAGGTATGTTGTTGAGCTTTATTGTTTGGCCGGCTTATCAAGTTCTCTATAAAGCACTTTTTTTTATATGTTTAACGCCAGTGGACACAAAACCTGCCAGTTATTAGCACATCAAAGCATCATTGTCGTGCTGATTATCACCAACATGTGAACATGCATAAACTGCAATATATGGGTCAAACTGCATATGCTGCTTGCTTTGCATCTCTTCTCCTTACATTGTCATTATCAATTGACTTCCCTGATGTGAATTTGGTGCAATTTTCTATCAATGTACTGCTGGTTTTTAAATAAGTACGTTGACGGTTGACATTTGCCACAATTTTGGACTAGAACTATTGCTTGACAAGCAGCATTCAACATTGATTTTAAGTTGGAATATAGCTATATTCCAGGTTGTAACTTTAGTGGTCAGCTTGAGGTAAGTCTGCTTATACATTCTGACAGAAATCACTGATGAATCTTTGCGTCTTTACCTGGTGCTTAGATTTACTATTGAGAACAAATATAACTGTGCTAAACATTTATAAAGCTCTTGATGTCTGATATTCATTAAATAAAAAGTCCATAAATCTTAATGGCTGATGTTTGTTCTGGGTTGTCACACATACTACATCAAGGTATTCTATGGAATTCGATCTTTCATTGATACATCATACTAAACCATATCGAGCACCATGTATTTCTCTTCCTTCATCTGTAACAGATACACGAGTGCAAATAAAAACACTGGATGGAATAAAATGATTGCAATTGTTCTTTGGTTTCTTGAAACGGTGCTTTATTGGCTAGACACTTATTGTTTCTCTTTTTCTCTTTGCTGAAACCTTTTCCAGGGAGGTAAAGGGACACAATTTTTATTGGTTCCTGAACTTGCTGACTTTATGATATCCTCACTTGGACAAGGTATTGGTTTTGGTTTGTCATGCACATTACTTCAAACTATTGCTTCCTTGACGATTTTCATACTGATTTGCTAGAGAAGAATTGTCTTTCTAGCATGAACTGTGGAGCACAGAGCAGGACTGTTATCATGATGCCCATTTGATACATGATATGTTCTTGTTTATCTGGTATCTGCATTGTTATTTCAGTATGCTAGATATAATTGAAGCCAGAACATTTGTCTGTGTTTTAGTTCATCAAAGTGCCGTCCCTTCGTTGGTTTCAGAGTTCTTATCACTCAATGCTCTCCTTATCCGTTTCTTGGGGGCATTACTCCTTTTGGCAGATGGGAAGCGTTTCAGTTTCATGTAAGAGGACACCTCTGCTTGATCTTGATTATCAGCCACCAAAGTGAGATATACTGAGCCAATTCTTGGGTCCTTGTGCTATAGCTTTGTTGTCGTCGTTGAGTCACTGAGTAACAATGATGGTAACTTCTTACCCTTTTCTCGGGACCAAGACCTTGTCGATTTAATCAGGTGCACTGAAACTTCATTGTGCTTAAAGCTTCCAGACCTAACTATGTATATGCTGTTCGTTGTCACCATCTTTCCACACTGTATGCGATTCTTTAAGAGAGTGCGCTAGCTCCCAGTTTCGTACAGGTATTTATCGGCATACTGAATCTAACTTCGAGTCGTTACATCTTCATGCCAGGTCGTAGATCGAAACCGATTCAACCATGTCCGCAGCAGTCGGTTCCTTCTGACTAATCATTCAAAGATGATACACAATCATCGAAGAATTACAGCGACATGTATTTCAGCAACTAGAAGTAGAATGTTGCTAATGCAAATGCTGTAGATAATCTTTTCCTTCAACATTTGATTTCCCTTATTTGCGATCGACATAAAAAGACCGGTGAGATACCTTGCATTTGCCCTCAAATCATTTGGTTAACAGGGACATTAACACACAGGAAATACTAACAAAAGGAGTGCATTGATCATGCTAGTTCAAGAAGCTCGTACATTTCGATACGAAACTAATAGATAGATGGATCATCATGATCCTCTACACAGTAAACTATTGACGATTACATTCCATAAGGAACTCAACCCTTCCAATCCCAAAATCGAAACTGGAAAAGAAAGAAAGAACAAGCAAAACTAAAGATAGCCTTCTTTTTTTGCTGGCAATTACTTGCTTGTCCAAAGCTTCACGCACAGCTTGCGTCATCTCAGGAACCTGCCCAGCCAGCTTTATCAATCCATCGAGGTCGAGTTTAGGTTCGAAGAGCATTTCCAAGAAACGAGCCATGTGATCGTCGTCAGCCTCCGCCATCGGAAAAAAGAAAAAAGAAAACTTGAACCGCCGGAATCGAGAAAGGGCGGGAGGCGGTATATGTAGTTAAGGATTTTTACCGGGAAGGCCAGAATGGGCCACTGGATCTTCAGTAGCGGGCCAGGCCCAAATAACCTTTCCAAGAGGGCCCAAACGGAAACCGCTAAAATAACCCTCGGGTCAGACCGAAATGGCCCCTGGGCAACTGCATGTTCATTTTGTCCATAGGACCAATAGTTTAAGGCTTAAGCTATTGTACATCCCAAGGATTCAAACCTAACAAGGATGACTTCTTCATGATTTATTACCTCGCTACCCACACCAAAACATATAATATATGTGTTACATATATATGATATAACTGTAAATGTGCATCTTACTCTAGCGAATAGAGTCCCGACGTGGCTGCTGCTTGCGAAGTATGGAAGGAGATTCAATTTGAATACTGCAAGCAAAAGATGTCGTCTTGTCCTGTAGTTTACTAATTGACATTCAATAACTATATATTTTTCAAAGCATTACAATTCCTGAGGGCAGATTTAGTGATTCGTGCCATTTCAGTTGAGCAAAATATGCGAAAATTCGGGGGTTTGTTGCCTCCTCATTCCCTTTTACATATGCCATGATGGTCATGGACAACTTTTATCTCTAGTTAGCACCCCAAAAAATCAATGCAAACCCAAAACTCTCTTGGCTTAGTACAAAAAGGAAAACCCACTTAATGAAATATAACTGGACTTAAAAGATGGTATACCACGCGCGCGTTGGTACACTATACTTCGAATTCAGGAGGTACGATAACTGTGAAATCTGATAAATGTCACGTAAAATTATAAATCAAACGCGTAAAATTTTACAGTGGATCACAGAATTTCGTAAACACCCCTCCGAATCCGATATGTATCGGGTAAAGAGCAAATACAATTTTTTTTTTCTTTCTTCTTCTTTCTTTCCCTCGATCAATCTCTTTCAATCCCCTAATGAAACCAGAGATTTCATCAAGACCCACCACTTTCCCACCAAAAAACTCTTCAGGAAGAAAAATTTCAAGCGTACCCACAAGAGCCATACTCGCACTTCAACCCACTGGAGCACCGCCGGTTGCACTCCCCGCAGTGATCCGCACTGGACGCGAAGCTGACACACGCGCCGTCGCAGCAGTGGAGGCCGAACCCGCACTTGTCGCCGCACGCGCCGCAGTTGTTCTCGTCCTGGACCACGTTGCGGCAGTGGTTCTTGCAGCACCGGAGGAGCGCCGTCCCGTTGTTGGCCGGGACGCCGTCGCATATGTTGCCGCCGCCGGGCGAGCAGCGCATCCCTTTGCGGATCCGCTCGTTGAGGAACAGGCTCCGCGACCGGAACATGGTCGTCGGGTTGTCGAGGATGTAGTACTCCTCCCCGTCGTCGTCGGCCGCTGAGATGGCGGCGGCGGCGGCTGCTAGTGTGATGATGATGATGGTGAGGTAGTTGAGTCGAGGCATTGTGTGGGAATGGAGGAAATGGAAAGGTTTTGGGTTGAGGGGAAAGAAAGGGAGGGATCAGTGTCGACGACGAGATTGTTGGGCAAGTCATATTATGGTTTTCTGTGTGTGTCTATTTATATTATTGTCAGGGTATTTGTTGAGGAGGTGATTAATTTGGGTTGTGCAACGGTTTGGTTCGGTTCGGAATGATCAAACTTGTGGTCCAATAGTGAAAGAAAGATATCTCAGAATTAAATATTGGATAATTATTGTATTCGTTCTAATTTGATCCGATTGGGTTTGGTCTAAATGTCAATTATATTCAATCCATTTTTTCTCCGTATTTAATATTTTGGCACTACCTAAAAATTGACACAAATCTAAAATCAACAATCACAACTTTCAGTTGAGATTGTATAATGCATCATTTTTTGTAATTGTTGGTGTGACCTATCTAAAACAATGCATGCATTGTTTTATATTTTAGCACTTCCAAACATTGTATAGTGCACAATACATGTATTCAACAAACACAACTCTAACAATCACAACTTCCAAACGACTCCTAAACAACAAATTCCCAAAGTCAAACAAAAGCTAGCATTTCTCTTTGAATTATATTAAGAATAGGGGGAAAAGTGTTATCATGCAATGGATTGATATTCAACAAAAGTTAGCACCCCTTATTACATTGAAGAGGAAAGAGCTATTGGTACCAAATAATATATAGCCAACTATAAGTCTATTTTTCCATTATTATAGTTTCCCCTCTCGTATTTGTATATTATGAATCGAAATTCGAAACCCTAATAAGTGTAATTTCTTCTTCGTGTTCTTGTGGATCGGCGAGCAAATAATTGATTGTAATTACTTATGAAGTTGTGAGTTGACGATTAATAGTGCTAAATTGCTGTATAATAAATAACAATACACCATGTTTGGCAATCAATTATTAAGTTTCGAAACCTGGCTCTCTCCTTGCTGCTTCATTATGCAATGATTGGACGTTGGATTTGAAGGAAATAGAGGAGGTAATACGGCGACAAAATTTAATTAAGACAGGAGGTGTCAGAAACTAATCATGCTACGTAGCTAGCTAGCTAGTGTATAGTTAATTAGGGAAAGTGGTTTTGGTTTAATCATTATAGGTTTAGAGTGGTAATACACAGCTAAGTCAAGGTAGTTTTTGTTTATTCTAACCTAGCTTCAACGTACTTAATTGCTTGACCCAAAAGGCAAGGTCGCGTTTCCGCCGATGCAAACGTGGGAAGGATCTGTTTTTCCGGCGGCAAATGCGATCGACGTCGCTCCACTGCAGGCTGGCCGCCGCCTCGTGTGCAATCAAGGCCACCAACGCAACGCGCTCACGATGGAAATCCCACGTGGGGAAGGGAAGGAAGAGTTCTCTCTTACCACCATTAATCGTGCCTAAGAACAAAGTTCATAAATAAATAGTATAAAACTCGAAATTCAACCTCTCTCAATCAATTACGTTATCAGAATCAAACGTTCAATAACATGGTATCAGAGTCTTTAATAACTGGGAGGTCTTACATTCGAATCTAAACAACTCACCGCGCATGATATCCGAACCCATGAACACTTCAAATTAGTATGAGTTACATTGGTTCGAGAAAGCGTATTAGAATGAGACAATGGCCGGCTACGAGCTGTAACCTTTTCGTTCACTGGACCATTCATTCGGTAGGAGCAATAAATGGTGTGTACAAAAGGCAGGGACGTAGTCAACACGAGCCGATGACTCGCGCTTACTAGGAATTCCTCGTCGAAGAACAACAATTGCAATGATCTATCCCCACGATGAAATTTCAAAGATTACCCGGACCGTCGGCCAAGGCTATAGACTCGTTGAATACATCAGTGTAGCGCGCGTGCGGCCCAGAACATCTAAGCCAACCGATTGGCCGGCCTACATTGATCGTTTAACCCTTCCTCAGCCCAATGAAGGAAACGCGCCTGGTCCATAGTTGACACTGCATACCCGGCCGACCCAAAATCATCTCTCCATAGCCCACACTCTTAGCACATGATATGGCTGGATTGGATTCAATTTCTAATTCGATTTTACTCATGTTGTGTTGTTGTCCATTAATTATCGGTGGATAATAGCCTCAGCATGATTCCGTGATCTGTAGCCTCCCGAATCGAAAGAAAATGACATTTCGGATAAATCGCCCGAAATCTGTGATGGTACCCCTTTGGAATCTGCCAAAAATTGACCCGGAATAAATCCGCCCAAATCGGTGCTTAATGGACTCAATCATCATTGGAGAATAGCCTCAGGTGAAATCCGTGATCTGTAGCCTTCAATATTCAAAGAAAATGGACTTTCGTCGCCCAAGAAATTACGAAAATGCCATCCGAAAATAAATTGGCCCAAATCGATGCTTAAAGGACTTATCATTCGTGGAGAATAGGATCAATAGACTTCATTATCGGTGGATAATAGCCTCGGCCTGATTCCATGATCTGTAGCCTCCAGAATCGAAAGAAAATGGCATTTCGGATAAATCGCCCGAAATCTGTGATGGTATCCCTTTGGAATCTGCCAAAAATTGACCCGGAATAAATACACCCAAATCGGTGCTTAATGGACTCAATCATCGTTGGAGAATAGCCTCAGGACGAATCCGTGATCTGTAGCCTTCAATATTCAAAGAAAATGGACTTTCGTCGCTAGAGAAATTACGAAAATGCCATCAGAAAATAAATTGGCCCAAATCGATGCTTAAAGGACTTATCATCCGTGAAGAATAGGATCAATAGACTTCATTATTGGTGGATAATAGCCTCGGACTTATTCCGTGATCTGTAGCCTCCAGAATCGAAAGAAAATGGCATTTTGGATAAAATGCCCGAAATCTGTGATGGTACCCCTTTGGAATCTGCCAACAATTGACCCAGAATAAATCCACCCAAATCGGTGCTTAATGGACTCAATCATCGTTGGAGAATAGCCTCAGGCCGAATCCGTGATCTGTAGCCTTCAATATTGAAAGAAAATGGACTTTCGTCGCACAAGATATTACGAAAATGCCATCCAAAAAATAAATTGGCCCAAATCGATGCTTAACGGACTTATCATCCGTGGAGAATAGGATCAATAAAATTCATTATCGTTGGATAATAGCTTCGGCCTGATTCCGCGATTTGTAGCCTCCAGAATCGAAAGAAAATGGCATTTCGGATTAATCGCCTAAAATTTGTGATGGTACCCCTTTGGAATCTGCCAAAAATTGACCCGGAATAAATCCGCCCAAATTGGTGCTTTATGGACTCAATCATCGTTGGAGAATAGCCTCAGGCCAAATCCGTGATCTGTAGCCTTCAATATTCAATGAAAATGGACTTTCGTCGCCCAAGAAATTACGAAAATGCTATCGGAAAATAAATTGGCCCAAATCGATGCTTAACGAACTTATCATCCGTGGAGAATAGGATCAATAGACTTCATTATCGGTGGATAATAGCCTCGGCCTGATTCCGTGATCTGTAGCCTCCAGAATCGAAAGAAAATGGCATTTCGGATAAATCGCCCGAAATCTGTGATGGTACCCCTTTGGAATCTGCCAAAAATTGACCAGGAATAAATCCGCCCAAATCGGTGCTTTATGGACTCAATCATCATTGGAGAATAGCCTCAGGCCGAATCCTTGATCTGTAGCCTTCAATATTCAAAGAAAATAGACTTTCGTCGCCAGAGAAATTACGAAAATGCCATCAGAAAATAAATTTGCCCAAATTGATGCTTAACGGACTTATCATCCGTGGAGAATAGGATCAATAGACTTCATTATCGGAGGATAATAGCCTCGGCCTGATTCCGTGATCTGTAGCCTCCAAAATCGAAAGAAAATGGCATTTGGGATAAATCGCCCGAAATCTGTAATGCTACAACCTTTGGAATCTGCCAAAAGTTGACCCTGAATAAATCCGCCCAAATTGGTGCTTAAAGGACTCAATCATTGTTGGAGAGTAGCCTCGGCCTCAGTCCGTGATCTGTAGCCTCCATAATCGAAAGAAAATGCCATTTCGGATAAATCGCCCGAAATCTGTGATGGTACCCCTTTGGAATCTGCCAAAAATTGACCAGGAATAAATCCGCCCAAATCGGTGCTTAATGGACTCAATCATCGTTGGAGAATAGCATCAGGCCGAATCCATGATTTGTAGCCTTCAATAATCAAAGAAAATGGACTTTCGTCGCCCAAGAAATTACGAAAATGTCATCCGAAAATAAATTGGCCCAAATCGATGCTTAACGGACTTATCATCCATGGAGAATAAGATCAATAGACTTCATTATCGGTGGATAATAGCCTCGGCCTGATTCCATGATCTGTAGCCTCCAAAATCAAAAGAAAATGGCATTTCGGATAAATCGCCAGAAATCTGCGATGGTACCCCTTTGGAATCTGCCAAAAATTGATCCGGAATAAATCCGCCCAAATCGGTGCTTAGTGTACTCAATCATCGTTGGAGAATAGCCTCATACCGAATCCTTGATTTGTAGCCTTCAATATTCAATGAAAATGGACTTCCGTCGCCCAAGAAATTACGAAAATGTCATCCAAAAATAAATTGGCCCAAATCGATGCTTAACGGACTTATCATCCGTGGAGAATAGGATCAATAGACTTCATTATCGGTGGATAATAGCCTCGGCCTGATTCCGTGATCTATAGCCTCCAAATCGAAAGAAAATGGCATTTCAGATAAATCGCCTGAAATCTGTGATGGTACCCCTTTTGAATATGCCAAAAATTGATCCGGAATAAATCCGCCCAAATCGGTTCTTAATGGACTCAATCATCGTTGGAGAATAGCCTCAGGCAGAATCCGTGATCTGTAGCCTTCATATTCAAAGAAAATGGACTTTCGTCGCCCAAGAAATTACGAAAATGCCATCCGAAAATAAATTGGCCCAAATCGATGATTAACGGGCTTATCATCCGTGGAGAGTAGGATCAATAGACTTCATTATCGCTGGATAATAGCCTCGGACAGATCTGTGATTAGTAGCCTCCAGAATCGAAAGAAAATGGCATTTCGGATAAATCGGCCGAAATCTGTGATGGTACCCCTTTTGAATCTGCCAAAAATTGATCCGGAATAAATCGCCCAAATCGGTGCTTAATGGACTCAATCATCGTTGGAGAATAGCCTCAGGCAGAATCCGTGATCTGTAGCCTTCATATTCAAAGAAAATGGACTTTCGTCGCCCAAGAAATTACGAAAATGCTATCCGAAAATAAATTGGCCCAAATCGATGATTAACGGGCTTATCATCCGTGGAGAATAGGATCAATAGACTTCATTTTCTGTGGATAATAGCCTCGGCCTTATTCCGGGATCTGTAGCCTCCAAAATCGAAAGCAAATGGCATTTCGGATAAATCGCCCGTAATCTGTGATGGTACCCCTTTGGAATCTGCCAAAAACTGACCCGGAATAAATCCGCGCAAATCGGTGCTTAATGGACTCAATCATTGTTGGAGAATAGCCTCGGCCTCAGCCTGTGATCTGTAGCCTCCAGAATCGAAAGAAAATGCCATTACGGATAAATCGCCCGAAATCTGTGATGGTACCCCTTTGGAATCTGCCAAAAATTGACCAGGAATAAATCCGCCCAAATCGATGCTTAATGGACTCAATCATCGTTGGAGAATAGCATCAGGCCGAATCCATGATTTGTAGCCTTCAATATTCAAAGAAAATGGACTTTCGTCGCCCAAGAAATTACGAAAATGTCATCCAAAAATAAATTGGCCCGAAACGATGCTTAACGGACTTATCATCCGTGGAGAATAGGATCAATAGACTTCATTATCGGTGTATAATAGCTTCGGCCTGATTCCATGATCTGTAGCCTCCAAAATCGAAAGAAAATGGCATTTCGGATAAATCGCCCGAAATCTGCGATGGTACCCCTTTGGAATCTGCCAAAAAATTGATCCGGAATAAATCCGCCCAAATCGGTGCTTAATGGACTCAATCATCGTTGGAGAATAGCCTCAGAACGAATCCGTGATATGTAGCCTTCGATATTCAAAGAAAATGGACTTTCGTCGCCCAAGAAATTAAGAAAATGTCATCCGAAAATAAATTGGCCCTAATCGATGCTTAACGGACTTATCATCCGTGAAGAATAGGATTAATAAACTTCATTGTCGGTGGATAATAGCCTCGGCCTGATTCCGTGATCTGTAGCATCCAAAATCGAAAGAAAATGGCATTTCGGATAAATCGCCCGAAATCTGTGATGGTACCCCTTTGGAATCTGCCAAAAATTTGACAAGGAATAAATCCGCCCAAATCGGTGCTTAATGGACACTCAATCATCGTTGGAGAATAGCCTCAGCCCGAATCCGTGATCTGTAGCCTTCAATAATCAAAGAAAATGGACTTTCGTCGCCCAAGAAATTACGAAAATGCCATCCGAAAATAAATTGGCCCAAATCGATGCTTAACGGACTTATCATCCGTGGAGAATAGGATCAGTAGACTTCATTATCGGTGGATAATACCCTCAGCCTGATTCCGTGGTCTGTAGCCTCCAGAATCGAAAGAAAATGGCATTTCGGATAAATCGCCCGAAATCTGTGATGGTTCCCCTTTGGAATCTGCCAAAAATTAATCCGGAATAAATCCGCCCAAATCGGTGCTTAATGGACTCAATCATCGTTGGAGAATAGCTTCAGGCCGAATCCGTGATCTGTAGCCTTCAATATTCAAAGAAAATGGACTTTTGTCGCCAGAGAAATTACGAAAATGTCATCCGAAAATAAATTGGCCCAAATCGATGCTTAATGGACTTATCATCCGTGAAAAATAGGATTAATAAACTTCATTATCGGTGGATAATAGCCTCGGCCTGATTCCGTGATCTGTAGCATCCAAAATCAAAAGAAAATGGCATTTCGGATAAATCGCCCGAAATCTGTGATGGTACCCCTTTGGAATCTGCCAAAAATTTGACAAGGAATAAATCCGCCCAAATCGGTGCTTAATGGACACTCAATCATCGTTGGAGAATAGCCTCAGCCCGAATCCGTGATCTGTAGCCTTCAATAATCAAAGAAAATGGACTTTCGTCGCCCAAGATATTACGAAAATGCCATCCGAAAATAAATTGGCCCAAATCGATGCTTAACGGACTTATCATCCGTGGAGAATAGGATCAATAGACTTCATTATCGGTGGATAATAGCCTCGGCCTTATTCCGTGATCTGTAGCCTCCAGAATCGAAAAAAAATGGCATTTCGGATAAATTGCGTGAAATCTGTGATGGTACCCCTTTGGAATCTGCCAAAAATTGACCCGAAATAAATCCGCCCAAATCGGTGGTTAATGGACTCAATCATCGTTGGAGAATAGCCTCATTTCGAATCCGTGATGTGTAGCCTGCAATATTCAAAGAAAATGGACTTTCGTCGCCCAAGAAATTACGAAAATGCCATCCAAAAATAAAGTGGCCCAAATCGATGCTTAACAGACTTATCATCCGTGGAGAATAAGATCAATAGACTTCATTATCGGTGGATAATAGCCTCGGCCTAATTCCGTGATCTGTAGCCTCCATAATCGAAAGAAAATGGCATTTCGGATAAATCGCTCGAAATATTTGATGGTACCCCTTTGGAATCTGACAAGAATTGACACGGAATAAATCCGCCAAATCGGTGCTTAATGGACTCAATCATTGTTGGAGAATTGCCTCAGGCCGAATCCGTGATCTGTAGCCTTCAATATTCAAAGAAAATGGACTTTCGTCGCCCAAGAAATTACGAAAATGCCATCCGAAAATAAATTGACCCAAATCGATGCTTAACGGACTTATCATCCGTGGAGAATAAGATCAATAGACTTCATTATCGGTGGATAATAGCCTCGGCCTGATTCCGTGATTTGTAGCCTCCAGAATCGAAAGAAAATGGCATTTCGGATAAATCGCCCGAAATCTGTGATGGTACCCGTTTGGAATTTGCCAAGATTTGACCCGGAATAAATCCGCCCATATCGGTGCTTAATGCAGTCAATCTTCGTTGGAGAATATCCTCAGGCCGAATCCGTGATCTGTAGCCTTCAATATTCAAAGAAAATGGACTTTCGTCGCCCAAGAAATTTTCAAAATGCCATCCGAAAATAAATTGGCCCTAATCGGTGCTTAACGGACTTATCATCAACGGAGAATAGGATCAATAGACTTCATTATCGGTGGATAATAGTCTCGGCCTGATTCCGTGATCTGTAGCCTCCAGAATCAAAAGAAAATGGCATTTCGGATAAATCG